GTTGACTTATGATATGTCATTCTATTCAGAGTGTTATTTTCTACCGAATAAAGTAAAAAAATACCGAGGGTGCCATTTAAAAATCAAAAGTTCTAGTCATTTCCGGTAAAACAGGAAGTGACCGAAAACAATTGAATACGTCAATCAATCCTAATTTATGTCATATACTAACATACCAAATCTCGTTTTTTGGAATTAAAAAAATTCCACTTTTGAGGTGCACCGGTATACTAGATGCATTTTTTTTATCCAAAACCGATACTTTGAATATATAAAGATTCTTAAAAAGGAACTTTTCTTTTTGTATTCTATAAAATATAAACTAATCATTTGGACATTTTAAAATTAATATTTTATAAAACTTTTTTAATTATATATTTTACTTGTGTATAAACATACTTCCCTGTTCTAATATGTTTTTAAATTAATGTACCCTATTACAACTAAAAACGGGCCAATCAATGCCACCATTAATATTCCTTCTTTTTTTGTATAACAAATGTATTTGCTTTTGCATAGAAATCGTTTGAAATGCAAGCGAATTATGTTGTATAACTGTCTTTATTTTCGCTCTGTTTATAACAATAGTCGTTAAAAGATGTTTTATTTCAATTTGCCGACAAATCTGAAGCTCTAACTGGTTATGAAAAATAGTCCAACTTTTATATCCGTTGAATCATGATTTCTCGTTCTAGAAAATTTGCCCAGTGATAAACTTGACATTTAAAAATTGCAAATAATTACTTAACAATACGAAAAAAATATTTTTAATTCCTTTCAAATCGTTTTTTCTTTCATGTTACTACTAAATTGTGTAATTTGTAAAACATTAACAATTTTTTGGAACATCATCTTCAATTTATCAAATTCTGTTTTTAGTAGTCTTCACCAAACTCTTTTCCCCCTAAATATTGTATGTGATAAATATCAAAAAATACTATTGAATATGTTAAATTTATTTATAATCAATAAATTATTAATTTAATTAATGTATATCAATATGTTACTTTATTTAAATCTGATGATCAGCTGTATACTTAAATACGGTGTATCGTAACTAAACAGATTATGGAAAGAGATAATAATTTGATATGGCTCTCTTTAAATTTGTTAATATCTATTAATTGATTTTATTGTAATTATTTCATGTGTCATTTTTGTTTAAATAATTTTTACTTTTCTGTTTTCTACTCGCATTTAGTAATTTTTTGACTTTGAACAGTATCAATTTATTTAATACTGATATTAAAAAATAATATTTTTACAGTTGTTATTTAAATCTTAATAACTATCCATCTAAAATTTTAACATCTGGACCTTTAACCCTAATATAACGATTGCAATTTATTTATGTACAGATTTATAAAACTAGAACAAACTTATTCTACTTATTATACTCTACTGATCTCATTTAGTATTTTTATGTTGATGTAATTTTCAATAAACAATATATAATGCTTTTTTTAAACTACTTTGTTCGTACTTGACGTGAAAATATTGTTTGTGCACAAATAGTTCCTTGTTTTGTACTGTACTATTTATCTTGGAAGGATTTAGTAGGTTTTTTTTTTCGCTTTTTTATTGAAATATTTTCTGCTTTACGTAGTGTTTTTACAAACCGTAGTAGATTTAAAGTAAATAAGTTTTTTTTTAAATTAGTTCTTTAGTTTGCTGGCTTTCATATTATTATAAGTTTTTAGTTTGTTGTTATTTTTAGTTAGTAGCATTTTATAGTTATTCGTTAGTGTTTTGTTTAAGATTGCTTTCAAATTATTGAAGATTGATTGGTTCAGATTAGTTTTAGTTACTATCCATATGGTAAAGGAGTCTACCGCAATTAATTATAGTTTTATTTTGAAGAAGATTCAAGGTTTTTAGTACATGCTGTTTGTCATTCGTATAATCCCTTTTATAACTATTTCTTTATTTTAGAGTGGCTAATAATTGAGTTGAAATTTTAAATATGGAATACCAAGTAGTCGTCTTATATTTGCTAGTCAGCCGGATGTATTTTCCTATACAGTACAAACTTACATACAACTTCGTGAAACAAGCTCAAAGAAGTTTATTCTCAAACACGTGTATCTAGATTGGCTTCGAGCATACATTTCCAATGAGTTTACTCTAGGTAGTCTATCAGTTACAGCCTTCTATTGAATATTCTCTATAACAGTCCACATATTTACTTGATTTTAATACCGTAGTAACAGTGGCGTAATAATTCAAAAAATATCATTTTAATTTCATTATCAATATTATTTTTATTCTAAAGATTAACTAAATATATTAAAATAATTTTCGACTACTGCGTTATCGCGCAATTCCTATATAAAATTCACCATGAAGGCGCTTCATATAAAAGTTTTTCCTCTTGTAAAGTCAATCCAGGGACATACTGTATACTTGATTATTACAGTTATGTTTTCTTTAATACCGTTAGTTCTATTATTGTTATTAAAACGGAGGACTGTATCATTACTCTTTAACTTTTTTTTTAATTTAGAGTATCCAATGCAGGGTAAAATGGCATTACGACAATAGTCACAAATTATTACACTGTGTATTAAAATTAGGGTAAAAAACAACTATTCGATAAACTCTGCATAATAAGCCCTAGTAAATTTTATAAATAAAACTCTCAAGAAGTTCTTTTAAATAAAGGATACTGTAACTTATGTTTTTATAATTATGCCTTAGTGTTCTGTTTAAGATTGCGTTCAAATTATTGAAGATTGATTGGTTAAGATAAAATAAATGCTATTCTGAAAGATTTCTTTAGTTCTTTTGCTTACTATTAAGTATTTTAATTATTTTTTTTGTATTTCTTGTGTTTTTATAAATTTTATTTTATACTGTCTTATTGTATTATACATTTTTGTTCTTTTTGTTTTTATTTGTTTTTGTTTTATTTAAAACTGTGTTCAAATTGTGTTTGTGTGTTTTATTTAAGACTGTATTTGAGATGAATGATAAACGACTCTTCAAACTTTCTTGAAACTCATCAATTTGGTTGTGAAAATTGTATAGATTTATATGTAGTCTGAAATTTATAGAAATACATTTTATTAATTTTTATCTTAATTTAATCGATTTTTATCGTTTTTTGTTCCATACCTGTAATATCACCTAAATATTTAGTTTCTTATATTGCATTTAGATATTTGTTTAGATTTAAAGTAAATAAGTTTTTTAATTAGTTTTTAGTTTGATCATATTATAAGTTTTTAGTTTTTTATTATATTATTTTTAGTTAGTGGCATTTTATAATTATTCGTTAGTATTTTGTTTAAAATTGCTTACAAATGATTAAAGATTGATTGGTTAAGATTAGTTTTCGAGTGAAAGATATTACCTATTTTTGTCCTACAAATGTTGTTAACTTCAAAGTTTAAAACTTTACGTTCTAAAACTGGTTATATGTATATCAATGGAGTGTGACTGGGAATTTTCATGGCATTTTTCCAGAATAGCAATGCTGTGTTCAGTTTGCAACGTTACCCTTTATGATGTACTTATTTACGCTAGGAACTTTGTCGGAATAAAGTTACTGTACTAAAATTTACAATGGGTATTTTTTTCTCTGGATAACCACCGAAAGTAATGATCCATAAACCAAAAGAATTTTCAAGCGAGCAATAAGCTGTAAAATGTGTATAAATCTCTTGTTTTGTGTTTTATACAATTTAGAAGAGATAACATTTTCTAACAGATTTTAGTATATCTGTGTAATGAATAAGCCAATATTTTCCTAATTAGATTTTATTTCTGTTGATTAATATGCTGTTTTTGCATTATATATTATTTTATATTCATTAATTTTGTATATTATTTTTTTATAATATGTTCTAGTGCTTTTATTATGTAATATATTTATACTTGATTTTTTCGAAGCTTTCTTTAACTTGTTATTGTTTTTAGTTCACGTTTTTTGTTTGTTATTTGCTTTTATTGCCTTCTTTTTGTATAATATTTTTTGTTATCGTTTCACAAAGTTTTTGTATTCCTCCTCTAGTTTAATTACCTTATTTTCTTCATTATACTTATTTTACTACATATTTATATTTTAATCGCATTAAATTATGTTTAAATAACGGTTAAGATTAATTTTCTTGAAATACAATATTTTACTTACAATGTTGAGTTTTTCATAGTTCTTTTTGTATCCGTTCTAGTGATTTTTATGTATTTTTGTTTTGTAATAAAAATAAACAATTGTTACAAATTATTTGTTTAACTTATTTGAGGTTGGGATTGGAAAGGATATGTTCAATTGAAGTGCAATACACATCTATTTTTACCTAATGTTTAATACATATTTTTAGCCCACACTTATAACGTGTGTAACGCATCATCGACCTGAACATAGAGAATCCCATGTAAAGTTTAAAAATGATCAATAAGTTTTTCCCATTTTGTTTTAGAGAAAAATGTATTCGAAACTTTTTAAAGATCTTAAAATGTATATACTCCGGAGCCGTTTCTCACATAAATTAATAATACCGTATTAAATGACTGAATCTAGGGGGTAGGATTTGAACCCCCGAAGCCCCCCCCCCCTGTGGATCCGCTACTGCATCTAATTCAATATAATAAATAAAAATAAAGTATAATAATAATAATAAAGTATAATTATTTGTATTAATATTAGACCGAATTAGTTTTTAATTAATTTGGTATTTTTTATTTTTCATAACTCCAAAAGCATTCTTCGAACCTAATGAAAATGAACAGTTTGCTTCATTTTAGGGAGATCTTTAAAAAAGTTTCAAATAATCTTTTTCTGCAAAATAAAATAGGTAAAACTTATTCACCATTTTTAAAACTTAATGGGATTTCCTATGTCCAGGTCGGCGATGCAACAGACTATATTGTAAAAGTTTTTATTTTCTTATTTCTGTATATAAAGCAGAATGCATGTTAAGTAAGTTCAGGTTAAATTACGTTGTGCTATCATATTTCGTAGAATCTGTACAAATAATCGAAAAAGAATGTGTTTTTAGGAATTACCAGCATCATGTGCAACGTTATCTATGATGTGTGTTGCTATTGACCGTTACTGCGTAGTGAAGAAATTTCAACCTTTTAACAGAAAAATAACAAGAGAGAAGACCTTGCCTTACATCGTGGGACTCATATGGATCATTGCATCTTTAATTGTTCTTACAGAAGCAATAACATACCATAAAGACTTTTCGTGGATTTCCGTTGCTGTTAGTCTTAGGGTTATTTTAGTTAACGTCCTTCCAATTTTCACGGTAAGATCATCTTACATGTCGTGAATCAAATTTGGATAAAAAAATTTAATTTCTTATTTTTATTAGGTTCTTGTCAGCCATATTTTTCTGCATTCGAATTTAACAGCTGTATCCCTTACTGCCAGAGCTAGACATGGCGAACTACCTTTACCAATGCCCATACTGCAAAGGAAAAAGCCTCAGGAGATAAAGACCCACGTGATTATTGTAGCTGGCATGTCCAAAGTAAGCATCAATCTTGATCTTAACGACTTAAGTACTTAACTTGTCTTGTTTTCTAGCACGAAGAATTAGAAGAATCGGACAGCACTACAGCCACGGAGAACACTGTCCCAAGTAACCTTAAAAACAGAAAACGGCTAGGCTGCTTTATGTTGTTAATTGCCGTTTGTTTCTTCTTATTGTGGGCTCCGTTTACGGCATGTCAATTGTTCAGCATAATCTTTGAAGGAGGAATGGACGATGAAGTCCTGGAATTGATGAAATCCATCGCTTTTTTACATTCAGGATTAAGTCCTCTTTTATCCATAGCAAGTATGGATAGAGACTGGAGCAAAAGTAAGCTAATTTTAAATTCTTTTTTATGAAAATCTGGTCTCTGGATTAAGTCATAGTTGAAAGACTTCTTGACATGTGCTTTTATAGCTACTTTACCAAAAATTCTAAAATATCAATTTATTGATTCCTTTTAACTGAAAGTACTGTCAATAGGAACTCTTCAATGCCAAATTCGTTTGACGTTACGGACAGTAGAATTTTAGTAGTTTTAATAGGCAATTTTAGCCAAAAAAATTTGCGGATTATCCGTACTATTTGATGCCGCGGAGGAATATTGACAGATGACACAAACATATGATGACTTTAACCTATGCGATGTTGCCGCTATTTCACGCCACTTTTTCTAGTTCATTTACGTTTTTATACAATACGTCAAAAAGGATTTAGTGAACCAAACTAAATCCTTTTTCTACGGAAACCAAACAAAACCTAAGCAAACCAACCTAATAGTATGTTTAAAAAATTACAGGGTGTTTTGATTGCTAGAGCTGTATTATGACAACTTCATTTATTATGAATAAATATTATATTTTTATCGAGTACATTTTCTAAAATTAACAACACTACATGATAAAGAAAATCATATAAAACAGTTATATTGACAACGTCGCAAGTTGTACGCGAAAGCCATCGATCAACTGTCAATAAAAAGGTCAATGTTTGCTGGTTCGGAATATTATAGATACATACAGGGTGGTCCGAACTGTATTCCGGAAACTTTGGTAGTATATTCTGCAGATAAAAATAAGTAAAAAAGTTCGTATAAATGTATGTCCTAAAATGCTTAGTTTCGGAGATACAGGGTGTAGAAATTTCGTACCTGTATAAAACTACAGAGTGAAAAAATATACATTTACGACGTTTTTTACATATAAAAAGTCTCTTAGTAAAAATCGCTACGAGTAATGGTTCTCGAGATATTTGGAATCGAAATTATCTATACCTGTCGTCATTGACATAAATTAAACATGTTGACTAAATAGTTATTAAACTGAAATCATAAATTTGAAATGTTTTTGTGTCAAAAGTTCAACAGAAACTTTTTTATCATCATTTTTTCAAAGAAAAATTTATGATTAATTTAAAAAAATAAAAAGTTCTCAAATTTACTATTTCTGTCAAATATCTACTCAACATGTTTATTTTTTGTCAATAATGACATGTATTGACAATTTCCATTCTAAATATCTCGAGAACGGTTTCTCGTAGCCATTTTTACCAAGAGATATTTTGTACGTAAAAAATCACGGAAATGTATATTTTTCCGGTAGTTTTATACAGGTACGGACGAAAAGTTATTACTCTTAAAAACAGTTAAAACACATGTAGGTGGCGCCCCCTACACATAGGAGTTATATTGACATCAAAATCAAATTTCTCATCTCAAAAAACTCCCAGACACCAATTTCCATCTAAATATTGACGTTAGTTCAGAAATTATTTGGAAAAAATCAAAATAAAAATGAAACCTCTACACCCTGTATCTTCAAAGCATTTTAGGACATACATTTATACGAACTTTTTTACTTATTTTTATCTGCAGAATATCGGCAGCATATTCGAAGTTTCCGGAATACAGTTCCGAACCACCCTGTATATTTTCTTAATTTTTACTCTTACAAAGACGTTTTATTATTATTATTTTTTGCTTAAATTAGGCCAATCCACATCTCTATAAGGCAATAAAATGCTAATATCTGATGTTTTTGTTTTTACTGAGTCTAAAAGACTTTTTTTATTGCTACTTTTTAAAATGCCACCCTGTATATTTTTTTATTATATCGTATTAAAGAACAGTTTTAAAGGTTAATAAGGTCTTAGGTTTGTTTTAAAAGTAGTAAATTCATAAAATAAACTATCCTTTTGGACAAATGGGCTGACATTGACGTAAAATATTTATTTATTAAGTTAAAGACAATGTATTTACTAGACACGAAGATATTTTACTTCATAATTCCCATCATTGTCTACCACTTTCAAACGATCGTAGTAAATTGTTGTTTCAGGTACATTTGCTGCATGTCGAGGATTAGAAGTGCTGAATGAGCACAAATCGCCATCCTCAACCAATGAAGACGCTCTAGGACCTTTCAATCCTCGTTTCGTTAGGCCAAACAAAAAAGCCAACTATAATCGTCGTTCTTCTTCAGTCATTATATACTAACTCTGTGATCTCCGTACAAATAAAACTCTATACTATTTCCCACAAGTCAACTTATAAATGTTATATTTTATATATCCTCTAACTAGATGTAGTTACAGATTTTCTTGAGATATATTAGTATCGCGATTACAAACAAACCTAAAGTTTATTACAAAGCTGTACACGAGTTTGTGGAATATCAATATTCCACGATACTAGTTCATCAAAAAGTCCGGGTAAAGTTATGTAAAAATATGCCAATGAAATAAAAATTTTGCTATATAACATAGTAAAGAGATATACATATATTTTTCAATTTTCTTTGTGATAACATTTCTTATATATTTATGTATATATACAAAAGACCTCAACGGTGATTATGTTACTCTATTATGAAAGTGTATTTTATTTAGAGTTATTAAATCAAAAATATGGTCTGAAAGCTTTAAACTTGTAAATAATCTAAGGGAGATATCCAAATTAATATTGTGAAACATTACATAATCGAGATGTTAAATTTTTAAGGTAAAATTCAGTGAAAAGTCCACAGAAGAGGACTTTTTACATTATTTTTAAAATAATATAAGTAGATGATAATTAGATGTTTTATAGCCAACTAAAATTTTACATTTTTATTTAATTTGGTCTATGGCTGTGTTGAACCATTAAAAAAAATATGTATTTTTTTTATTAACATCTGTATTTCAGTGGCGGAACCACGGGGAGGGGGCTTCGGGGCTCAAGTCCCCTCCTTGTGTTCAGAGCCAAGTAATACGATATTATTCATTTATTTTAATTTTGAATCCTGGATCCACCCCTGCTTTATTTGATGTCCCCTTTTTTTACATTTTATTAAATAAGTAGTGTTATTTTAATTAAGTTCTGAAGCATTTAAATCAAAAAGATTGACACTACATCCATAACATGTTATCGTAAAGGTGAATAAATGCTCAAACGTTGTATAGCAAAATGGAAATTAAAATGCGTTTTAATTTATGAACTTTTACTTTATTGAAATTAAAAAATAAAAATTATTTGAAAATAAAAAAAAATAACGAAAGGTGTTGTGTTACGAAAATCGATAACTAAAACTCTCTGTGCTAAATGTTTATATGTAAAAGATGTTACTATCTACTACTATTATCTTTTGGATGGTCTGTCAACTCATCTTAAAATATATATTTACTGTGATTCGTGTGTCTCATTTTCTCCTCCCCTCAATTATTAGAAAAGTAATTCTGATTATTACGTCTGCATTACACTAATACACAAGGAATGCTCATCTTAAGGCAAAGTAATAAAAAACTAAACGAAGAGAAATTACGACCTTAAGTTTCTTCGAATCCTATTAATTCTTCTTACAGTGCCATACTCTATATAGAGTGTGTCATCAGTGTTTCACAGGTACATGGGACCTACAGTTTATTACCGAATCCGAACGGCACTATTTGAGAGGCTGTACAAGGCAAATATACTCAAGGTGGTTTGCCATTGCCTTCCTTGAGGTGGCGGCTCGTTGGTTGCTCTATTTAAATAAATAAATATTTTTATTTAAATAATAACGACCGTACTGGCTGGGGATCGAACCCAGTACCTTCCGCTCCGCAGATCGACACACTAACGCTGAAGCTACGGCCGGCCACCTATTAATTAACTTAATAAAAAAGTATTAAGCTAAATAAAGGAATATGTTCATATAAATTCGCAAGGTATATACACCAGTCTATGCCAATGCAGCCAAATATGAAGACATGTTTTAGATCCCAAGTTGCGGATTTAATTAAACACTTAATTTCAGAAAGAAAAACAATAAATACGTTGGTTGTGTATGACTATAGCCAGAACAGAACTAAATAATAATTCTCTTTCGGCTATTGAAAACTTGTAATTAATAAATTTATTATAAAAAAAATCGTAAAACTATTTCTATAAACCCATAAAAAAATAATTCGACATAAAAGACCTAATTAAATATTTTAAGTTAAATTATCTATTTAAGAAACTGATAATTACTGTAAATTGTACGTATGTATACCATCACTTGAAACTCTTAAATTTTGAAATATTGATTACTATTGTTGCTTCATTCACTCCTGTTCCTGACAGTCATGTTCACTGAGATGAAATAAAAACAGCTTTACTCTATATTCTCCCTTGTTCAAGTTTGATAAACGTTTTTATTGCTTTTTTTAATTTATTGGATACTGATATCGATAAAGTATATTGGATTCGTTCGACTGGACAGTGACATGCCATAAAAAATACCAGTTGGTTTTCCGGACATTGAAAAATAAAAAAAAATGTAATCTACTCCAGATGACTTAGTTGCTTCCAAGAAATCAAGAAAAGAAAATATGAAAAAAATATGTATTATATAACAGATATATATATAACAGAAAAAAGAATCGGATATTAGAAAAAGGAGACGAAATTCGGGGAAACACATTATTTCCTTTTTGCAATTATAAAATATATATATTTATAAAAGAAAAGTAGAAAAAGGTAGCGCATATTTCTTTTAATACAGGGTGATCATGTTATTTATTTTCCCTTCAATAGAAGAGAGATTGTATTTAGTGCATTCACTTTTAACTTTTTCGTGTCGAGTCATTATTCATTTCGAGTTTTTGCGGCCCAATAACTGGTTACTTCACTGGATTCATAGCAGAGTACCTATGTAAAAAAATCGGAACTAGGTTACTGTCAGTGACGTAACTACCGGTGTTCAAACGTGTTCGATAGAACACGGGCTTAGGGGTCCGCTTGGGCGCTTTTACACAACCGGCAAAATCGGTGCCGGTGTCGTAGCTGAAATCTACTGCAATATAAATAAATTAGCTCCTTTACATATACTCCGATCCGGTAAAATAGGTGGACCGGCAATACAACTGTCGGAACGGGTGCAAAAACGGCGATGACTCAGGCACCGATTTTGCCGGTGTGTGTACAAGCACAGATCACATACAAAAGTGTACAAGCGTTCTTACGTTGCGTCCTGCGTGGGCAACGACAGCGCAAATGATACGACCGAGGCGCGACGAGGCGAGTGATACGACCGACGCGCGACGCGGCGTTATGTTTTCTTATGCGGCCCACATACAAGCTACTTTTGTGGCGTTCAGGCAGCTAGCGATGTCGCCAGCGTCCAAGACCTAATACATTTTTGCCACACACAAGCGTTCCAGTAGTTTGCGATTTTGGGGTTGCATAGCATTAAAAAATACCGTTGAGGAACGACTAGGTAGTGCGCTTATTATAATTAATGAAAACAAAAAATCCAGAAACCGTCGTACATTGGTGAAAGAGTGGTTGTTGAAAAAGAAAATCTAATCTCCTCTGTCTGCCCAAATCGCCAATTCTGCGCCATTTTGGAACACACACAAGCGTTTTGTTGTCTTTCCGGCCGCTGACTCGACGCAAAAATCAAACAAGTTGGATCTCGAGCGTCTTGAGACGCCGCCGCCGGGCGACTCGCTAGCGCGGCAGCAAACAAGCACACACAGGCGTTTTCCTTGCGATTTTTGAGCGTTTCGGACGCTGGCGACATCGCTAGCTGCCAGAAAGCCATGAAAGTAGCTTGTGGGTGGGCCGCATTTGAAATCGCCCTGCGTCGGCGATGCTGCTACAGGTTGTTAACTTGTTTATTACTCGCGGCAAGAGCTTTATGGTTAAAATTTGACAACCTCGGCCCGCTAGTCGATAGACGACGCGACGGGACGAGTCGGCAGAAAACCCTATCAGTGCATGCGTTCTCAATAGGCAGTGTTGCCATTCTGTTCCCCTATAAGTAACTGTCCAGTTAACAACCTGTATGTATGTATGTAGCTCCTTGTCCCCTTAACTTTCAAAAGTTTTGTTAATTTTTTTAATAAAGAGGAAAAACTTTAAATAAAAAAATGTTCTGCAATTATCAAAAGAAAACGGCGTCAACGATGGCTATGAAATGAATCGAATGTATAAGAAAATAACATCGATCGTCATTTTCCAGCCAACTCAGGGTTGGCAAATATCATGATATTTATATAAATATCAAAATATCTTAATATTGGATGTACATCATGGTACAAAGAATACAAGGTATGATCGATAGCGGCTCCAATTTCGTTCAGTTCGCGCATACCACCTGTGACGTCACTAGGAAAATAATGAATGAATAAAAAATAAAGAAAGTTGACAGGAGATCTGCATTTTTGGGGTTATGGTTAAGAATTGTTTATTTTTAAGACTTTTTAGTTCGTTTAATTTAATAATTACTAAAACCAGCAGTTCCAAAAATATATTTAAAAATAATAATTATCTATTAACATGGATTTGGACGATAGGTAAGAATACTGAATTTATTTCTATATTCGGTATAAAATTGTTTATTAGGTTTTTAGTTTGCGATGTTTATGGTAAATAATTTTCATTTTCATTGCCTCTAATTCACATGAGGACAGAGATGAGGTTATCTATGGAAAAGTAACCACAAGAGGAATTATTACATCATTTAAAAAATGTTGGGAAGTTTATTGTTTCCCATCGAAAAGTAGAAAATGCCAATGCAGATGAACGTATTGTAATTATGATAGAAGTAATTCCAAGGGTGAAGTTTATTGTAATTAGTGACCTGTGCTTCTTTTTATATGTAGATGTTTCAGGTTTTGAGAATAAATTGGTTGAACGACACCCAAAATTTAGAGGAAGTATTTGCATACCCAGAATATGCCCATCGAGGATTATATTATAGCTCAAATTTCCTTTAATGGTAGACAATTATTCAATGCAAATTAGCTTTTTAAGTGACTGAAATATTAAATAGTTTACAATATGGTATATCACTAAAAATATATTACTTTTAGGTACAATTAGGGCCCGATACATTTCAAAAAGTAGATTATTTTATATTAAATGAGGTATTGTACCAACAATCAATTTATATTAATAACGGAGATTAAAAAATAACAGAATAAATAGTTCTTTTTTTATACTACAAAAAAAACTATAGAATACAACAGTATTTAAAAAAATAAATAAAAAGTTATGTCCCGGCCGAGATTCGAACTCCGGTCTCTCGCTTTCTAGCCCGACTCCTTACGCACTGCTCCACAGTAACTTGCTTAGCGATAATTCAATGACGGTATATAAACAAAAAACAGGTTTATAAGATATCAGAAATATCGGATGTACATCATCGATAACATATATCAATATATATATATATATATATACGTAGCGCATATATCCTGCGCAATATATATATATATATATATCTTTATACTATGGATGTACATCATATCCGATATATATCAGAAATTAAGATTTCGTCTTTGGGCTAATATGCAAAAAAATAAAATAGAAAATACCTTTATTTTGGTCAAAACAAAAATCAAACTTTAATTTCAAATCACAAAAAACGAGAAAAAAAAAAAAATTTTTTTCTAAAATATATATTAAAAAAAAACTGGTAGCTTGATAAAATTTTAAGTAACTAAAAATCGGGCAACAGGAATATCAACGTTACTATTATTTCCACTTAACTACTACTACTACTGCCACTATTCGCTGACGAGTATTTGACACATCAGAAGATGGTTACGCAAGGCTTTTCTTTCATGAGCTTTTCTGTGACTGAAAAGCCCGATACGTGATGTTATCTCTCTTCCGCACTCCGGACATTCAAAAATCTCATTACTTTGTTGTCTCTTTACTTTTTGGTTGTCGTTGTTAACTGAGTTTACAATTCTCCTTCATTGCGCTCTATTGTGCGCTGTTTCCTCCCACTGATGCTGCATACTTATCCCCTTTAAGTTTTCGTGAACAGCATCCTTGTATCTTGTGAGTTGTCCACCCGGTTTCCTCTTACCCTCTACAAGTTCACCGTAAAGAAGAGATTTCGGTAGGCGGTTTTCTTGCATCCTGCATACGTGGCCAGCCCATCTTAAGCGAGATTTAGTAATCATGACTTCAGCACTCTCGCAGCTTGCTTTTTTAAGGACTGATACATTTGAGACATGGTGGTACCATTTGATTCTTAAAAGTTGTCTAAGGTGTCTCTGTTGCAACTTGTTTAATGCGCTCGTGTGCCGGCGCGGCGGTACGGCACCCAGGTTTCGCTTCCATATAACATGGCGGGGATTATTACTGCTCGATACACTGCAAGTTACGTTTTTGTGCTCAAGTCATGATTGTAGAAAACCCTGTCTTTTAATTTCCAGAATGCTCTTGAGGCGCTGGTAATTCTGTGTTGAATTTCAGAGTCGATATTTGCCTTTTCCGAAATCAAACTGCCGAGGTAATTAAATTCCGATACATATTCCAATAGTTCTTCTCCGATTTTTATAGCGCTGTTATGATTTTCCGGGGGAGTGCACATGATTTTAGTTTTATCGATGTTCAGCTTAAGGCCCAAAGTCTCGTATGCCCAGGTATATGTGTTCAGCGTTTCCTGTAATTGCTGTAACGTATGGGCAACTAGAGCGCAGTCATCAGCGTGTTGGAGTTCTGTGATGAATTTTATACGTATTTTTACCCTGAGTCTTTTTATGTTGAACAGACCGCCGTCATACCTGTATCTCTAACACCTATTCCTCTTTCCTGCAGTTTGCTGTCCACTATAATAGAGAGCGCTGCCATGAATATGTTGAATAGGAGAGGAGATAGGACACATATCTCTGCCCAACTCCTGTATTTGTCAGGAAGGGATCGCTCAGTGATCCATGATGTCACACTCTCGACTTGTTATGGAGGCTTTTACATACAGTAAGAAATTTGTTGGGTACTCCGAACTTTTGCATAATTGCTCAAAGTCTTTTGTTGCATCTCTGTTTACAGAGTCGAAGGCTTTCGTTAGGTAGATGAATGCAACATAAAGTTTACTTTCACCTTTTCACTTAAGGCAAATAGTTCACGAGATCATTTGCAGCTTTTTGCGATTAGTCCAAGCTTTTGGTTTTTTTATCTGTATTCTGATTTAAATATGTATGTAATTTTTATTTAAATGTGTATGCAAGGAGCTCAAAAGATATTTTAACACGGAGCCATGACTTCGTCGCTACGTCACTGGTCACTGTGTAAAATAAAAATTAAAAAAAAATCTGCGGTAATACAACATTTTTGAAATGACTTTCAGAAGAAAGTAATATATTTTTATTTCATATTTCCTTTCATTTTCCGTAGCGTTTAGCGTGGTGAATCGATACATTTGATTAATTAGAAGACCACACCTAGAATGTTTAGGGTTAGTTCATTTAGTCTATATGTTAGTTTAGCTATCGCATCCAAGGGGAGTATTTTTAGTAGTTTAGCGTTGCTTGTAGTGTTAATATGGGAAATAAATTGGTTACGTTCACGGATCAACAGCTGATAAATTACCAGGTACCAATTATTGACGCTTAATATCTCAACATAATTGAATTAGTAATCAAAATTATCACATCAATCCTCTGTCTATTGTACTGTTTATTGTTTAGGACTGTACTTTTTTTACTAGAAAGGACATTTTAAGGCAGGTAACTTATCTAAGACAAGGGGAGTTTGCTTCACTTAACATAGTGTTTTGCAGAGTGTACAAGAAATTTCACGATATGAAATCAGACTTGGTGCCTACTGTAATGAAGAAAAATGAACCTTACACGTTTAAACTTCCTGTCGAGTTTGTAGAAGAGCTACCTGAATTTAGGGCAAGTATTTTTTGATTTTTTTTTCAATTACTTTAATAAAACTGGTTGTTTCTTAAGATCACTTAAAAAAACGAAAAAAACTTTATTTCAATATTCAAAACGCGTTTTAGGTATAGACTTATTTAATATTTTTGATCTGAGAGATATTCCCGATTGGTAATGTTCAAAATTTCGCACTGTATGCAAATGGAAGTGTAGTATAACTGACAAAGCGGAGTAAAAGGATCTAGGAATGAAAAACAAAAGAAATAATCAATTCATCTCTGGGGATGCACTCAATGCCTTCAAGTGGGTGGCAGCTCTTGTTTTTTATGTCACATGATAAGAGTAAAACGATATTTTAAAAAGGTCAAACTTTAGAAGTTTTTTAAAGGTTAAGCTTCTGGAAATGGATTCCGGACACACAAATTATGATAATTTGTATCTTAGTGAGAATTATATAATTATTATAATAAAAATATCTTGAACAGAATTAAACTTTTTCTGCAAACCAAATCAAAAATTTACCGTTGATTCAACATAAATATAATTTTGAAAACTGGGTATCTGATATATTTATTTACAATAATAAATTGTCAATATACAGGGTGTCCCAATATTCCGTGGACGTAGAACTACTACGTGTTTTTGGAATCAAAATAAGTACATTGAATACAATTTACATCTACATAAAAGTGCTTGGTTTGTCCGTTAGAGGGCATCGAACTTTAAAAAAATAAACACATTTTTTGAGATATTTTAAGAACCGTTATTCCGATTTGAATGAGATTTTGGGTGCCTATGTTTTGGTAAGTGCTTTATCATTTGACATTCACAAAAATAAAGAGAAAGTACGGGAAGGGTGAAAACTACCCCCATAAATATATAAATTTTAGTATAGATATTTTCCAACCCCACCAACGTTTTTTTTTATAAAATGGCCCTGCTAATATTTACTACATTTTTGTCTTTTCTAAAAAAACGCCACTGCGTATCCTTTTTGAGGAAAAAAATATTTTTGCGAAGCCGACTTACAAAAAATATTTCTTGCCCTATGTAGGTGCATAAAATCTATTACGCTCTAATCTAGTTACCGAAAATATGGAATTTTATAAAAAAAAATGTCTATACCTATGTGGCGGATTCATCTCTCCAAAAAAATCCTTTATGGGTGTTTCGCCACTGCACTGCAAGAAAAATCTACAAAATAAAATAGTTATTTTTTGTGTGCACACTTATGCGTTAAACCTAAACGGACACTGCTTGTCAAGTTATGTTTACAGTAATAAAAATTTGCCTAACAAAGAAAAAAATGCTTAACGTTTCGGAAAGTTTATCTCTTTCCGTCGTCGGAAGCAAAAAAATACAAAGAATAAAGAAAAAAACTATTTAAACTATTTAAATGCAACTATTCGAGAGCACTTTAGTTGAATTTAAATATTTTAAATAGTTTTTTTTTCTTTATTCTTTGTATTTTTTTTGCTTCCGACGACGGAAAATAAACTTTCCGAAACGTTAAGCATTTTTTTCTTTGTTAGGCAAATTTTTATTACTGTAAACATAACTTGACAAGCAGTGTCCGTTTAGGTTTAACGCATAAGTGTTTACACAAAAAATAACTATTTTATTTTGTAGATTTTTCTTGCAGTGCAGTGGCGAAACACCCATAAAGGATTTTTTTGGAGATATGGAATTTTATGTTAGTATCACAAATGATATTTGAAAATAAACTCGCTAAAAAGCTTAAAAAAATAAATACATTTTACATTAATTATTATCATTCGGGTTTATTTTTGATTGATCCCACTAACGGACAAACGAAGCACTTTTGTATAGAAGTAAATTGTGTGCAATTAACTTATATTGATTCAATAAATACATAGTTGTATGAAATACTGAAACTCCCTGTATATTTTATAAGTCTGCTTTGGAAAAAAAATATCCAAAAATGTTTTTTCTCAAAAAATGTAGCCCTTTGATGCCCTCTAGCGGACAAACGAAGGACTTTTGTATAGAGGTAAATTGGGTCCAGTGAACTTATTTTGATTTCAAAAATACGTAGTAGTTCTATGTCCACGGAATGTTGGGACACCCTGTACAGGGACATATAAAAAATAATCGCAATATTTGACAACAAATTTAAATGATCGAACAGAGAAAGATTTGACTGGTAGACAATTTAAACCATTTTGTTCAAACAACATTTCTTAAAATGGTAATAAAAAGGACATTTTATAATTAAACCAACTGAGATTAATTTAGTGTACTTATATGTAGTATGTAGTATGTAGCATTTAATGTAGACTGTTTGAGGACACTGTATATAGAGGAAAATCCATGCGATGCGATGGGGGGATTACATTTTTAATAGAAGTTTGGAGAGATTTTGACTTTTTGTTAGGTCTAATCATTTCGAAATATGAAGCTGTAATGTTCTTTACTTCACAATAGCGTCATATCAATCTTTACGATTAATGTATTTTTTTTAGGAAAACCCATTCAAAAAACGGATTTTTGAAGTTTTTTCGAGGGATTCTAAGGGTAACTTAACTTTCGAGGATTTCCTGGACATGTTATCGGTTTTCAGCGAATCCGCTCCCAGAGATATTAAAGTTTTTTACGCCTTTCGAATATACGGTAAAAAGCGAACCGAAGTTTATTGTGCAAATATCGACAATTTTTTTCCAGATTTTGATAACGACAATTTCGTCGGGCCTACAGATATTGACACTGCGCTGATTTTATTGACGAGGCAGGAGCTTACCGTCGAGGAGAGGAGACAAATAACAGAAAAAGTAATAGAAGAGTCCGATGTAGATGGAGATGGGAAACTTTCTTATATCGAATTTCAGCACTGTATTACAAGGGCTCCAGATTTTTTATCGACGTTTCACATACGTATTTAGTTAAAAGATTTGTTACGTTTTTTACTACTTTGTAATTGTAATTTTAGTAAATATTAAATATTGTAATTAATTCTCTTTAATAAAATATAATTTTTAATTATAAATTTGTGTTTTAAATTTTCGTTTGTCAAGAAGTTCTCTAATGCAAAGTATATTTCCAAGCTCATTTTTCTTAAAAACATTCCAGTTTTTTTTATCAGCTTAATGTATAGTACGGGGAGTCATAAATCACAAAAAAGAAACAATCAGAATATTATTTTTTTTTGTATTAAGAGTATCGGTAAACAACAGCATTATATAAAATTTCGAAGGGAAGATATTTATTTCCTGATTTTTCCCTTGAGAGATTATGAAGTTTAAATAACATTGAAATTTTGCCACAAAAAAAATGAAAAATCTAATCAGGTATATTGATGTTATCTGAAAATTGAACACTTTTATATGTAAATAAAAAAGTTATTTAAGTTGAAATAAAATTTTATTTCTAGACCTATACGAGAGTAGTTCTGAAGGCGATGATTTGAGGATGTGTATAATGGCACTTGAAAATTCTAATCACATAAACTGATCTTATTTGAAATGTGTACACCCCTAAATTTGGTAGATTAAAAATAATTTACGTGTATGTTAAAAAAACTCTCCTAAAATTTCTTCCAAACTCATACGAGGATAGGGCACCGGCCCAGCTACGTCGAAACACCGGTTCCCAACCGAAGTTAAGCGACGTAAGCGATACTAGTGGATGGACGGGTGACCGGTTCGAAACTTTGTATCATGCTGTTGTCCAATAAAGGCAAAAGTGTCAAATCTATTGACACACACTGCTCATTCACGCCGGTTCGAGGCCGGATGAGATCGGATATCTCGTGAGTAAGAGTTGATTTAGACACTTGCCAAGTCGGTAGGCCATTGACCATGATATGGCCGAGGACCGCGGTTCGGATTCCGCGTAAACAAAGTAGGCCCCGTCCAGATTAGCCCTGGCAGCAAAAAGGAGACGTTAACTGAAATCTTTACTTTACTTTTCATACGAGGATAATTCTGAAAGGGAGTAGGGGTGAAGTATGTGAAAAACTACATGTAAAACAACCGTTCAGGTATATTGACCATATCTGAAGAGTGTACACATTTAAATTTGTCATAATAAAAATAATTTACATATTTTAAGAAAATTACCTGAAATTTCCTTCTGTTTAGAAGGAAATTTCAGGTAATTTTCTTAAAATATATGTAAATTATAAGATAATATGTAAATTATAAAACCTATAAGAGAATAAGAAGTTATGAAAGGAAGTAAGGGTGAACGGTATGAAAAATTGCATTTGAAATATCCAGTCAGGTATATTGACCGTATCTGAGATGTCTACACCTTTAAATTTGTCATATTAAAGGTAATTTTCATATATTTTAAGAAAACTACCTCAAATTTCCTTCCAAACCCATAAAGGGTAGTCATGAAACGCTGTAGGGGTGAGGGTATGACAAATTGCATTTGAAAAATTCTATTAGGGGTATATATTGACCTTATCTGAAATATGTACAACTTTAAATTTGTCGTATTAAAAGTAATTTACATACATACATTTTAAAAAACCTACCTCAAATTACCTTTCAAATCTATAAGAGGGTAGTTATGAAAGAATGAAGGGGCGAGGGGTGTAAAAAATGAATTTGAAAAAACATATCATACCTGTTATATGTTAAAAGTAATTTATATGTATTTCAAAAAAGCAACCTATTTTAAAATTACTTCCAAACCCATACAAAGATTGGGTAGAACGAAGATAACTCTGAAAGGAAGTAAGGGTAAGGGGTGTGGAAAATTGCATTTAAAAAATCCAACTAGCTATTGAAGTGTTATTTACATATATTTTAAGAAACCTACGTCAAATTTCTTTCCATCCCATAATGGGGTAGTTATGAAAGGATGTAGGGGTGAGGGGTGTGAAAATTGCATTTGAAAAATCCAACCAGGTATCAGGTATTGACCTTATCTTGAAAAATCCTATCAGGGGTATTGTGTACAACTTCAAAGTTGTCGTATTAAAAGTAATTGACATACATTTAAGAAACCTACCTCAAATTTCCTTTCAAATCCATAAAAGCGTAGTTATAAAGGAAGTGGGGATGAGGGGTGTAAAAATTGCATTTAAAAAATGCATTCAGGTATAGTGACTATATCCGAATAGTGTATGTACAACTTTAAATTTGTCGTATTAGTAGTAATTGACATATATTTTAAGAAACCTACCTCAAATTTGCTACCAAGCCCATAAGAGGGTTGTTATGAAAGGCTGTAGTGATGAGGAGTGTAAAAAATTGTATTTGAAAAATCCAATCAGGTATATTGACCTTATTTAGAAAGTGTACATACCCTTAAATTTACTAACAAATTAAAATGAATAAGAGTGAAAATAAGGTACATAAAAAAATGTACTGCCATATACTGACCTTATTTGAGTCGGACACACCACCCATCAATATGTGAAGCAATTAGAACTAAATCAGAATATAAGGAAGTTATAGGAAGGATAAGAAGATTTCTTAGGGTCGAAATAATACTACTTAATTTAAAACAATATAATTACCATACAAGTTACCATACATATTCCTTAAGTATAACAATATTACTTACCACACATATCTTAAACAGCATTAGTATTTTAGTTAATGTTAAGCATTAATTTTAGCGGAATATATCTAAGAGAAGCGCTGCCCTATATATTAATTGAAAATATACATTAGTAATTTTAATATTTATATTATAATCTTAATTGTTATGAATTGGTGTTAAAAGAATTATTCTCTAAATATTATTTAATAACTAACAATATACATATATTAAATGCAATTTTAAGGCTAAGCACATATAAATACAGGATGTTGAACTTGCAATCTTCTTTTTTTAAGAATTTGGTTTCATTTTTTAGTTTAGATTTATTTTCACCGAATTGTATTTTTTGTTTCATCACTTTTTTGCTCAAACAAAATTGCTCCACTAAAACTCCATCACTTCAAAAGCAAAATACATATTTGCAAAAATAAAGACAATTTCTTTAAAACCTACAGAGAGAAATTTTTCGAGGCTCATAAGCCAAATTAATATATTAAAGTATTATAAAAACTTAACGAAAATATTCTCTGCGCGGACTCTGAACCTACAGGCATATGTTAATTTGTAAGATTGTGTTTTATAATAACCGAATAGATAATAAAGAATGTCCAGTTTGATTAAAATCTACGCAGGAACAAATTAGTTGAAACTTGAAACTATCTCTAAAGTTAATATACTGAGTTATTTATATTATGAATAAAATATTGATTTAGTTTTATACCGTATATTTACTTACAAGAATAGGCATATTTCTAAACAATTCGGTGAAATCAAACCATTTTAGTATGATGTATAAAATGGGTTTCCTTCAATACATATCCGTATATGTAGTTGGATTCCTATTATTTTTCATCCAATTTCAAGTCGATACAATAAATATAGAGAAATCCTACTTTTAACTACACACTTATCACAAATTATTTCATTATTAGCTATCTAAGATATAAAACAAATTTGTACTTATCATATTCCCAAGCATCATGTTAAATTCAAGTATTAAGGTTTAAATAATTACAAATTTTAAGCAAAAATTACGGCGAGTCGTCTATTCTTTACAAACCTATATATTCAGGTTTTTAGAATAATTGAATAATTTTAATTTCATTTGTGAGAAATATTTGACTTGTCGAAAATGACATAATACTGTATTTATATTATTAAATTTCGATAATCTTAAGATAAATTCGATTTGATTTAAGTTAAGGTAAATGAATTTAATTTATTCAAGTTTACATTTTTAACTGAAAAAAAGTTACTTTATAAAAAAATATCTGAATATGATATGTACTCTCTGATTTTTTCTGAATAGAAACCTAACGTTTTTTAATAGAATTTTTCAAAAATATACTTTAAAAAGAATTCGATGTGATTCACTATTAAAATATTTTGAATAGACAAAAATTAATTAAAGTGGAAAAAAATATTATGAACAAACTTTAAGTTTCCACTAGAACCTAAATCGGAGAGTATATTTTACGTATCTCTTTTTCCCGTGGATATGGAAATTTGACTCAAAACATGTGAAATAAGTACTTGAAAAGTTGGTTACGCAAGAGCTGAACTCGTTGGGATATATATACCGAGTGGACCGAATTGTATTCGGGAAACTTCGACAGTATATTCGACAAATAAGAATAAATAAGAGTTCCTATAAATGTATGTCCTAAAATGCTTGGTTTCGGAGACACAGGGTGTAGAAATTTCATTTTTATTTCGATTTTTTTCAAATAATGTCTATAATGTCTGGACTAACGTCGATTTTTGGATGAAAATTGGTGTCTTGGAGTATTTTGATACGAGAAATTTGATTTCGGTGTTAATATAATGGCAACCTATTTGTGGGGGTGCCACCTACATGTTCCTGAACTGTTTGGAAGAGTAATAATTTTTCGTCCGTACCTGTATAAAACTACTGAGAGAAAAAATATACGTTCCCGCCGTTTTTTGCGTAAAAAAGATATCTTGATAAAAATCGCGTAAAAAAATGAGTAATGGTTTTCGAGATATTTGAAATCAAAATTATCAAAAGAATAGATTTGAAAGGTTTAAACTGTTTCATCATATTTTTTTTCTAGAAAAAAAACTATAATTAATTAAAAAAACTAAAAAGTTCACAAATTCGTAATTTCTGTGAAATAACTATCTAGTCAACGTGTTCAGTTTATGTCAATAATGACATGTATTGATAATTTCGATTCAAGATATCTCGAGAGCCATTACTTGTAGCGATTTTACCAAGAGATCTTTTTTACGTAAAAAAAAATTACGGAAATTAATATTTTTTCACTCAGTAGTTTTATACAGGTATGGAAGAAAATTTATTACTCTTCAAAACAGTTCAAAAACATGTAGGTGGCGGCCCCTAAAAGTAGTAGAGATCAAATTTTCCATATCGAAAAACTCCAAGGCACTTTAAGACATACATTTATATGAACTTTTTTACTTATTTTTATCTGTAGAATAGGTTGACGAATTTTCTCGAATACAATTCGGACCACCCTGTGTGTGGGTCATGACTCAATTTGTCATGACTCATTATAACATTTTTACTGATGAAAGAATAATTTTGATATGCCCCAAAATACTCACTTGTGTGTATTTAAATATGCTAAAGCTAAAAATGTCACAAAGCTTTGGTTAATTAAATATGTAACAATAATATAAAATCTTTTTAAGTGTGAAAGAATATATAGTTAGGTAAGAACTTTTATTATATGAATAATTTTATTTTTTTACTAAACATTTTCCTACATCTTATATTTGCTTTTGTTAATTATGGTAATTCAATGTTTAGTAAAAAAACTTACTAGAAGATTAAAGAAGAGAAATTTTAAAACCAACTAGAACCTCCTCCAAGCTTAGAGCCAATTCCACCAATGCCTTTTCCTAAGAAATTGCTGACACGTCCCGCAACCATGTTTCCTACGTTTGATAAAGGATTTCCATCATCTCCTCCAAGGCTCTCCATCAATGATTTACTACGACTATCGCTTTCATCTTCTCCCATTCCCAATCTGAAAACAATATATTCTCGTGTTAATTTTCTAAATTTCCCTTTTTAGGGAACATGCCAGAACATTGTATTAATATACAGGGTATTCCCTAATGACATGCTAATATTTAAGGAGGTGATTCTTGGACCTATTCTCAGAGAAAAACTTCATATGGATGTATGTCCTAAAATCTTAATTTCTGAGATACAGGGTGGTTAATTTTTCTAATTTTTTTCTTCATAAAGCTCTGATTTTATTACGGTTATCTTTATGAAACTTGATACACCTCTTCTATGCATCAAAATACCATTTTTGATGTACAGGGTGGGTCAAATCCGACGCTTTTAAATGGAAACACCCTTTTCTATAGGAGATAGACGAAAACTAATATCGGTGTCTGGAGCTCAATTTTCATCAAAAACATGATGGTGAAAACCGCACATCAATATCTGTTACCGTTTCGGAGTTACGGGGTGTTTTTCAAACATGTACATTTTTAACAAATCCCTGTAACTTTTTTGCTATGGAAAATTTTGTATTTCTATGAAAACATTTCCAAAGCACCTTTTTACGTACAATTTAATGGTTTAAGTATAATTTTTTTAAAATTAATAATTTAAGAGTTATCAACAGAAAAATTGATTTTTTATTTGGGACATCCTCTATATTTTTAATTAACTGAAAAGAATTTAAAATTACCTTTCCAAAAATATAGCACACTTGATATTTTGTTATAATCCCCTTCGTAATACAGAATTTTTAAAAGTTCACCACTTTTAACTAGTAGGCTTTGGACCCCTTATTGATGATATGCCCTTAATGGAACTCGAAAACATATTTATCCAGCAAGACAACGCACCGCCTCTGAACGCTGAAGTTATCAGCAAATTTTTCAGCCAATTTCAAGAATAATTGAATAGCTAACCAAGATCCCAGCCGTTGGCCGTCGAGGCCGTCTGACTTAGTGCCTATGGATCTAATCCTATGAATATATTTGCGGAAGAATAAAGGTTCCTTATTCTTCCGTATAATCTAGACAAGAATTAGAAATACTTAGCAGTTATGTGAGGGTATGTTTCACCCCCACTGAGTTAATGAATTCCGCGAGAAATGTTCAAAAACTGTCCCGTCTGTCCGTCGATATGTCGAACACCTGTAGCAAAATCTGATGTCTTGGTTTGCTATTTATTTTTATTGTTATTAGATATAGTTTAAATGTGTTGATGTTGGTTAAATATATTTAAATTGTTATAAAATTCTGCATCTCTCATAGCAAATATTATTTTCGTTTTAATTGATGCTCACAGCTAGATATTTTTTGCATTACAGCCGGTGCCGTTCAAAGCCTCCTTATTTAAAGCGGGCGAATTTTTATATACTCTATATCTCGAAGACGAATAGAGCAAAATATCAAGTGTGTTATATTTTTGGAAAGGCAATTTTAAATTCTTTTCAATAAATTAAAAATATACAGGGTGTCCCATACAAAAAATCAAATTTTCTGTTGATAATTCTTAAATTATTAATTTTAAAAAAATTATACTTAAACCATTAAATTCAACGTAAAAAGGTGCTTTGGAAATGTTTTCATAAAAATACAAAATTTTCCATAGCAAAAAAGTTACAGCGATTTGTTAAAAATGTATATTTTTGAAAAACACCGCGTAACTCCGAAACGGTAACAGATATCGATATGCGGTTTTCACCATCATGTTTTTGACAAAAATTGAGCTCAGACACCGATATTAGTTTTTGTCTATCTCCTATAGAAAAGGGTGTTTCCATTTAAAAGCGTCGAATTTGACCCACCCTGTACACAGAATTTTATTTATTTTAACCAATGCCATCCATACGGGGTTTACATTGAATATTTTTGGAGAAGAAAATAGTACACCACTGACTTCTCTTAAAATAAAACTTATTTTCAAAATCTCCATTCATTTTTAAACATTTATCTCTTGATTTTTCCTTCCAAAATTTTTTCAAAAAATTACAAATTTTATTTTCTTTTTTCGCGAAAAAAACCTCATAGGCGTGTATCCGGAGTCGAAATATACGACCAGTTAAAATATCTGTACTTATTTCTGGGGCACCCTGTATAGGGAAGTAATTATGAAAGGGAGTAGGGGTGAGGTATGCAAAAAATTGCATTTCAAACTTAGCTTTTTGATGGTAAAATTCGTAAAAAACTGGATCAGAGTATAATGTTCTAGTAAATATTAGACACATGTTTTCTTTAAATGTAAAACTTACCCATCGGTTTGACCTAACGTTAAAGCACAAGTTGCTTCTTCAGTTTGCATTCTTTGAGCTATCGTTTGATAGGCTTTAGAGTTGAGTTTATCTTCCATAACACCATGAAGTTCAAAATCGGAATATATTTTCTATAAAATATTACTTTCAAAATAGGTCGGTTTATTTAAAGGTTTTTTAACCTACCTTTACAATATGAGCAAGGCACGTACATTGGTATGGATGCAAAGTGTGGTCCAATCTCTCTGACAACCAATTGCAAATCATATTCATCTCGCCTGTATACCACTGTTCGAAGAAATTTAAGATCCAAAGTTCATCGGTAACTTTCCCCCTAATTTGCTCCATGCAGTTGCGCAAAAAATTTACATAACTTTGACCTACGTCTTTACCAGATCCCGATACATTCTAAAAAATAATTAGTTAATACAAATTGATTAAGATAACTCTATTAAACACACTGTAAAACTTAGAATTGATCCTATTAAACTGCCTTCGTCGTATCGAGAAAGTTTAGACAAAGTTGCTTCAAGTACAGACATAAGTTTACTCAACATCCCTTGATTCATATTAGCTAATGTCTTATCTATTTGGTCATCGATCTTCGTATGGTATTGATGCTAGATAGTACAATAATATCCGTTAATTATTACTTATCCGTTATATTACTATTAGAAAGGTTAAAAAAAACTATCGTACCAAATCAATTCCATCAACTGCGCACAACTTGAAGGACTGATTTTTCGCATCTAAAATGACGTTGACCATAGCACACATCTCCGATGGTAAAATGTAGTCCGTTGAAAGGAAAGTAACTGACTTTTTCAGCCATTGATGAAAGGCTGTTTCTGTCCTTTGAATACACGATTCGATCATATCACAAGCCATAAGTTTCAATCTTTGTTCAAGGTGTTGTCTAAATTCTGTGTCCGGCCAATGCAGATCTCGAATGAAAGACTGGAGGGCATCTAACTTCCAGAACAGATCTTCTGATGTAGCACACCCGTTCCTAAAGAAAAACATGTTGGAAAACAAGCAGTAGTGTAATTATTAATAATTACCCTTTGATTTCCCATCTTTCCTTTTCAAAACCTTTATGAATAGACTGTGCTATAGAAGATTCCATCAGATCTACGTATCTAACTACTAAAGGTGCAAAAGTGTCTCTTAGATGTTGATGAAAACGCCCATTCTTTAAATTATCTATAAAAAACATTATGCGTAATGACTAAGAAGAACTAAACGATTTGGTCTGTTAATGACAGTGATATAATCCACCGTTTCTATTAATCACCGAAGACTAAATATCTTAGTAGTGATGTATAGGTAAGTAGTCTTGATATATTGAGTAATAAGAATAGGCAGCATTCAAAATTGGATCCACCGTTCCGCGCTAATAAGAACTTCAGACTTCAGTAACATATAAAGGAACTTCATACAAGAGGCATCTTACCATCTGCTCTGAGATAATCATTAAGTATTTGGAAAAGTGGAAAAGAGTCCCATGTGTCGGCTGGTTGCTCTGCTAACACTCGATCCATATCAACAGCAAATAATGACCAAAATATTTCAGCATGTTCAACCAAAAGGTCGCTAAACCACGCAAATGCCTGTTAGAACATAAATTAGTAATAATTTATACATCTTGAGTTTTTGCACTTATAAAATTTAAAAAGTGTTCATATCTACGAAGATACAGCTTGTACAAGTATAGCTAATATATAAGATTATATATGTTAAAGGCACCTCTCAAAATGTATCATCGCGGGGGAAGTAAGTTTGCGATAGATTTCTGAATTTTAGTTTTCTACTTCAATCAGCAAAAGGATCTTAAGATATAATATTCTGTAAGAATTATTTTTATTTTGGACATTGTCTTAGAACAAGACTCTCTATCAATTAATTTTCATTAGTAATTGATACGAATTGTGTACTTACAATACCTAGCTACACTTGTAGAATTGTACCTTTTAAGAGTTTTCTCTGTTTATTTAAGTTTTTGTTCTGATTGATGTGAATATTTTTATGTATAAAGGGAAACATTCAGGCATGCGACATATCAGGCGCTGACTGAAAACTTATGCAACACCAAATATCACTTTTCAATAACAAATACAAGCACAAGATTGTTTTTTTTTCATTAGATCTTTGTTTATATTGAAAAGTGCGAAGAAGAGGTATGCGTTAGAATGCAAGAGACACTCCACACTACAATGAAAAGCACAGCGAGATATTAGATATTTACCCAGTGTAATGGAAATAAAAATGAAATTTAGAATAAGTATATTTTGTTCTGGTTACACCCTAAGTTTTTTGACTCAGTCGGCACCTGGGTTAAAAATAAAAAAAAATCTAATAAATCTCATTCTTTACATTCTCTTGTTACAGTAACGACAATTTAAGTCCATATATAGGTATCTATATATTTGAAATATAATGTAAAGAATATTATTGAAAATACTTTTACTTAGTCATCATAAATAATACTAAGACAGAATATTTTCATTAAATGTGAAAACTAAAATAATATAATTAAACTGCACAGTGATATATAGAAAATAATTTATGATAGAATATGCCATATAAGTATGTCGCTATTTTTATACCATACACTAAAGCTGTATCCATACATAATAAATGTAATATATATATTTTTCATCGAATCCTAGCAAAATTAGTTGGAATAAAAAAAATTCTTTGTCGACTTTTTCCAAGATTTTTATTATATCCGAAAATAATGTAAAAAAATAACAAGATTCTATTCTAAGTTATAAGCATGTAAGCTCATATCAAATTTTTTTCAGAAATGCCAACCAATTACCTTATTTTGTGAGATGTTTTGTTGTTTTATTATATATATTTCTTTTATTATTTTATTTCAACAGAAACAAAGGACTAATTTAATTAATTGGCTTATTGTTTTGTGTTACATTATTTTTTATTATATTTTTTATACTTATGGATTGTTTTTGCTGCTGTTGATATACGTACAATTATAATTTGCTAGTTTATTTTATTATATTTAATTATTATTTGATTTATTATGGTATAGAACCAACTAGGAATGTTTCTTATTCCTGCTTTAATTGAATTTGTTTGTTTTTTCTTTTATTTCTTTATGTTTAATTTATTTTTTTTATGTTTTCCTGTCAATGTTATCAATTTTTTTATGTTTTTTCCTAATTCAATTATTATACTTTGTTTAGCTGTTTCAGCTTTTTTCTTGTCATTAGTGTCTGTCATTTTATATTCCTTATTTTCTTTTCTCTTTTTCGTTCTGTCTCCTTTAAGAGAGCTGTTTTTTACTGTTTTTCGTCAACAGATCTTATTTTTGTTGTCTGAGTCAGTCTATTTTAGATACAGCTTTAAAGATATGTTTATTAAATCAAAGTACTGTACCAACCTATTGATAAATAAAAATTGTACCAATTTAATAACTGTAAATAAAATTTAAGTCAATAAATACATTATTTGAAATGTTGGAAATTTAAAGACGTATGTCACTTCACGAATGTGTATACTGCGTTTTTTAAGAAAGTGTTATGTTTGTCTTTTTTTCCACTGTCCACAAGCTATTTTGGGTATCTCTTTAAATTTGAATATGTATTATTTAACATAGTTAAGAACAATTTATATAGTTGTGGACACGGTTAAACAAAAAATTTAATTTGAAAAAGAAAAAGCCTAGATTATATACATAGATGGAAATATATCTTAATTTTTATATAAATATATATTTTAGAATCGACAATAATTTGTTATCTTTTTCGTTCTGTCTCCTTTTCAGAGAGCTGTTTTTTACTGTTTTTCGTCAACAGATCTTATTTTTTTATTTTAAAATTTATTAGTCCTACTAAGTAGGTAACAAAGTACGTAAGAAAGAATAGGTACCCCCATGGACAGTTGGAACTTCTAATACACAAAAGGCAATAAATTATGGTTAATGAAGGAGAATCTCTTTTTTTTAAATGTTGCAAAATGTATATGTAGTTATAAATTTCTCTATAACTATCAAAACAAATGTAATAATAGTCTAGCGCACTATATACAGGGTGATTCTTAAATAAGAGCAAATCTTTTCGGGGCTGGTAGATCTCAACAAAAGAAACATATTTTCCCTCTACCGTTTTTCAAATAAGTCCAAAATAACCGAGTTATTTTACTTTGAAAATTAAAAAGATATATATTTTTTGGTTAAATTTTGAGAACCACTGGATCTTTTCTGGGTTTTAAAAATGTAAATTTAATCTACCACCTATGTTGCCATATTATCAAGAAATTATGTTTTTTAACAAAAAACTAAAAAAAATTCAAATTTTTTTTTTCAGAAAATTCCAAATTTTCAAAAAATCTGACGATAGCTCTTAGTCGAGTCGATTGAGAACGCGTCCTCCTTTAGGTAGTCTATTAAAATTCCAGCCGGAGGTTATAATAATAGTACCCCCGCAGCCGCCAACTCTTAATCTATAAGAATTATTATTTATTCTTTTCAGTTAATGGCTGCCTTGTTAAATTATAATAAACTTGTACATTCTTCATATGTTTTTGAAGAGCGAAAACGTAATCTAATAGCATCAACATAAATCTAATGTTAGACACTGGTTTAGTAGAGACTATACAAGGTAAGACGTGGATATTTCCATCTATGTTAACGTGTATGATCTAGGGAAAATGAAGAGAAAGAAATGTAGTACGTGCCGTAGGATCTGGTGGGGTGAAAGTGGCATGCGGAGGCATGCAATAGCGAGACACAGAGTTTGAGTGCTGCTTGGCGAGCCGACTGGGCGTGGCCGGATTTGCGGGGAGGCCTGGCGCCCCCGCCTGGCCCTGTCCGGCCTGGGCTTGAGCCTGGCTGGCCAATGGCCGGTCGGCCTTGCGCAGTTGCTACAGTCACATTACAGAATTACACAGACAGTTAAGTCACATATGGTTACAGATAGAAAGGGTACATATCTGGCTGTTCTCAATTAGTACTTAGCTTTGAGTGGCTTTGATATACATGCATAGAATAAGAAGATCTTTAACCGCCTATGGAATGTTCAAAAATTTATTACAGATAGCATTCAAAATATTAATAGTCATACACAATGTACAGGGTATCCTATTTTCGTGTGTTTTGTGGGGTTCCTCGTTGATGAGTAGAGATACAAAGATGCGTTTTAAAGTTTCACATCACTGTGTTACTTTGTTATGAAACTAAAGGTGATACTCACAGATTTGTCATAGTTTTCTTGTTCTCTGAAATACAGGACAAATTTGAAAATGTTTCATTTTCCGACCCCTTTCGTATCTCGGTTAACTTATAACATATCGAAAAGGTGAAAACTGAGTTCCATAGAGTTTTTCACGCAGAATCCAGTGGCGTATATAGTTTTTTTACTGGTAGCTGTAATTTTCGAAATATTAGTCAAATTATGTTTTTTAAAATTGAATATCCCGTATATTATTTTCTATTTTATTTGACTTTGTTATTAGCTGTCTAAAAATATAATATACTCATCTACTAAGGGCTCAGAGACGTGGAAGGGGATATAGTAGATTTGTCGCAGTCGACCGGTCGCGTCGCCTCAATCAGTACCTACCTCTGTCAGTACTTAAAGTTCTAGGGAAATGCTACATCATGCGTTCAGCTTCACGATTTAATTATGTCTCGTAATGCTTTATTTGTTTATTTATTAACGAGTCATTGTAATTTTCCCTATAGCTTGAAAAATTTTAAGTGCAAGTTAGAAACACTTGCATTTTTGGTAAAAATAAGTGGAATTGAGTGGTGTTCGACAGTGGTCGCACTATTAGAACTCTAAATTCAAAAATCGATATCTTTAAATCTATCGAAAATATCTCGAAATCTATATTTCTTCTCTTCTTAATATCTCGAAATCTATATTTTCGAAAAAAAAATCTTTTAAAAATAAGCGGTTTGCGATCGTGATTTTACTTTACTTGATAGGGAAAGGCGTACCGGCAACGCCGCAACAGCACACCGTCGCATTTCTCTCCCTCCGACTTAACCCTATGCGATTTACTTCTACACATGTAAATACCGACCCAAAAGTAACAGTTGCCAGCACGGTATATTTATCTTCACTAATGAAATATAAAAAGATTTTTTTAACTTTTTAACATAAAAAAGTAACATAAACCTAGCTTAAAACAGTATTATTAATTTATTTTATTTAATTTAACCAGATAATTTTGCGTCGTGTTATCTTAATAATCTGCACTGGAAATAAACTTGAGCAGCTTTTTAACAACTAAACCAAACCAAACCAAACACGCTGTTAATCAGAGTTATTGATATTTTGATGCACTTGCGCAATAATTCTACACACAGAAACTAGCGTGGAATAGCAAATAACGAAAATTTGACGTCGAATAAATTATTTCATTGTTTTGATTGCCGAATTTGAACCGACGACTGCTTATGTTAAAAAGTTAAATAACGCATTTTTACCTTGCTTATGAGAATACGTATAGATAAATTATATTTTTACAAAGTTCACAACAAGGCGAATAAAATAATATACAAGGTATCACATTAAAAAAAACATAAGTTTGGATCATAGCGAAAATCTAGTTACGCCACTAAATTCTACGTCATCTTTAGCTTCATAAAAAAAGTAGCACAGTAATGTAAAAACCGCATTTTTGTACCGCTACTTATAAGCGTGGAACCCTGTAAAATACGATTTTGGGACACCCTCTACAACTTTATCTACATAATAAAATCTAAATCTAAATATCCGAGATATATATTAAGTTATCCAAATACCTATAAAGTAAGTAATAACTGAGACCAGTCAGAAGACAGAAAAGTATCTATATCATTACATTAAACAAATGATGTTATCACACAATATAGCATACGCACACACAATTGTATTTTTACAGACATACCTTGATCTGTACATATTTTTGTTATCTATAAAACATTGCTACTAGCTATATTACTTTCTCGAGAGATCAAGGTATTGTATGTATGTTTTATACAAGTCCGACAGTACGATTTTTTCATTTACAAAGTTAGAGTAACATTCACTGTTTAATTATGGATTTTTTCTAGTAATAAAATTTGGACAGAGTACAGTATGTCAAATGTTTATTTTCCTGTATTTAAAAAATCAATATAATTGTTAAGTAGGTATCTAGTACTATATAGTGTGTTGAGATCTTGGTATAATGCTATCTTGTTTCAGAAAAACTATTATATAAAATATATGACACTTTTAGAAGAAAGCAATATTTTGAGAAAAAAAATATTTTAGATTAGAACAAGATAGCTAGTTGTTTCCTATTTTGGACACACGAAAAAAAGTTAATTTATGATTAAAAAAGCAGTAGGGTAATTACTTACTTCTGCATAATGTTCTTCGTTTTGTTGTAGTAGGTCCACACACAGTTCAGCGAGATGTATTAAGTCGTCAAGTTTTTTACTTGGCGATACCATAGTTTCGCCTCTTAAATCCTCTGAAATATTGTTTTTTTAAACAAACAGATATAAATACAACATGATTTTTTTTGTAATGTGCCCTACTTGATATGTAATCATTTATCAAAATATATTTAAAAAATATTCATTCAAATATACGTTAATGTTAAAACTTTTATAAGAAATAAATTAGTCCTGCTTACGTAATCATACTTGTAATTTTATTTATATTAGGCGTAAATTAAGCATCAAAAGGTATGAGAATTAAAATTAACATAATAAAACAAGTAAGTGTCATTCCTACTTAGATCAATTATGACAAAAAAAATACAATATAAAATTTAAAAAAATCACTGAATAGACTACCACTTAATTTCCTACCTTCAATTTTGGCTTCAGATGACAACCGGGTATAGTTAACCAAGGCAGCTGTTTCTAGACATTTTTTAATAACACCTCGAACTTCCTCTGGTGCAACTGGTGTAGCAATGTCCTTCATTAAAACTCTTTCCAGCAACGAAATCGTTGCTTTTAGCCCACCTTCTGGCCTCCCAAATGGAAATGTATATCTAGAAATTAGCACGAATATCCACGATTAACAAAATCGAAACTAAATTATAAATAAAAGCAACAAGATACTCAAGCAACAAGACAAAACAGTGTTTCCTTGCATGTTGAACTTGTAGATCAAGCCATATTCAAACACCTTCATAAGCTGTAAGCTGTTGTTCCTTTGTGCAGAGAAGTGTACGATGTTTTTGTTGGTGTTAGTGTCTTCTGGTGTATCTTTGATTATTTGTGGATATTTAATATTAAGCAGTGACGCCACAGACCCGCAATTAGCGAATTCAAACATAATCACTGCAATAAAGCTGTTGTTTTACCTGAAATTCGTCACCTGGTGTTCTAACAATACTCTAAGCCGTTCTTTTACTTCTTGGAAGCGCTCCTTCTCTTCGTGGGTGACACTGCCAACTCCATCTGGTCTAGAGTCAATACTAGAGTTACCGATTAATATGAGTAGATGAGTCAAAAAATCTCCGCGGCAAAACTGGACATTTCATAAAGCAAATTTCGGTTGAATTTTTCTTTTAAAAGGATCGAATTGATTAACTTATAAAATATTATTAATATTTAACTTATAAAACAAATGACAAGATAAACACATCCATATTCCGATCCAAGAAGAATATAAAACAATACAAAAAAATAGATTTAATTACAGTTCAAAATTATACAGGATGTCCCTTAATGACTTGCTAATATTTAAGGAGGTGATTCTAGGACATATTCTAAGAAAAAAACTTCATACAAATATATTTTCTAAACATCTTAACTTTTCAGTTACAGGGTGGTAAAATTTTCAATTTTTTTTTCAAAATATCTTTAATGTTATATTTGATACACGTGCATACTTTCATGCATCAAAATTAATATTTTGATATACAAAAAGAATGTTTTATTCATTAATTTACTTCCAGCCGATGCAGACATTATTTCCACACAACAGTTACTGCATCAGATTTTAAGCGATTTGACATAATTTTTTTTCATCAAGAGATAAAAATAAATTAGAAATGAAAGGAAATTTTGAAGATAATTTTTATTTTAAGAGAGGTCAGTGGTGTACCCCTTTTTTCTCTAAAAATATTCAATATAAAACCCGTATGGACGGCACTGGTTGAAATAAATAAAATTCTTTGTACACCAAAAAAGGTATTTTGATGCATAGAACATGTGTATTAAGTTTCATAAAGATATCTATAATAAAATCAGAGTTATTGTAAAAAAAAGGTTTTTTTAAGAAAAAGAAAATTTCACTTCATGAAAAAAGAGATTTCTGAGAAAATTCATATGAAGTTTTTCTCTTAGAATAGGACCAAGATTTAAACCAAGTTAATTTAATCATTTAACAATTAGAACAGATATTTGCTTCATCAAAATTACCTATCTTATCGCAGAGTTTTTTTAACCTATCTACCTAGTCAGAGCTTTATTGATAAATAAAATCAATACAAACCTATTTCCGTGAACATGGCTAGCGCAGAATGCAAAACTGTAGTGGATTAATGTTGGATCGATCATGTAATTCTTATCAGCTCTTTCCAGAAGATCAGATAAATACGTCAGATGTCTAAAACAACCTCGAACTCCATATCTAGCGCAGTATTCGTCCAACACAAAAACTTGTCCCGGACTGAACCATCCCTGTTAATAAAATAGACAATATATACTATTTATAAATACAGTAACTGTAAAATATATACGTCAGACATGTATGTTTCTTATTTATTTCCATTAATTACGCAATGTTTCTTACCAATGAACAATAAGGATCATTCAATCGATATTCCAAGGTTAAATTCTGGAGCATTTTAAACATAGAAGCGTGGTCGAACTGACAAGGATCTGCTGATATGAAATCTTCCATCCCATGCTTTCTAGCTCTATCAGCATCTAAAACAGTCATACATTTTTTTAAAACAAATTTCAGTCATTAAAAGAATTTTGTTATTGTTTATTGCCAGGTTCCTTCTGTAATTCCGTAATTATTTATTAATCAGTATATGCTTATTACAAGTACCTAATAATTATTTTTATTAGAATTAAGATTTTAAATACTACAGTTTTGATTTACCTCCTTGAATTTTAGAAATAGTTGAATTCTTATCTTGCAAGGTCAATGGAGGGGTCGGTTTATGTGATTGACCAGTAGCGCGATACATTGCCATCACCCATAAATGACATTCATTTTCATCATCAGAGGCATAAATAATAATGTCACCTTCTCTGACGGCATTGAAGAAGTACCTTCCACCTTCCAAATCTAAAATATGAGACGGTTTTCATAAAAAAATATTTTCTAAATACTATAGGGGCTATAACTTACGCTTACCGGTTCCCACCATGAGAGTTGCTTAAAAAATAAAGTAAATTAGTCTGAAGTTTGTAAATTGGACTTAGTTAATTGTTATTAAAAGCTACTGTAATCGAATTCAAAAGTTTAAAAGTTCTATTAAAATTCAGCAGTAAAAGGTCATTTCAAGTTCACGTGGAACGTTTTACTAAAATGATATTGTGATATAAACTATATACGTTCCAGAAAAATTGGTTCATAAAAGTTTCCAAGTTTTATCTTAAAGTAATATATTATCTAATGTAATTTGTAAGTAAAAGAACCTTAAAGTAAAAGAACCAAACCAAACTATGATGCGTTTCATAAGAGGATATAATAAGATTAGATCTAAGTAAGGATCTAGTATAATTAAGAAATCATAAATATAACACAAATTATATCTGATATTGCAAAAAAATTATATAATAGCTCTACATTCCTATATTTTATAAAATTACCGCTTGATGCTTCTATATAATCAACAGTATATCCATCCAACTGCATCATCTCTGACGGTTCGGATTTTTTCTCTTTGTAACTACACATGGCAAAAGTATATTGAGAGACTTGAACTAAAACGTAGTACCGCTTCTTCCATTTCTTCCAAATGCTTTTCCCCAAAGCGTACAAATAACCGCAATGTTTCATATTTAAAGGCTTGTCCATCCTACACGCCACTTTGATGCGTAGATCTTGGTCAGGAAGATTTTTTGGAATAGTCATCTTATGCCATTCCGGAGCCTGTTAAAAATTATTGTAAGTTGACTTTATTTTAAACTTCTCCGTTTTCAATACCTTCGAGGATAAAGGTGTCGGTTTTAGAATCACTTTGCCAAGTTCTTTATCCTCTAAAGCAAGCATTCCTGGATTTTCGGTGAAAAGCTTAACTTTAACGATTGGTAATGGATGGGTTGTGCAAAAATCGCCTTGAGTGTCCCACATGGGCTTAGAAGCTTCTGCTTGATCTGTTTGTAGCTTTTCACCGTTCTCTACCTCCATCGTGCAATAAACAATTCTATTTGGTTGCAAGGATTTTATACCTCTAACTTCCATGACTAATACCTTAAAAAATTGTTTAAGAGTCCCAACAGAACATTTGCAGGAATATAAAATCAGCCTATATCTACCATAATAAAAACATTCATTATTAATTTTTTAATTAGATAAGTTTTTTTAAATAAATATATACCAAGTGTTTCTCAAAACTGGCTCGCCTCTATAACTTTTTTTGTATTTTATATGTGTTATGACATAAATTAGGATTGATATATAACCATATACTAACGTACCAAATCTTGTTTTTATTTAAAAAATTAAAAAAGTTGTAGGGGTGAACCACTTTTGAGAGACACTCTGCATACAATATTGCAATTGATTTATAAAGAAATGTAAACATTTTAAAAAATAAGTGGCGATAAAAATCGAGTAAAAAACATAAATTGAAAATCATGATATAATAGTCATTTCTATTTTTAAAAAAATGAAAAGTAGATAATGATTAAGTAGTGATCAAGATAATGAGCAATAACTAGGAATGTTTTAAAAAAAAATTAAGAGTATAATCTTACCTCTAGTTGAAAGGTAAGGACGACGTCCATTTTAGTGAGAGTAGTGTCACTGTCTGCGGAATCACCTTCCAATTTTGCTAAAGATCCTTGAGATCTAAAAGAAGTAACATAGTTCATCAAAATGTGCTTCACATTATACGGATTATTATGGTTATGCAACCTGTGATTATAGCGTTTTAGTTTTTGCAATCCATATTTAGAGTCCATCGATCCTTTCGATACAGGCAGTGATTCTAAATTTGTCATCAACAAGTTGATTGCTGACTTCAGTTCTTCGATGTATAAAGATTCCATTTCTTTGAGGACAAATTTGGGCAATAGCTTGCGATTCTATCGGAAAAAAGAACGCGTTGCGTCAATCAAATCTTTGCGCTAAGTAATCTTTATGCCTTTATCAGGAGGCTATTTTTGCCCGCGCCACATTCGTCGCATTGAAGAAACCATGGTCCATCGATAAAGACAGAAAGATGGTTCTCATCATCGAGGCTGTCCAATTCAACGACTTACCTTCTCCATTTCAGCGACCCTTTGCATGCGTCCGTCTAATTCTCTTCTAATGGCAGCTGCTTGCTCATCGGCAGAATCGAGCTGGAAAATGATGTCAGTCGTAACCCGAGCCACCAAAGAGATGTGCCGGATATTCCGAAAACGTACAGGTATCCGCGGATAATAATCTATGCTACACATATTGCGTCATCCAATAATAATACAGGATCCGGCTGCAGGATTACGCTCATCATATTTTTATTCAAAACATAATTTTTACGTATATTTATCAATAGGGGAATCACTTTTAATAGGATGCCAATCAAACAGTGTTGCCGCAAATAGGAGTTGCCAAAGTTCCTACTACTTTATATGCGTTCAGCAACAATGCCTCGGGTATTTGTAGCACCTGTAATAATACCGAACCTTGTAGCTCCTGTCACAACCTAACCTAACCAAAATTTAAGAATTATAGATGCCTTTAGAGGTAGAATTAACAACAACAGCAAGCTACACCGCATTATGTCTATTAGGGTGTGCAGCACATACAAGACGGAATCTGGAGAGGCTATAGGAGTTATAGCTGAAATAGCGCCTATTGATCTGCTCACACAGGAGCGATATGACAGATACCCCATGGGATGGATAAAAATCTAGTAACCACAAAACTTCTCCAACACTGGCAAGAGAAATGGATTAACGAAATATATAGCAGATGGACATACGAGTACATAGAGAAGTCGATTACTTCATAAGTCTGGCCATGGATGTTTTAGAAAATATTTATACGATCGTCGTAGGGTTGATGGTGCATCATGCATCTACTGTGGTTAAGATGATGATTTTCAACATACACTGTTTGGGTGGCTGCAAACGAAGGCAGGTTTTTAGGGAACAATGCCGTATAGAAACCGGCAGAGACTTTGACTTATCCGCATTTATGATGTACTTAGTTAAAGGGGAAGAACAATGGAAGCTAATATATCGTATAGTCCAAAATATAATAAGTTGTAAAGAAAGGGAAAAGAGACAATGAGCACAATGAAGTAAAACTATAGACTTTTTTAATTTATTTTTTATTAATATATCTGAAACTATCAAAACATATTTAATATTATCATACGAATATGTAAAGTGATCAGGAAGAAAGCAAAATGCAATAATATACACAGGGTGTTCAAAAACATCCCGATCCACTTACACTTTTTTCAGCCATCCTGTAGAATTTAAAACATTTTTCTGAAATATATCCTAATACGTACTTTAATAGTTTGTACTTATCCAAAATTCCCAAGTTTATTATAGAAGCTACAGATGCCTGACGCATCGTTGCCGGACCCATGTAAAACAGTAGGGAAAACTTTGAACCGTCGCGCGTCGCGTCGCAACCCCTATTTGCGGTAACTTTTTGATCAACACCCTGTTAATAGCGTATACTCCTATTGATAAATATGCGTAAGAATTAGGTTTTGATTAAAAATATGATGAGCGTACTAATCCTGCAGTCGGATCTTAGACTATTAGTCACTAAGCCGACATTATATTGCTCGATTACGTGCAATACATCGTAATGCCTCTTGTCCACTTGTAAGCAAGTTACGATAATTTTTACAGCAATTACTTGCTGATCTGTCTCCACTGCCTTTTAGTTTTTGCAAGTTTAGTTTAGAGTGTTGCTCTAGCAACCTGGTTTTCTTCAGTTGTGAATGGAAACGTATACACACATTTTTTTGTTGCGGAGAAATGTCGCCTCGGGAGTGTATTCAAAATCGACAGTAAAATTTCATAAAATGTGTATCATAACATATGAAATTATGAAAAGAAAAAGAATATAAAGCAAATTCCAAGACTTGCTTTCGTGATTCTGTAAGATATTAAAAAATAAAAAAAAAATAATATATACGAAAAATATATAAAAATTAAAAAATAAAATATATAATTAAATATAAATTTTATAAATAAAAAAAAAATAAAAAATATAAAAATATATATTTAATAAAAAAAATTATAAAAATTAAAAAAAATTAAATAAAAAAATATTAAAATATTAATATAAATATATATATATATATAATATAGCAATAAAAAATAAAAAAAATAAATATTATATATAATATAGCAATTTTACTTGCAAGTGGACACGAGGCTTAAGTCCAGAGTATTTCCAAATTTTTGCATGAAACCGTTGTTTGACTCTATAGCATCTATTAAATAAGAAAGAATCTACCAATAACAGCAGTAAACACTGTTACAAACATTATTGGTCAATAAAAAGTGTTTCAAATTAGACAGTTCTTAGGAGTTTTCTTTTCTTCGTATTCATAATTTTGCTGAGATTATATACGAGGTATTGCACCTAAGTCAGGGATATACTACATAATTTAATTTTTGTCAACGTATCACCAAGTTGTTAAAAATTCTAACTTATATTTCAAGTGACACAGGTTTCTATAATAAAAGTTTATAGACTGATTCTTAACAATCAAAACTTACAAGACGAATATACTTTTTACATTAACAGTATATTATTTAGAAGTAGAAATATGAATATAAAAATATGAATATAAATATGAATAAAATATGAATATAAAAAATGCAACGCTATAATCAAAATCGTCAATCAATGAACTTAGAATGTTAATTAATTAGAAAACCTCTAAAATTGTCCAAAACTAGTCTGAAAATTTCGTCTAGTAAATATATATATTTCTTACTTAGGTGTTTCTAAACAACTAACTAAATTTAGATAATAAACTAATTATTTTTAACTAAAATTTTTGATGTATCAATCGGCATCATTACAAACATCAGTGTAGATTAACAGACCTAAACAGACTTTTAATCAGAAACATTGACATTCCAAACAATTCTAAGAAACAAAGATATTACAAATAAAATCATTAAATACACATTAAATACCACCATTTACAAATAAACTTTCTATCATACCATCCACATTTGAACTATTATAAACTGGTTTTAAAAGTGATCAATTTACAAACTAAAAATTTTTCACCTGTTCTAGCTATTGATAAAATAATCCATAAAAATGTTAAATAATAATAAAACAAAAGGATAATAAATGCAAGTGGAATATGAGTAGTGTAGAACAAACAAATTAAAAGTAAATAATATTAATTAAAGCAAATATAAACAAATTAAAAAAATAAACAAAATATAAAATTTAAATTCATTTTTTACCGAATATTTAAATCGGCAATTTATCATTTAATAAAGATTATATCTGCGCACGTGTATTAACTGAAAATATAATATTTGACTTCTAAACATAGAATACTTGTACGGATCATGCATCTACTTGATATTACCTTTTCTTTGGTGAGCGAAGAGATACGTGATAATGTAGAAGAAGAAATGGTTTCTTTAAATTCATTTTCGTTCCATTTTATTCAGGTCTTTGTTATTAAAATATCAACAAATGTATTTAAATAAATAATTAGTTCTTTTACTTACCTATGTATATATAAATTATTCTACAAGAGAATATTACCGGTTTTTAATGGTAATATTGGATTACAGGATTTTTTGTTGCAACAAACATGAATCTGAAGAACATCGAATGAGACAGTCAACCACACAAAAATACCTGTATTTTTTAATCCGAATAGTACGTTAAAACGATAATGTTTAATCAATAGTTTGGAAACAATTTTTTTGCACATTTCGTCATTTAAGGTTTATAAAATTAACTCTATTTATCTCCGCAGATACTACAATACCTATGATCCGGCACATCTCTAATACCTACCACTTAAGCCAACAACATAGGTGTTGTTCACATGCTTCATCCACCTACTTACCATGAGAGCGTTGAATAGGAGCTGGTGCTCGAACTTTTTTACCCCTAAAATTTGCTGGAACATATCGTACAACTGTTCTTTTGATAGTATCAGTTCCGAGTTGATGGTTTGCGTTCTAGGCCTTTTGGTTTCGTCGTCTTGTACTGAAACAAATCGAAACAAAGCGGGAAATAAACTATGTGTCGGACATTAGCCCATGATACGTCTCTAAGCTGTCAAATCCAGGTCCAGCTACTATAACCTCAGCTCTGCATATGAAGGTACATTACAAAACTGAACGTATACCAATATTTTTTATTAGGGTTTTAATTATAGCGCATTCTCCTCCTTCACCTCTCGAACTCTGTCAAGGCCACCACAGACGCTCAGTTTTTTCGTACAGGCCGTAATTGAATTGCGCAGCAGGCATATAGACACGTGAGTGGGAACTTCACGTCGACTGTGCAAACTGTAGGCCTTACCTGAGCGAAATCAGAGCCTGCTTGATTTTGGCCTGCGCAAGCTTCAAAGCTTGAACGTGTGTGTGCTCACCTCACATTCACATCATTGTTGTTCAATCCATAGACAAAGTTCAGTCTATTATTAACTTTAAACAAAATGTCTAACTTAAATAAAGAGTTTTTATGTCAATTTATCGAATTATAAAAAAGTTTGCCATGTACATGGAAAAGAAAAAGTATGAAGTACAATGACAGAAATTAAAAAAAATATTGACCAGAATGCAAGACAGAACTATATCTCGCAAAGCTATTTTCACTGTAAAAAAATATGCTGAAACTATTAGTGGGTGGATCACTCAGTTAACTGTAAACAAAACTGCGCTATAAAAGTGGGTATATGTGCGACTAGAATTAGTACAGGTTAAACTGCGCAAACTGGCCTGTGCTAAAGAACTGAGCGTCTATTGGAGCTTTTATAGTCAGAACAAAATAACCAGCACATATCGAACAAATATTAATTTAGAGACGTATTCGGGATGAACAGGTTTTAATTTTCTTGAAAGAAGGATTTGCATTTAATAAAATAATGACTTGTTGTGACAAAAATGATTTCTTTACCTTTCAAAATGCAGTCAAATTTAGCCATCCATGATGTAAAAACGGTCTCTTTGCTTAAGCCTTCCATTTCAGGCAATGACCTGTAAATGTTATACCTGTTCTCACTGATCTAACCATTATCATATCTTAATTTACAGCACTGGTAATTATTATACCATATAGAGAGAAACAAGAAAAAAATTGAGAATGACTATTAAATACGATAAAGTTACCAAAAAAAAGTTAAAAGATATTTTAATTTCAAGTTTATGTTAAAAATTAAATAAATGTGTTTATGCAGTATATTATATAAGCTTAATAAGTTTCAAAGATTAATTTGTTGATATCACAACTTACTGATCTAACTATTATCATATCTTAATTTACAACATTGGTAATTATTATACCATATAGGGAGAAATAAGAAAAAAATTGAGAGTGACTATTACATACGATAGAGTTACCAAAAAAAGTTTAAAAGTGATTTTAATTTCAAGTTTTTCAAAAATTAAGTAAATGTGTATATTCAGTATATCATAAAAGCTTAATAAGATTTATTTAACGATCAATTTGTTGCTATCACAACTTACTAAAGTTTAAGAATACAAGTTGACAAGCCAAGTTAGTTCAAGATACTAAAGTGTAGTCCTAAGGACAGTTACTTAATCTTTGGAATTGATTAAAGCTGCAAAGGAGACTATAAAAATTATTTATCAATACAGATCTTATAAATATTATAGAGTTCCTTGCAGGGTATTGGGTATATCAACTATACATTTTGTATTAAAGATAAAATTAACGAAATAATTTAGTTTGTAAATATCACGCATTAGTTCACAGTAAAAGCACTCTAAACATACAGGATAAGCCTAAATCACTATCCTCAAGCGGGTCTTGAGGTTAAAACAATTTTAAAAACTTTTATAGTCGTAGAAGGTAACTTCTTTTCAAAAACAAGAACTGTCCGAAGAAACTCAGTAGTTGGAGAAATATAATATCTTGAAAATGGAGAATAAGCCTTTAATTTTTATTTTCACTGAGAAATATTTTAAATTAAAACCTTAATTGTAACAAAAATTTTAAACGTAAAAATGCAAGTACATTTTAGTTTGTTCAAGAATATACCGGGTGTTGCATCGTCGAGCAGGACATAGGAAATCCCATGTAAATTTTAATGGGGTCAATTATTGGCTTCCCTAATTATTTTAGAGAATAATTCTAGTTAGGTTTATTGAAGAGCACTAAAACCCACATTCAAAAGAATAACTTTAGATATTTTTGATTAGCCCGTTTACGAATTATCGCCGATTTCTTTTTAAATATTTTTCCTTTCTTATGGCCCTGTATTTACTTATGAGCACCAGTCAAGGTAAAAGATAACTGTCAAATGAAGTTGTCATTTCAGAAATTTATCTATTTAGTGCTTTATTATTATTATTAAAAACTCATACCTACATCGAAAAATATTAGCCATGAATTACACTACCGAAGAAAAAATATTGATGATTAAATGATATTATCAAGGAAATAGTTATCGAAAGGTGTCGGACATGTTTGCTGCTCTGTATCCGAATAGACCGATACCTGGAAAATCTACAATCGCAAGGAATATCCAGAGATTTGAGACCAAAGACTTGGAAGTTTTATTGTGCGTGGAAGAGAACGATGGAAAGATCAGCACAAGGAAACTTGAGGATGAAATAGGAATAGATCACACTACAGCGTTTCGAATTTTGAAACGACATAAATACTATTCCTTCAAATATGAAAAGCACCAAGAGCTACGAGATGGGGACGAAATACGGCGGCAGGCGTTTTGTTTTGATATGATGGACAGAGCAAACACGGATAGGGAATTTTTAAAAAACATATGTTTCACAGACGAATGCACGTTTACCTTAAATAATGAACCCAATGTTCAAAATTATCGATATTGGAACAAACAAAAACCAACACAGGTTTGTCGAAACAAGGACGCAATATCCACAGAAAGTAAATGTTTTGGGCAGGGATATTCGGACACAATATTATCGGCCATTATTTCTTACGCGAAATTTAAATGCAGAATATTATTTGGAATTTCTGAAATGACAACTTCATTTGACAGTTATCTTTTACCTTGACTGGTGCTCATAAGTAAATACCGGGCCATAAGAAAGGAGAAATATTTAAAAAGGAATCGGCGATAACTCGTAAACGAGCTAATCAAAAATATCTAAAGTTATTCTTTTGAATGTGGGTTTTAGTGCTCTTCAATAAACCTAAATAGAATTATTGTCTAAAATAATTAGGGAAGCCAATAATTGACCCCATTAAAATTTACATGGGATTTCCTATGTCCTGTACGACGATGCAACACCCGGTATAGCAAGTTATATGTTCTTTTTTAAAAGATATTTTAAAATAAAACTTTTTTCTCGTTCTGAGGATATGGTGGATTCCCTTTGCATGCATTTTTAAAAGAATTTCTTCTTACCTAACACGCTTCTCGATATTACTTCTAAACACTTCTCTGAAATCATATTGAGTCCACGCTCCTAAATGGACCATCTTGGCGACCCTTTCCGACTTTAAAAACACGTCGTAATAATTCTGTACCGCATTCTGAAAGGCTTCGTCAGCCATTATTTGGGTTTCTCCTTTTAAAAAACTCTGCAACAAGAAACCGAGGCATCTTAAACGGATCAGGAAGCCTCTTCCAGCTTTATAAGCTGTCGGATTATATAAGCTAGATATTCTAAGAATTTCGATTTTATTAATTCAAGACAAAGCGAAGAAGAAAAATACCTTAAAATCTACAAATGTTTTGGCATACTTGTTAAATTCTTTGTTTCTACGTTCCTCTTGTAGAATGTTGGACGGAAATTAAAGCTTTTTTTAATAAAACGAGGATTAAATAATTTCAATTACTTAAACCCATTTAATTAAATTAATAACTATCAATAAATTTTAACCCTCCCAAAATAGCATCGACGCGACGTCCAGTTTAACTACACTCAAATTTTTCAATTTCATTTTTTCATTTTCAAGTCAAATTTAAAGTGTCATTTTTTTAATTAAGTTAAGGCAAACTTTAAAACACCCTGTGCAATAATTTCGGAAACAAATTTTCCTAAAATATTATTTTTATATCAGAACCATGTCTCCTGAACATTTTCTTTTTGTCTCATGTCATCAAATGCCTAATGAAGCTGGTGCCGCTTCACGACCTAACCAAACCATCATGTCCAAGCATTTCCCAAACGTGTTTTATAGGGTTCAGATCTGTCGAACATGTTGGGCCAGTTTATAATGCTATATAATTCACAAAAATCACCAAGGCCACCTCGTCATATTGAGAAATATCATCATAATAAATGATAACTGGAAAAAAAACTGCAAATTGTTGGTGGGCAAGTTTTTTTCGTGATTCAACATGATTCAAAAAACCAATGTTCAGGAGACATTGTTCTGAACGAGAAAAAATGTTTTAGAACTTATTGTACAGGGTGTTTTAAAGTTAGCAACCCTTCGATTAACCCCCTGTATAATAAGCCAAATACTAAAATCTATACTAATATATAAAATCCTTAAGTGACTGACACACTGATTAATCACGATCCTGCTCGAACCACTTAACCTAAGAAGCTCAATTTTGGCATACAGGTTGATGAGGGTGTCTAGGTTCGATAAGTAGGGATTTTTCGAAATTCCAGTTCCAAGGGGGTGAAACCACCCCTCAAATATTACAATATTTTTTATTTAAAAAACGGTCAAGTTTCCGAAAAAACGCATATTTTATTTTGTTTTTTTACATATTTTAAGATTTTTTAAAAATGTATACAGGGTGTTTCGAAAAATCTGGTCATTTATTAATCACGATCCTGCTTAAAGCGCTTGACGTAAAAAGCTGATTTTTGGAAAACGGATTAACTTTAGGGTGTAGAGGTTCGATAAGAAGGGATTTTTCAAAGCTCGAATTCTCAGGGGGTGAAACCACCCCTCAAATATGAGAATATTTTTTATTTAATACCGGTGAGTTTTTCGGAAAAACTCTTAATCTATATACGTATATTTTATTTTGTTGTTAAACAAATTTTAAGATTTTTTAAAAATTTATACAGGGTGTTTTATAAAACGCAGTTTAAGCAGAATCACGATTCTGCTTAAACTGCTTGATGTTTAAAGCTGATTTTTGGTAAACGGATTGACTGTGGGGTGTAGAGGTTCGATAAGGAGGGGTTTCTCGAATTTCAAATTCCAAGAGGGTGAAAACGCCCCTCAAATATTACAATATTTGTTATTTAAAAAACGGTTAGTCTTTCGGGAAAACGCTTGGACACCCATAATTTATTTTGTTTTTTACATATTTTGAAATTAAAAAAAAATTATACAGGGTGTTCTAAAAAGTTTTATAATTGATAAACCACGATTCTGCTTAAACTGCTTGACGTAAAAAGCTTATTTTTGGCAAACGGATTTTTCGAAAGTCAAATTCCAACGAGATGAAACTACCCCTCAAATATTACCAAGTTATATAATAATATCGCCATATTGTTTTTTTTTCTCATGCTGACATAAATGTGAGAAAATTTTATCCAGTTTGTAAGTTAATGGAAATTCTTGCTTTGCTTTATCATCACCATTATAAATGATTAATTCGACGCGAATGAAGTCGCGGGTACACGCTAGTTTATAATAAAACTAAGTTTATGAAATAATATATTTTTTATATACATTTTGCTTAAAAATCATGAAAATAATATAAAAATATAACACTTTAAATTTAACGAAAAAAATTTCCATTGTGTTATTTTGCAAATATGAGTGTAAATAAATTAATTATTAAGTAAAGGAACTCCCATACGAAGCAGACTTTATCTGTGACACTCTAGCATAGGAGCATATAGATATGCGGCTATTTAATTACAATGCCTGCGTGTCGCTTACCTGGAATCTATTTACAATGGCATCGAGCTGATGCCGGGTAATCTTGGTCTGACGCCTTGTCATATCGGTGGGTTGCTTGGCGTTAAAGGGATACGCTATACATCGAGATACAAAAACGTAAAGCTGTATTCGTCTCTTCCTTTCCTCCTCTTCGCGCTCCTGCTTCTCTTGGATGTCGACCTCGGTCTTTTCCGATGCGACTGAAGGAGAGGGACTAGTCGGTCTTGGGAGAGAATTAGCTCTCGAGGAAGACCCAATACTATGGGTTTCCACCTAGAAAAGACCACCTATCAAAAATAACAGGTCAAACATCCTCGGCATCCCCCTGTCAATTTTGTCAAAATCCGAAATGTCTCAGATCGCAACTAAAATATTCTTACTGATAGTTAATTGTACGTAAAATTGATTGCAGCAAACCGTTTAGCGATATACTTAATAGATCTTGAGTTCAATTCAAGGGATTTATCTTATGTAAAAAATATAGATATACAGTTCATACCAAATAAACTTTTAGTCACGTGATTTAGCTTGACCGGAACAGCCTTGCCAACTTTTATATATTTACTTTTAATCAAAATATTTTAGGAAACAAAAATAAATTAATTATAAATATTATATAAACAGTTATTATTTAAATCAACAAAACTCACCTTATTAACATCACTTAAGAGACATACAGGAACATTATTACCGATTTCCCGTTCAAAATATTCTAATAAAGTTGTCATGAGTTTTTTAAGGCTATTAAGCTATCTTGTACACTTCTCACTAAAAGAGACTCTAAAAAGAACAACGTTTGACTGCAAGGTATGCTAGTAAACATTTTCAAGCTTAAAGTATTATAACACTATGCTAACACTACACTACGAATCCAAAAACTCGTAATATACAAAACTAAAGTGTCAAAACAAATGACAATGTCAGGAAATAAATAAATAAATGCGACAACTTGGCATTTTTTACAGCAGAGCTACCACCTGAATTCCCAACGCAAAATTTAAATTCCAATTAGCACGGCGCCGAATAATGGGGTTGGCAACGCAGAATTTAAAAATTGCGCCCTCGATTACGTAACTAAAAGTTTAATTGATATGAAATATATATTTTTTCTTTTTCCTTTGAAACCAATAGATTATGTATGTGTAATAATCTTAAAATCTACTTTGACATTTATGAGTTAATAAGAGAAAAAGTATAAGAAAAGAGACCAAAACAAGTTAATTAATTCGAAACCCACACAAACCTGAATTCATAAATAAAAATAAGGTTTTTTTTATTCTTACAGTATTTTTCAAGAATCGTCTTTTACTAAAATGCGATAAAGGCTGTATTTTATCTCTAATTCGAAAAGCAGATTTCCTAAAATAAACTCTCTCTAAGACGCTTACTTTTGCGGCTTAATTCCAAACTATTGTTTCAAACTGCAATAAAAAGTTTCGCTGCAAGACTTAAGTAAATAAGTTTGTTTCTATAAAAGAAGCATAGTATTTATTATTGGATACAGTAAAACAGAAAGAACTAAAAAAGTAAAAATAGATCAGTTGTTCCAAATTTCCTCTGATTACAACTGAAGAAACACAAAGAATATTAACAATATTTATATAACTTGCATTGTTAATAACATCGCAATGTTAAATATAGAGAAAAAACACAGGAGACGACTTTTAACTATCTTAAAGAAAGCCTACGAAGCAAATTGAGATTGCTACTATGATGTCTAAAACAAAAACCACCACAGTTTAGCTAAGTCTAATTCTGTTCTATGCGGATTCTAAAACTAGTTAGACAGACTATTTCTATATAGATGTAACAACTAACTCGACTCTGACTCTACTTACGACAAAAAGTACCTACTACAAAAAGCATGAACTACACAGTGTGTTTCAAAAAACATGGGCCATCTCTCGTGGGGAGATTACTCACGTAAAACTAAGATTTGTCACATCAACATAGGTCCGATTCTGCCTTGTTTCATAGCTACAGGGGGTTAAAGACTTTTTTTTATTTATTATAATTCAATTTCAAGTTCTTTTAGTGATTTCAATCATCAAATTTTGAGGGTAAAAGTTACTATAAGTGCTACATATTTTAATGCTAAACAGTTTCGGTAGATTCACCAGGAATATGCATAATATGTGTTATCACTGGAATATTTAAAAAAAACATATGCGCCACTGACTTTTTTCTCTTGTTAGCAAAATTAAATAAACATTTTAATAGCGATTAAAATTTGTATCGTTATATTTTGTCGATCTCGATCGCGTTGATGAGATAAACGCTATTTTATTAATCACATTTAATAAAATTGAAATAGAATTAATAAAGTATTTATTAAATTTAATTTATTATTAAATTTTATTAAAATTTACAACATTTATGTGATACCGACAGCAAATTTAAAATAAAATATAATGGTATTTACGATAATTACAGAAGACCTATTTTTTTCAAGTTTTAACATCCTTTAACTTTAAAACTATGCATTTTCGTACCGATGTTTATAGGAACTTTTTTTCATACTTTTTAATGAGTAATCAATGTGTACTTATTTAACACTTTGACTAGGTAATGACATTAAAAAAAGTTACTATTAAACTTGGATTGAGGCAAATTAATAAAATTTCGTTTATCCCATTAAGAAGAACGAAATCGACAAAATGCCAAAAGACAACTTTTAATCGGCAAAAAAAGGTCAGTGGCGCACATGTTTTTTTAGAAAAATATTTCAGTTACAACCCATATGCACGTCCATGGTGAATAGGTCGACACTTTTTTAGCATTAAAATATGTAGCACTTATGGTAACTTTAACCCTCAAATTTCATTCGAATCGCTAAAAGCACTTACGAAAATTATAATAAATCGAAAAAAAATTAAAACTTTAATCCCTTGTAGCTACGAAACAAAATAGAATCGGACCTATGTTATATAAAATAAATATTAGCTTTACGTGAGGAATCTCTCTACGAGAGATGACGCATTTTTCTTGAAACACTCTGTATATAAATTACAGATTGAATTTGGAGTAGTAAAAGTATGCAGTCCAAAAACAGTGTATATAGTGGCCATCGCTAATCAACTCTTTAACAAATCCTTTTTGAAGCTATGAATTTTGAGAAAAAACCACAGAAAGAAAATGAAATAATAGTGTTAAAAACTTACCGAGACGGCACTGCTTGGTGATAAAGAACGCTGCAGTGCAGCACTGTTGGGGATTTCTAGGACCCCACTGCCTTCGGATCCATGGGAATGATACGGCGACGCTTCCGCCTAAAACATTAAATCAACATTATTTAAAATCTGCCGCGCAGTTTTATGTAATACCGTTGATTGAAGAAATAAGTAGATACGCAACCTTATGAACTATTTCGCAGCACAAAACCTGCCCGAGATGTAGCTAGCGTTACCGTCAGCCTGTCCGAGAATTCCGAGATTTAGTTTAGCTCAGCGCCGCTGCGCGCTGATCTAAACAATCTTACAGCGCAGCGGATAAAGGATACTGTACCGTAGTTTTGCTTTAAGTCGATAGAGTGAGTAGTTGCCGAAGACAATGTTGCCAAAACTACTGATTAATGCGTAGATTTAAGGATTTTGGGTACGTTAATAATACGGATTTTCTATCATTAAACAATTTAATATAATATTATACGATTAAACAAAGAACGGCGTCAGAGTTGATTTGGAAATGAAGATCGCTGATATTTTATATGTAAAATATTATGGTAAATGTTAATAACTGTCATTACCAACTAAACGACTTATTTCAATCATAGAAGCATATTCAGTAACTATAAAATAATTTTTATTTTTGTTTTTTATTCTATGTTCACGAATAAATTTTCAATACATAAACGCGGATTTTTCATCCAAAGATATTTTCGTTAAACGGATTACAGATATGTATTACGTATTTCAATATGGCAACACTGTCGCTTTCAGATCCACACTGTTTTCGATATGCCTTCACTGGCCGAACTAGAGAAAATAAGTGTTTTATGGGGTTCGTCGCAGAGCGATTGGTGTCACCACCGTACAGCACTTGAGACGTAAGGGGAAATCAAATCAGTCTTACACTTTTTTAATGGATTTTTACTAAAGGAACATTTTATATAAAAAACCTTCAAATAAATAGTATTTTAAGTAATTTAATGCAAACCAAACTTTTCCGATGACAATTTTTATTTGTCAATATACAGGGTAGCCCGAATTGTAATCGAAATTTTTTTCTGCCAAATATTCAACAAAAACTGTTTTATCATAATTTTTTAAGTTATTACTTTTCAGAACTACTCTACAGATCTCGATAAAAGAAACAAATTTTCTCTTTACCGTTTTTCAATTCATTTTTCAAAAAAAATCAAAATAACTGAGGTATTATACTTTGAAAGTTTAAAAAAATATATTTTCGGCTTAAATTATGAGAACCACTTGAACCATCTTTTCTGGGTTTTCTTTCTTATAAATTTAATCTACCATCTATGTTGCCGTATTATAAAAATATTATGTTTTTTAACTAAAAATTAAAAAAAAAATATTTTTTAAAACATTTCAAACTTTCATGTATTTTTTTCGCAAAAAACCCTCATAAACTTGGAATAAATATATACTCACAAATTTGGGGTCGAAATATACTACCACTAAAACATTTGCACTATATACTAAAATATTTGCACTTATTTAAGACTCACCCTGTATATACTTAAGAACTCTTAATACACAACTTTTAAAAAACATGTAGGTAGTCCTCTACAAGTAGGAGTCATACTAACATAGGAATCGAATTTCTCATGTCAAAAGTTACAGTGATGTGTAACTATTGACGTGAGAAATAAAAGAAAAAACGAAGTACATGTACAAGTGATACAGACATCAATTTTCATCCAAATATTGACGTTAATTCAGAAATTGTTTGAAAAAAATAAATAAAAATGGGACTTCTACACCCTGTATCTCTGAAATGAAGCATTCTAAGACATAAATCTATACAAACTTTTTTACTAACTTTTATCTGCAAAATACATTCCTGAAAAAAATTAAATTCGGACCACCCTGTATTTTACTTTTTATATTTTTTTTGCGAAAGTCGTGAAAATATTATTTGCAATCAATTAAAACAATAATTTTGAAATAATGTGTAATTTTTATATACTTTTATAATATTTCGATAAAACAGATTTTGTAAGAATGAAAAAAAAATTCAAGAGAGCAAGAGTCTTGCTTGTTGGTATTTAGTCTTGGATCAGTCTTGCACTGGTCGGTCTTGGTCTTGATCTTGCATATGAGCAAGCTTAGTCTTGATCTTGCTTTTTGTGCGAGACCAATACCGCAAGACCAAGACCAGTTTCATTCATCACTAATTGCAGATAAAGACAAATGATATAGCATAGGGGTACTTAGGTTCTGACTGTTACCTGGTGCTGATGCGTCTGGTGATGAGAATGATGTGCGGATGGATGGTGTCCCACATGATGCCCAGATCCATGTTCTTCTTCACTGTCTTCTTCAGACGAAGATGGATCTATCATCTTCTTTTATCTCGCTTTAAACGATTGGTCTGTAAAAAATTGAATTATGATACTTTCCAAAAACTCCTAATTGTTGTGAATTTGTAAGGCTGCGTACAGGCCTGACGCGACACGCACCCGGCACTCGAAATTTTCAGAGTAAGTACGGGGAACAATCGAGGCGCATTGCTATCCGTTTACTGTCGGTTTTTCGACGGCCGATCAAAGAAAGCGCGTGTCGCAGTCTGGACGGAAATAAAGGATGCGTAGCAGGCGCGCGAGATATCAGTACATGCTGAGATGGAGGAGCGAATTATGAAGCGCAGTTGGAACTAATAGAGCTATATACGAGGGTTCCAGAGAACAGTAATAACTAGAAGAATATGAAATGCATGAACAAAAATGCATTTTCGTATCCGTTGGACCCAATTCTAAAAGAAGTTATTCCACTCGTAATTTTTGACCACGCAGTTCATTGTTAATTTTTGGTAAAACAAAAAAGTCGTTAGGATTTAAATCGGGACTGTATGGAGGATGGTCCAACGATGCTTGCTTGCTTTAAAAACTCAACTGCTTTTTAAGCTGTGTGGGAATTTGCATTGTCTTGGCGGAGGACCATTCCAAATCATTCGTCACTGAGGATTGTTTTTTCGAAACTCAGCAATTACTTCCGGCAAACAAATAGATATGTACCAATTAGCAGTAGCAATTCTTTGATCTTACAGAGAAATTGTTACTACATGACTGGCTTTTGAGACAAATATCGTCGCCATCTCTTTGGAGAAGGGATAATTTTCGCCGGCTTTGATTCATCTCGGAAATTCCAAATAGCCGATTGACGTTTATTTTCGGGTTCATAAGAGCAAATCAAGGATTCATCGCCACTGACAATACTGTATATATTTTTTTAAGTTTCACTAGGATCTGACTGGCTTGGCGTATGGCAGCAAGATCGCCAAACGCGTGTCTCGCAAATATAACGCGTGCGCCGCGTTATGTCTGTACGCAGCTTAAAATGCATAATAAAACTTTTTTGCGCTTAATAAATACAAAATGTTTTAGATGGACTCCAACCGTGTCACATTATATGTCATATAGTCTATATCGTCCTAACCTAACACAGTTATATTCGTTCATTCAAAAGAACGAATATAACGCCATAGCATAATAACGGACTTAATGAACATGAAAATAATTTAAAAATTAAACTTTATTAGTCATTTTTAGACACTTAGTAGAAATTTTCATAATATAGCTTTATATTCTGAAAGTAATGTATGTAATTTAAAGTTTTATGTATTGTGTTCTAGTGGTCCGATTTTAATGATTTTTTAAGCAATTTGTAGCTAAATTATTTGACTTCTTAGAATTTCGTTCTAAATTAAAATTGAATGTTTCGATCTGTCAATTATACGAGGGTAAACACTTTAAAATTAATGTTACCGTCTAGGCACGTCAATTCTCGATAGTAATTTTTTTAATTCATCTCAATAGCTTTATTTTTATTGGAGATATTCGCTTTGAAATAAGACTGTAACAATTGACAGCAATTTTAGCATTAATTTTAGGTACTCATCCATACACTTATAAAATAGTGTTTATTGTTTTTGTAATGTCACTGTCATTAAAAAAGGCATAATATTTTTTATTGACTTGATTTTACTCTAGTAGAGATGGTTTAAGTTCTAGTGTAGGCTATTGTTGCTCTAATTATTGATCAAGGTAAAAATCAACTTTTTGGACTTAAAATCATATCTGCTAAAGTTGCCTAGAGTAACTGTCCAACAGACAATAATAATATAATTTTTCCAAAAACAGTCTCCCAAAGGCATGGTTTTAATGTAACAAACACGAAAAAATGTTGGTGTCTTCTTCAAAAGCAAATATCTCTAAAATAAATAAAGCTATTGTAATGAATCAAAAATTAAACTATCAAGAAAAGATACACCTAAATGATTTTTAAATTTCTTGCATTGTTAGCGTACTCCACAGGGTGTTTCAAACTTTCACCCAAAATATCAATATTTTGTTTTCCCTCGTATAATTGACAGATGACAACTTTCATTTTTAACTTAGAAAGAGCTAAACTAAACTAAAAAGTAAAATAATTTAGCTACAAATTTCTTAAAAAATTATCAAAATCGGTCCACTAGAACACAATATATAAAACTTAAAAATACATGAAATTTTGCCGGTGTCCGTTTTTTGTGCTTCAAAGGACACAAATAGTCAAAAATTGGACTTAGTGTGTTGCCGACCATATCATAATAATTATACTGTTCTGTATTATCAAATTTTCTATTTGAACACTACGAATAAAACTCATTTCATTCGGGATGAAATTTAATAAAGCCTTGAGAATTATATGGCGTAACACTTTAGTTAGATTAAAAGTTCAGTTGATTCTAAACAGGCTTTATAATAGAACAGAGATTGTATAATAATTATAGAAAAGAAGATTTGTTTTTACTTTCTGAAGACTAACTAGGGGCTTACGGCTTTAATACTATTTCGAATGATTTTAAAACGCAATCATTTTCAAACTCCCTTTACTTCCGTCTCTGTTGCGGAGTTCTAAGGACATGTTATGAACAGAATTTGCTTTGAAACTTATCGATCGAAGATTACTGCACGAGATATATGATCCAAAGTGACATCTTGACTTAAAGTATCGTTATTATTACATCACTTTATCGTTTCCTAATAATTTAGAGCATTATAAAAATCAAAAAGTGTTTTATAATAAAAGCTAATGAAAAAGTATAATATACTTTTTAATATACAGGGCCCGGCAATAGTGCGTCGGGCATCTGTAGCTCCTAAAATAAAAAACCTGGCAATTTTGTTTAAGTGCACATCTAAAGTATGTATGAAGCTGTATTTCAGGAAAATAATTTAACCTCTACAAGGTGACTCAAAAAAGTGTGAGTGGATAAGGATGACTTTTTTTAATGGCACCAAACCAAACCAAACCTTGTATATTATTACATTTTTGGCTTTCTGGTCACTTTAAATAATCTTAAGATATTTTTAAATAAGTTATGATAGTTTCAGAGATATTAATAAATAAATAAAAAAATATTTTTTTTTCAGCCTTTTTTAAAAAAATTATTAAAAATACAAGAACTGTCCTGAAATCAAAACTATATTAGGTGTTTACTTTAGATGGTCTGTACTGACTTTGCTATAAATATCGTATTCTTGAATCATACAAGGTTTTCAAAATTCTACGCCAAACTTTCTAAAATATAAAATAATTTTTCTTCGTTATATTAAATGGAACACCCTGTATATTATTCTTTTAATAGATGGAGAATTAAAAAATGAATATTTTTTGTATTTAAAGTATTTCAAAAATGTTAACGGCTTTGCAGATATTCGCGGTATTGTTTCATATGCCTCTTTCAACGGTAAAATACGAGAAACATCGTTGGGCGGCTTTGATAAAAGTTTACTATGGAAAATGCCATATGGAGTATAAAACCGCGAATATCTGCGAAACCGTTAAAAACTTTGAAATACTCTATATACAACAAATGTTAATTTTTAGTTCTCCATTTACTAAAAAAATAATATACAGGGTGTTCCATTAAAAAAAGAAAAAATGTATTTTATATTTTAGAAAGTTTGGCGTAGAATTTTGAACATCTTGTATGATTTAAGATTACGATATTTATAGCAAAGTAAGTACAGACCATCTAACGAAAATACATAATATAGTTTTGATTTCAAGACAGTTCTTGTATTTTTAATAATTTTTTTAAGAAAGACTGATATAAATATATATATTTTATGTATTTATTATCTCTGAAACTATCGAAATATATCTACTCATATCTTAGGATTATGTAAAGTGATCTGAAAGAAATCTAAAAATTCAATAATATATAGGGCGTTCCATTAAAAAAAAATATCCCGATCCACTCACACTTTTTTGAACCACCCTGTAGAAGTTAAAATATTTTTATGAAATATATCTTAGTACATACTTTAGGTTAGCACTTGAACAAAATTTCCAAGTTTTTTATTTAAGAAACTACAGCTGGCCCGACGCACTATTGCCGGACCCTGTATAACAGTTCTATTCTACATATTAATAACTAATTTATGAGGAATACAATCAATTGAAAAAGTTGTTTTCTTAATTAATCTAAATCTGCAAGTCTGTGCAAATAAATGGAAATGCTTATACAAATATGACGAACATTACCCAGTAATCAGCAATTGAATATAATTGCATTTAATAAAGCAGATAAAAATATATTTTAGTAACTAATCAGACTATCCCACCTCATATGTTAGTGTTTATAATATAAAGTTTGCTTTATCATGAGGAGATACTATCGTCTAGAATACTAAAGTTGAAATTATATTATAAAATATATGTATATTTAAATTTATATATAAAAGAAGGAAGGCAAGTAGAAAACTTTAATAGTTAAATATCCGTTAACCTGTTTAAAGTTAGTATTTCTGCATTTGTGAATATTATAACGTTATATCGAGGTGTACAGTTATTTCCACAAAACTATAAAAACTAGAATAAAATAGAGAATTCTTATCTTAAAAAAAATAGCATATATAGTTATTGTGATATTTAAATAGGGGTAATAATACGTATAGTGGTTGTGTATTTATATAAAGAAAAATAACTAGAAATATCGTAAAACTGTCCGTGCACGCAAAAATACACTAAATAATACAGTTTTAAGCCCCTAACTAAACGGCAGATTGGGAGATTATGCCTGAATTATATCACGAAACAAAAGTCGACATTATCGATCTCCATAATTTGACTTAATACCTTTATAAAAAATACCTTTACATGGATTAAATAGCTGATCAAAAGAATGTTAAAGACCTAAAAATAGCACAGGCCAATTAAAATCGATAACGGTTCAACAAAAACTAAAAGAGCAAAAATAGATATGTTTGTAAACAAAATATATAAAACGTATAAAATAAAAGTATTCCATTAATACTTTTAAGCTGTGAATTAAAATAGCGATAAAATGTATGTACGAACATACATATTAGCTTTAATACTGAAATAAATACCTACAAATGTGATATTGAAAATGTATACAAAGATAAATAAAAAAATAAACAAGGCAATAGCGAATTATATATTTTAGTTATTTGTATAATGTTTTGTATTCCCTTTTGTTTGTTTGTTTGTTTAGTTTACCTTTGTCTACCAATTGTAAAAATTTTTTGACAATAAAGATATTTATTTATTTATAATCTAATCAACGATTAGATATCTAAAAACACAAAAAATCTTTCAGAATAATGTTAACAAAGAGAATAAAATAACAAATACATAAGGTTAAAAAATATTTCAGAAACAATATTATATAGTATTATCATCATTATATTTCTCCGAATCATTCCACCCTTTATTTAACCGAGTTATTACAATATTTGCCAGCGACAAACATTTCTAAAGAAATCCTCGTTCTACTGACAAGAATACATATTCTATAGGCGTTAAATATAAATCATATTATGCGAAGCGACGCGCTGGTTTTGACCAGAAAATAATTTCCTATGTTTAGAAAACTAATATAGCGTTGTAGTGTAATAGTGGTAAAAGGAACATAAGTTTTATTGTTAAAAATTATGTGTAGTAAAACTTTATAAAATAAGCACTATAAAATTTCCTACAGTATACTGTTATCTTTTGTATAAAAATAGCTCTAAATAAAGTTTTTTCCATAATTTGTAATGCTATGATACACATATTCTAAAGTTTCTTACTATAGTTATTATTTAAAAAATCAAAGATTATCGTGAAAAATATAATGATTTTTTTATTAACTCGGTAAAACTTTCGCAACCAACTTGCTGAAATTAGATCGTTTAAGAGAAATATCTGCTTTCTATTTTGTTCTTTACTTATTACCTTTTAGTCATTTTCGGTCGCTCTGGGAGAAAATGGTATTAAATAGGATTTTGTCATAAACACTCAACAAGAAATTGACTAAGCCAAAAATAATGAGCCAAATGTATAATAAAAACAAATCCAATTATAACTTTCTTTGAGAGTTTTTAGACTGGGTGGAGTATAAAAAGTGGCTTTATAAGTCGAAATTAGAACAATTTTATTCTTTTTTCTAATTATTAAAATATATACAGTTTATAAAAATAATTCAAGAATATATACTCAGTACAACGTTTTTTAAGTAAGTATGAATTTAGATGGTAACAACAGCTTCTTTTAAAAATAAAAAGTTTGTTTCAAAAACTGTGATAAAGCGATAGTACAGGAGGGGTTTATATTTATTTCCTTTTACTAAAATATATACTGTATATATTATAAAAATGCACTGTTACTGAAGAACATTACTCAATAATATGAAATAGCTAACTTTTTTAGTATAGCTAGATTTTTGAGTATGTTATCGGTCTATACTACTGCTACCCTTTGCAGATCTATTGTGGTCCCCTTCTGGATTTTTAGGTTGCATTCTCCAGTCCTGTCCAACCTACCCGAACATTCTATATATTTGCCAGTCTTTTTTGTCAAATTTTCTATATCTAAACATTTTTTTCAGATCTACCAATGTGCTTAAAGAGGAAGGTTGTGATGTCAGTACTTACAAAGACACTTACACTGACGAAAAAGTCCACAAAAAATCCGTGTAGCCCAACGAGCTATGAAAAGAGTAATGCTTGGTATATCTCTAAAAACACGATACCCAATACAGTTATAAAACAGCGTACACGTATAATAGATGCTATATATCTGCTTAAAAACTCAAATGGAACTGGGCTGGGCAAATTGCCAGAAGACCGGACGATAGATGGACCAAGCTAATACTAGAATGGCGGCCAAGACAGAAGTAGAGGCAATCCTCTGACAAGATGGTCAGATGACTTAAAGAGATTGAAAGAAAACTGGATCCAAGTGGCACAGGACCGAGAAGAGTGGAAAGATTTGAGGGAGGCCTACGCCCAGCAGTGGACACTTCAGACTGATTGATGATGATGATGACACATTTTTTTCTAGATAAACCGGTAAACGAAAAAAAAACAGTATTAGTAATTCCACTAATCAGTCTAGTTAGATTTGAACAAAACACACTATACCCTGTTGAAGCTGAAATGAATGTGTAATTTTGGTTCATCCTATACCGGGTGCTATAACTTTTTTATTTTTTTCATATAAAAAACGAGATTTGGTATGTTAGTATATGACATAAATTAGGAATTAATTAACGTATTCAATTGTTCTCGGTTACTTCCTGTTTCACCGGAAATGACTACAACTTTTGATTTTTAAATGACACCCTCGGTATTTTTTTACTTTATTCGATAGAAAATGACAGTCTGAATAGAATGACATATAATATGTCAACTTGACATTCGCGCTTAAAAAAAGTTGTATTTTAAATTTCAATCTAGAGTGCCATGGCTGTGTTAAAAACGGTAATTTTTAATCAAGGAGCCTTGGAAAAATAGAATTGGTTGTCCGTTTGTAGTGTATTGTCCTGGCCAGTTAAAAGATACCCAAATCGTATTTTTAATCATATCTCAATTTTTTAAAATAGAACTAGGGTGACTCAAGCAAAAGCAATACAGGGTGAGTTTGAAATCAGTGCAAATATTTTCAGGGCTAGTAGATCTCGATAAAAGAAACATATTTTTTCTTTACCGTTTTTCAAATAAGTCCCAAACTGAGATATTTTACTTAAAAAATTAAAAAAAAAAAAATTTTTCCCTTAAATTTTAAGAACCATTTTTAAGGATCTTTTCTGGATTTTCTTTCTTGTAAATTTAATTTACTATCTGTGTTGCTATATTATGAAGATGTTATGTTTTTTAATGAAAATTAAAAAAATTCAAAATTTTTCAAAAAATTCCAAATTTAAAAAAAAAATTCGCGAAAAAACCTCAAGGACGTGTTTCTGAGATCGAAATATACTACCTTTAAAAATATTTGCACTTATTTAAGACTCACCCTATATAATCTAAAAATTGATAATGCGATGTCACATTTTCACTAAAAATATTGAGGAAGTAAATGATTCGACCGACGGAACACTGCACGAGTTTACTTGTTTTCGGTGCAATGTCATGAACAACTAATATTCGGTAAAGAAGGCCCATAATCTAATTTAAAAACTTAATAAAAGCAAGTAATGAATGCAGTACGAATATTTTTTAACGTTAAGATTTCATTCAATTTTAAAAGTTAATAGTAAAAGTTATATGCAGCTTTGAGAATATTCTTTACAAGCTATAATGCAATTTGTCACATTTTAACTAAAAATATTGAAAAAGTAAATAATACGACTTGTTTACTTGTTTTCGGTGCAATGTGAAAATTAGTGTAAGGCAACAAAAAGCATAAACTAATTTATATAAAAGCAAATAATGAATGCGGTAAAAATATTTTTTAACATTAAGGTTTCATTCAAATTTAAAAACTAATAATAAAAGTTAAATGCAGCTTTGAGAATTTTCCTTAAAAGCAATATAAATGCTATGTCGTTAATTTCTTGCAGTGATTTGCTAATTACTGTTACAAGCTATAAACTTTTACTTACTTTAATAAAAATATTCTGATGCATAGGTAAAATTTTAGAATAGCATGTTTACGAGAGTATACGGGCATTTACGCTGGAAATTGATGAAGCAACTAATTTCGACGCGGAACAATGACGACTTTTTTTCGGTTCATTGCGAAACCGCAGATAGTGGTATTAGCGTTACAGTATTTTACGAAACAAAAGTGGATAGTATCGATTTCCGTAAAGCGACCTAAAACGTCGAAAACACCTGCATCGCTGCGAGCGCAATAGGGAAACCCTTTCGGGCAAACATTACCTTAAAATAAGTCATCCTTTTCGGCGTCACCCTATATTAGTAATGTTATTCGTATGAAGGCTGGAAATATTGTGTTGTGTTGCGGGGGGAGTGATGGAGAGCGAATGTCATCAGTCGCGACCCGCACACCGAACTAAAGGGATCAATGGCAATGGCGGCTCGCGACTCGCCATTCCGGCCTGCGTGACGACGGCGGCGCTCTCGACGCCTCTAATAACGACGCTCAAGGAAATATTGACTCGGCGTCGGAAAAACCACCGAAGGATATTTTCGGCCTAGGGCATTCGAGTCAACCGGCTGGAAAGCCATTATCGTTCGCTAGATGACAGATTACTTTGTTCTTTTTCCTTAAAGGAATTTTTTGCTTTTAATATTTAAAGGCCGGGCCGTTCACTCCAAATTCTTTATACAGTATAACTTCAATAATCCGGACAAACTCTAGACAGGGCACTCCAGTAATCCGGGTAGTTAGTGATGGGCAAAACCACTATTTTTAAATCACAGTTGAAACTAATGATGGGAAAAACCGATTAATTTTAATAATCGAGTACTCGAGATTCAAGCGATTGCAATAATCGAGCGACCGCTCGAGCGAAATATCGCTCGCATTTAAAAATACGGTTCTTCGACCGTCGCTTGTTTTAAGTACTCGTTAACGCCAAGCAGTAAGTTGGGTGAGCAGGGCATATATTCTTTCGGTGATGAATGGCAAGCTTGATCGCTTGATTTAGTTTATTTCAAAGCATTGTCGATGTAGGTCGTAAAATTTTGTCCCTCAGATACGCAACGGATAACGTCGTATAAATTTGCTACCTGCAATGTATGTAGAAAATTCGCTCGGTTTTTTATCGCGTATGTCACATTAAAATCGGATTTCAATTTATATCATTCTAGGATCGCTTGCGTTTGTCGCTCGTAACTCGTCACTTGCATCGCTCGTTCATAATCGAGCGATGTCGATTATTTCAATAATCGAGTACTCGAGCGAATTTTCGCTTGAGTTATCCCATGACTAGTTGAAACTGTTTCAGCTATTTATACAGGGGGTCCCAGAAATAGGTGCAAGTATTTTAACTGGTAGTATATTTCGGCCTCAGAAACACGCCTATGAGGGTTTTTTTGCGAAAAAATGACAAGGGTGACAGGGTGACAAAGACAGGGTGACAATTTGAAAACGAACAGTATTTAATATTACCTCTAACGATGATAGTATGAAAATTTGGCGAAATACGTCAATTTACATATCAAGAGGGACAATTTTTGAGGCATATGTTGTCGTGTTACTTTCAACCCTTTGACCCCCAGGGCACCTACCCCTAATAATTAGGGGTAGGCAATATTAAATACTGTTCGTTTTCAAGTTGTCACCTCGTATAGGTATCCTTTACACTTATTTCTATACTTATCTGAAAGATGACGTAAGGTTTTAATGACATCTAATAACTCCGAAATTCATCATCATACATAATGAAATATATATGTTCAGTTTACTGGCATTTAAAATCATTCAACTGGACTAGACGATTCTTCGCTAAACCTACTTATTTTTATATACATATGTTTATTTTCTTCTTCTACCTTCACACATATAAACCGTCCAATTCGAAAATATACATAGTATACACATTTCAGACACAACAAAAGATATTTTTAGCTTAAGGTCTATAACCATTATCCTTCGAGATATGATACAAAACACACTTTATTCTTTTTCCGTGAGATAGGTACTCTCTCTTTCTTGTAATATTATCTTTTAAATGTCTTCTTTTGTCAAACATAGTTTATTTTTAGAATAAAAGAATTCTTTATTTTATTCCGGTTCATTTTTGATAAGGTATCATTTTTTCGATAAGAGAACAAAATAATAATTAAATTAGTTTGTGAGAGTAAAAATTCATATAATTATTTTCTTTTCCAAAAAAAAAGAAAAAGTTGTAGTATGTAAATAAATATTTAAATGAATACCTAATGTTTAATTGCTTAACCCCCAAATACATCATCCAATCCAAAAATATCATTGCATACTCAATGAAGAAAAAAGTCACAAAAAATGTATTTTCGGCTTAGGGTACTTTTCAGCCGACTGCAAAGCCATTATCCTTCGAAATAAGACAGATTATTTTATTATTCCTCTTTCCTTTAAAGGAATTTCTTTTCATTTTGAATATTAAAAAATCAAAGGCTTTATTCTAGATACTTTATTTAAAAAATACCTTTACACTTTTAGCTTAAATATTTTTATAATTCTATAAAATTAATTATAATTAAAAATAATGTATAGAGAAAATTCTTCTGTTAAAAAAAGTGGGTATTTTTATTGGCATCTCATAATCTCTGCAATATCATCCATTCCAAAATCGGGCGTTATATTGATTTCAGAAAGTCCAGAAAAGGATATTATAGATTCCGGCTATAGTATTTAAACCAATGGACTGGAAAGCCATTCTCGTTCTGGGTTTCAGAAATTGATTTAATTTTTCATTTAGCGTTTTTTTTTAACTGATAATCATCGGAGACATATTACTCAATTACCTACTAGTAAATATTGAAATTGTAGTCATAAAATATAAAATAGTCATATAATAGTCACAAATTTATTCTCTTTGCTGATGGTTTGGTGTTGCTTTAAAATGCTTAACATCCCAATATAATAAACTTAGAAATTGTGCTAGTTAAAATATACATTCACAAATTTCCTATTAAGCATAATACCATACTTCAAATCGCTTTCAGATATCCAACCAGATCATGAGAAAGTAAAATATAAATTATGTTTCACCTTGATGTTTTTCATTCCAGACGCTAAATACCCCTGCTTCTGACAAGCTATTAATTTAACACTCATTCAATCAATCAGTCAAACTTAAAGACAATATTATTTATGGATAATGGCTGTATCAAAGGAACATATCAATATAAATAAAACTTGAGTTTAAAATGAATGTATACAAAAATCATAAACAATATAGTACATAATATACCTGCACTAAATACTGCATATTTAGCATAAAATATAATTAAAGAACCATCACAAAACATATTTAAATTGCGAAGTAATAACTTATTAGATTATTATAGAAGTTAAGCCTTTCGAGTTCCATGGACAAAGACAGTTTTCCAGCTAGTCAAATATAGACTGTCAAATTAATTGCAACAATTGTACACACTATCAAATATATAAACCAAATTTAAATAGTCTCCTATCCTAACTTCTTTATTTTCTACCCAGCTGTAACTATATTAAGTTTTATTTTATAGAAACACTAAAATTAAACAAAAATCTACCTTACAATATTTTAATTATACCATTTTATTTGCAATGTTAAGATTCATCACAAATAAAAAGAATATTTTCGGCCTAAGGAATCAAAATTAACCAACTGGAAGGTCATAACCGTTGAGGATATGACAGATTACTTTTTTTTTCTTTTAAAAGACTTTTTTTCTCTTTTATTCTTCAAATATGAGGCAATTTTATTAAGGGAAGATATTATTTTTATTTAGAATGGTTTATTGTACCATAATACACATTATATTTAATTTCCTGCTTAGGAATTTTGATAAATCTTCAAGAATCAATGTTAAGAGAAACAAAATAATCAGTTTCAATTTCCATTGTCCCTACTTGGAGTAATACAGAGCAATGCTTTTATTAATCTTACTACAACGGCGCTACTAAAAATATACAATTATACAGAAACTGAGATACTCATAATAGAGTCATACAACTGACCAGTTCAGTGAAATGAATAGACGAAGCTAAATGGCGTGTTCTCACGAGTCACGAGTTTAATACACTCTCTACACTATGCGGAAAACAGTCCAAAGTAGGTCAGGTCGTGTTTCCTCGCCAAACTTTGTCCCGTCTCGGCTTATCTCCAGTTGTCTCGACCGATTTCCGTTTGTCTTGACCTACTCTACGGAGGAGGATTTATTTGGCGACTTTCGGTTGTTTCCTGTTCTTTCTTACAATTTCGTTTTGTCTCGAACTACTTCTACGACGTGTCGGTTTCTATACCCGAGACAAAGAACATTTTTTCGTAAATCTCAGTGAAGTAGGTAAGCCTAGACGTTTCTAAAATATCTGTTGTTACGATGATATGTCGTTAATTACATAGGTATCGTTTTATGTTGATATATATTCTACAAGATTAATATTTGAACACGTGTTTATAATATGTATAGTAGATATTTAAGAACAAAAGTTTTTACTTAATCCGCAGGAACATAATTACAATATTTTTATTATATAATTTTATTATAATGCAACAGTATGTAAAATTGTATGTTGTTTGTTTACGGCCTTAATTGATTAATATAACAGTAATATTGCTTGATGTAAAAAAGTATGGTTCACGGACATTTCTAAAAAGCAATGTTCTCTTATTGGTTTTAACTGTTTTTGATTGTTGATATCACTTTAATATCTAGTTTTACATTACACTCCATTACAAACTAATTATATTTATTCATACTCCGCCTTTACTTATTTTTCTGAAGCCACCATAAAGGTTGATATTGATTACTTCGCGAAGTTGTATAAAGAATATAGATGCGTGTTTTTTTTGCAAATGCTTTGCAAGATGCAAAATTATGTCGAAACCGAGACAATTCCAATAATAATAAAAAACAAACAACCAATCACAGCCTTCCTCGGTCGATTTCAATCTCTTTCGGAGTTTGCGGCCTTTCCAGAAATATTTCGTGGAACATTTCGGACATAGTATAGAGAACGTCCAAAACCGTATGCCTAGCGTTTCTAATTTTAGGTATCTATATCCCGTTTTGAAATCCCGGGATAAAAACCTATAATCCCGGGATCCCGAAATTGACTCTCAGAATGAGAAATCTAATCTACAGAAATACTTAATAAAAATGCTACTACATATATATCAAAAAGAAAATGACAGAAGTTTTATTAAAACATACAAAACAAAGTATCGTTCATACATATATAGTTAGTAAAAAAATACAATTCTTGTTGCAGAAAAAAAAACAAAATACCGTATCATCAAAAATAAATGGCGTCAGCGATGGCTATGAAATGAAGATCGCTGTCATTTTATATGTAAATTTTTATGGGAAATGTCATTGATCGTCATTTCCCAGCCAAGTGGACGCCATTTTTTTTTCGATCATACGGTATTAGCAAACAGGGAAATATAACGTTTAGATATTGACGTTCTGCTTAGCTTAAATAAAATATGATCTTAGAAAGAAGATTCTAAATTTTATAAAGTCTAATCATTTTAGATTGTGATTTAATTTTTCCGAGATTTTCGGGATCCCGGGATTTCGGCGACAAACATACACCGGGATCCCGGGATGTTAGGATACTGGGATTGGAAACCCTAAGTATGATTGACTCACTCACACTGAACAACAAATTAATAATACTTGTGGACTGAACGAATAATGAACATGAGAACACGTTATCTTTAAAACTGACCAGTATATTCATACTTTCAGTAAAACCCTTATCTATATAATCAAGGGTAAAACTGAAAGCTTGTTCGTTTTGACTGAACAATGAATACAAGCTGAAGACTGAGGCCGTATTTTTTTGTTCGGTTTCCCAAGTTTTGATGAAATATTGAAAACGGACTTCCAAAACTATTTTTTCAGTATAGTTCCCTATTTATTATACGTAATATCCACTGCCGAGCCCACCATCTACGACATTTTCGTCGTTTTTGATACATCACAGTATTTCCTAACTCACATGCTAATTGTAAACATACTTCTCGAATTTTATGATAACGAGATCAACTCAATTCAGTCATGATTTTAGTCATCACTCTGTGTGCACTTGTAGTAATTGATTATCACAAAGCGAATCTGTATATAGCTATTATACTTCCTTTTTACAAAATTATTTTTACGACCCTAATAATACCAACACCAGGCTTAAAATAAAGCATAAAAATCTGTTCAGAATTAGGTCAAAAACCACCAAGCCGATGTTATTTCCGCCCTAAGACGAAAGCTTAATCCTACGCCGGAGATGGGAATTAAAAATTCAGTCAACCCTTTTATTTTTTTCCGATATTACACCTCTCTCATTAATTGTTCGAAAAGTAACAGGAAAAAATGAAGAGGGTTTTTTGAATTTTATTATACAATCAACGTAAGCCAGTTTATAATCTAGTTTTGTATTTAAAACCTCAATGATTTGTAAATACATAATTTCATAATAAGGTGTACAAGAAAAAAAATGTTATAGAAGAGAAAAATTAACAACAATTTAAATCCCGTTAAACAGAAATAAAGTTGCAAAATTACATTCTTTGCCTAAGCCAGGGAGTATAATGGAATAAGTATAATGGAATGCCAGGCCACCATAAACGCTCGTTTTTTCGGTACAGACCGCGTGTGGAAGCTCTGTAACTGGGAACTGCCGGTCGACTGCGCAGGCTGTTCCTTTGACCTGGTGAAATCATACCCTGCTTGAATTTGATCTGAACTAACTCCGAAGCTTGAACGTGTCTATAATTAATTTGAAACTAAAAAAAAAGCGGGGTTTCCACATGCAAGGATTACTGGCGCCAGTGTTCGCCAGTTTATTGGCGCCACAATTAAATGGCGCCATTACCCGTTTCCACAGGTCTATAGTAAATTTAAAACTGGCATGTCATTACGGTCAATTTTATGAGATTTTAACACCTTGCTATGCTCTAGGGTGTAAGCATTCATAATACTTCGAATTTTGGCCTTTGCGGAATTTACTTCAAAGTTGCTGAGAGAATCAGACATGACTCTAACAATCCTTTTTAGGCTTCGTCCCTTTTATTTCGGTCCTTATAATCACTTATTGTATTGTTCTATAAGCATGGTTGTTGTTCGTAGGCTTCCAAAAACTTTATTATTAATTCAGTAGACCACTTTTTTGAAACAAACGACATTTTTACGACTGGAGATGCTCGCTGTATTGTTTACACATAAAACTGGCGCCAAAAAGTACAGGAGCGTTGAACTTTAAGCGGGGTTTCCACATGCAAGGATTACTGGCGCCAGTGTTCGCCAGTTTATTGGCGCCACAATTAAATGGCGCCATTACCCGTTTCCACAGGTCTATAGTAAATTTAAAACTGGCATGTCATTACGGTCAATTTTATGAGATTTTAACACCTTGCTATGCTCTAGGGTGTAAGCATTCATAATACTTCGAATTTTGGCCTTTGCGAAATTTACTTCAAAGTTGCTGAGAGAATCAGACATGACTCTAACAATCCTTCTTAAGGCTTCATCCCTTTTATTTCGGTCCTTATAATCACTTATTTTATTGTTCCATAAGCAAGGATGTTGTTCGTAGGCTTCCAAAAACTTTATTATTAATTCAGTAGACCACTTTTTTGAAACAAACGACATTTTTACGACTGGAGATGTTTGCTGTATTGTTTACACACAAAACTGGCGCCAAAAAGTAGGAGCGTTGAACTTTACTGGCACATGAATTAGTGGCGCCACTAAACTTGCGCCGGTCGATATTACAGGTTTCCACATACAATAAAACTGGCGCCAGTAATCTTTGCATGTGGAAACCCCGCTTTACTGGCACATGAATTAGTGGCGCCACTAAACTTGCGCCAGTCGATTTTACTGGTTTCCACATACAATAAAACTGGCGCCAGTTGAATGGCGCCAGTAATCCTTGCATGTGGAAACCCCGTTTAAATGTCGAACATAAATAAACAGGTTTTATGTCAATTTATCGAACTATAATTGTTTGCATTGTTTGTGGAAAATAAAAAGTATATAAGGAGTACAGTGACAGGAGTAAAAAAAATCTTTATTGTACAAGAGAGCAGAATGCAATACAGAACTGTATATCGGAAAGTAATTTTTACTGTAGGAAAAATGTGTATCACTGCAGACAAAACTGTGCTATAAAACTGCGTGTGTGTGCAGAATAGGCAGTAGTACAAGTTTTATTAACTGATGGTCTGTGCTATATAAAGAGCTGAGCCTCTGTTGGGGATATCATAGTCAGAACACTTCCCTAAGGAGATGCAAGACCTTTTGTAGTTGGTGGGGAAACTATCCCAGTCAGGTGCTAGGGGAATCCCCTCTGGCACTTAGCTGGGTCTAAAGAACATCTCGCAGTCTTGTCCCTGGATGATGTCGTGGCCAGGGAATTGCCCCAAAACATATCTTATCTTCTTGGCTTGTTCGACCAAGAGGAAATTACCTCACCAAAAACCTAAATCCTATGATGGCGGGACCAGCTCAAAGGGATACGTGGCTGGATAAAAAACTAGCCTCTACTCTCAACTTAATCTGGTATACGCCATTATACTTTGCCCATTGTACCCTTTCTTCTACATGAGAGTCACGGGTACCTCAGCCAGAGACTGATTTGAGATGTTCCTACAGAAAAAAGTCCAAGACTCAAGACTCTTTGAAGTCTGGAGCGTCAGCTGACGTATAAATGAATCTGTTCACAAGATTAACAAGTTTTTCAGTCTATGAAATTGACCGATTTTTTTGGATTTACTTAAATAATTAATTACTTATAACCATTTTAAAACTCATGAGCCTAAGGTGTTTTTATGACGTATCAGAGAAAATAAAGAGGAGAGGGTTAGAGAAATAAAACAAACTGATTATAACTCTTGTTTATTAATACAATGATTAATCGTCGAAAAAACAGTTAAACCATTAACTGAACTTCAACTTCTACATATAGATACAGTAAACAGATTTGGTCGTTAAAAATAACTCATTCTATTAAATTTTTTGATTAACACTGATTTTGAATTGTCGAAAATGTCATCAAATCATGTTATACATCATATAATGTTACATAGAAGCCTATATAATTACAAAAAAACTTATGACTAACAGACATAAAATTTAATATATCTTTTTATACAATTTACATGTAGTTATAAAACCAAAAGAATATACATTAAGAGGCATGGTTAAGTCTGGTTACAATTACAGACACAATTTACTTTTCTTATTAAATGACCCGTGGAGAAGTCAACGCAGCAGGGAGGTAGTATTTATATAATTCTGCTCTAGAGGAGTAACGTCACCACGGAAATTTTAAAGAAATAATTATTTATTATTTAGTTTTAAGGAAAAATCATGATAACGACGACAGCAAAAAAAAAGTTTATATAGACAAAATACTTTACTTTTATTGGGAATACAAATATAAACATATAGATATTTACCTACATAAATAACTAATACAGTTAAAAACTACTTTCTACAGTTTTAACCATGCTTCTTTTGTAATGTCTTTTTGATATAGTAAAAGCTAAAAAATTTTAATTTCAAAACTTAAAATCAAATTAGTAAGTTTTGAGGCTCTCCTATAATTACATGATTTAAAAACATTAGAGCTAAATCATACAAGGCAGTTTTGAGACGGTTTGCGCTGAGTAGGCTGTCGCAAACTGCTTCGTCTCTTCTAGCTCTAATTCAGATATAAAAATTATTTAAAATGTTTTTAACAAATACATATTCTATAAAGTAAACATTAAATACTTTTGTACATATATATATCATGTTGCAGTATCAAAGGCGCCAAACCAAAAATCTAAATAGATACTATAAAAATATTTATTCATTTATCAAAAAAATAACATTTATTTCTCTAGATCCTATAAATTAACATAGGTATATCTACAAGTTTAGCCTTCCTCTATGTTGTCAATATATCAGTGTCCTCTCCCATGATGAATTGTCAACATAGTTATATTATAAACCCCAGGGCATGATGATATTTATGTTAGTTTATATGATATAGATTTGTATGAAATAAGAGAGAAAGGCTTATATACTTCTGTATATAGCAAATCATTTTATTCTAAATACTGCGACGTCTTTTTATTTTTAAATAAAATAATATATAACTCATGATGAAACAAAAGGAATCAGCATGTTTTATAAGTCAATAGTTTAATAATAGCTGTATTAAAAATTATAATTATTAATATGGAAAACAGAAAGTGAAGCAGAATGAATCAACATTAGATTTTTGGTATGTATAAAAGCCATAATGACTGAACATCAGGTAAAAAATGAACTTACTCCTGATCCTGCTTATTTTTATAGAGCCAGTAGCTATAGAGCAAAGATCAAGTGTCCGGAGGTTTCCCATTCACGTTGGCACTTCCTGGGATAATGTTTAGAGAATTGCTACGGTCTTTATCGTGGTCTTCGAGAAACCTGTCCATAAAGTCCGTCAAACCAGGATGAAGAGCGTATTTTTTCTTCTCTAAACGAACCTTGTTGGCGAAGATGTCGTGGCGTTCCGTTTTCTTCCACAAATAGTAGAACTGAACTAGTTCTCCTACAGATCTAGTCCTAACCTTAAAATAAATGAATCTGTTCACAAGATTAACAAGTTTTTCCATGCAACTGATGCGGACGAAACAAAACAGAATTTCCAAACACTTTTTCACACACATGCATACATGGTTAGTTCTTATTGTCTGCAAATAGCCGTATATGCTTCAGGATACCTATTCTTGATCACTCGCAGCTCCAAGGAAGCCATATAACAATATGTAATGCATATATGCAAAGTTGCGAATGATGTCAAGAATAGCACCGCAGGCGCAGGTCTAATTTCAAATAACACAAAGCCTCTCCAAAGTATAGGAGATTATAGCGGAGGCGCCGAGTTAAATTTTCCAGCTTTATACTCGTGAACTTGTACACACATTTACTGTTAAAATTTGCTCCATTTACTGGTTGTATAATAATACATACATTTATTGACACGACAATGACAATTTCTAAACGATACTTAGCTGTATTATAGTGATGAAATATACAACAATAAATATTTCTATTAAGAGGTATAGATAGATTTATTCAGTTCAATAGTATTGCATAACACTGTGCGATATATTATTACAATGCAGTAATAAAAATTCATCGTCCAATAAAAAATGCTAAGCACTAAGATTTAATGGTTTTTGATTTAAGTTTATCTGTAAAGTTTACTGTAATTTCTTACAACAGTAATCATGGATTATTTCTTGGAAAACTACATTTTAAAACTGACAAGGGGTCTGGCTTTCATTATTATAGTGATGAAACAATGCATAAAAGATACTTATTACTAATAAAATATCAATAAAAGGCCATTTTTAAAAAAATAAATCCTAAAGTTTTTCCTGGTAATTTGGGCGTTATTATAGGTTATTATATAACAGACAAAAAAAAACACTCAAAATTTTCTAATAAATTTAAAGCAAACCAAGAGGTCTCTACCACCTGTTAGAAATAGGAGGAAAACATATTAAGTTCAAACTACAGTATAAAACTTAAAATTTTTAAACAAAAAATTTACCATGTTCTGCTGAATTTGATGGAAATTCTTTCCAAATGAGCGAATTCCAGATTCAAAATTTCGACACTCCTCCTCAGACCATAAAGTATCCTTTGACTCAGTTACTGCTGAACTTGGTGGTGCGTTCATCCGTAGCCTTCTCAAAGCCTCTTCTGTATTATGTCCTGTAATGATATTTCTATTTTTACTCGTTTCCTCAAATAAGTTTAACTTAACTAAATACTAATTATTATTTTGAATAGTTCTATTAAATATATATTCTTACCACATTGCTGTAACAAATATAAAGCTTGTTCATCATCTCTTAATAGTGTTCCTTTTGGTATAGGTGGTTTACTAATTTCATGTGCTTTTCTTAAATATTCTTCTACATTCTTGTTAAAAATCTTTCGGGGGTTCCATAGTAACTTATCTTCATTCTCATACGGTGGAGCATTATCATAATAGTGAAGACCTTCGGGTATTTGTGCTTGGTAGTCACCACCAACCATAATAGTCTTCCCATAAAAAATATATCTTACAAAAAACATTCTTAATTGTATTTAAAAGACTTACTTTTCGAATTTTTTGGGCCTCTTCATCATCTGGACCTGACTCATAATCTTCTTCATCATCATCACTTATTCTTGATACAGCTAAAAATTAAACATAGTACAATGTCTTAAAAGATAAAACCGAAAGAATGGCAATGCTTACACCTAAGTAACCGAGACGAATCTTCTGTTTCATCAGCCATTGGCTCATACAATAAACTTAACTTGGAGTGTTTTGGCGGTGTGGGTGACCTTTCCTTTTCCACTAGTGGTTCACAAATTTGTGCCACTTCTTGAGCAGTTTCTTCTTCTTCTAACTCTGATTCAGATGAACTTTCTTTTTCCTTAGCATTGGAATAACCATAAAGGGCTAAAAGTTCCTCTAATGGCATATTACCCTCCTAAAGAATATAATCTCTGTAATATAATCTATTTAGAAAACGAATTTAAATCTTTACCTTCTGGAGGCTTGAAAGTTCAGCTGATGGATCACTGGATTCTCCAGCGGCGAGAGCTTCTTCTTCTTCAAGAGTCCTTTCATCATCAAAATCATTAACGAGCATGTCTATTGATGGATCAAAGAGTTTATCCTTTGAAGGGGATTCACTGCCATTATCACTGTTACTTTTTTCACCTGTATCATTTGGCACACGCGAATCCATTCTATTGTGTAGCTTTCATTACACACTGAATTGCCTTATACACTAAAAAAGTGTTAAACCAAATGTGATAACAAAAATAGATCAACATAAAAAAGATCTAAATTATGTCTTTACTACAAATGCAAGTTTATAAAATAATAATGCACTCTAGTATAAAATATATCAGAATATATATTATTACACCGCAGTATTCTTAGATATTACAATTTGAGTAGTTAAATATTGTTGTAAGAAAAATGCATACCAAAACTACTTACACGTTAAAAATACGTAGAGTTTTCAATGAAATATTTTTCTATCAATAGTTTGCAAATATAACTGGATATTTAAAGATTCTCTAAATTGTTTTTCGTTCTCAAACAACCTTCTTTTTAGCAAAAAACACAAACAAAACCATAAACACAGACCACAAACCATCCACAAACAAAAACGCTATCCCTGTTTATAAATGTCATATCACTGTCAATCACAACTGTCAATTTAGGAAACGTGTTGTTATTAGATCTGTGGTTACTATCATATTTTCAAATTTTCATTTATGACGAGAAGATAAAATCTGACGAAATCATCCTATATCTATGTTCCATCCATAGGTTCCATCCCTCTTACATTTTATTATAGTCTGTGGAAAAATCAATAAACAATTATTTGTTTTTGTTGTTAGAGGACAATCATAGAGGACAATTAATGTTTTTATATTAATAAAATCTAATTATGTGATGCCATTCATAATTGATGTGAAAAACACACTTCTTAAAGAGCGATAAGAACAGAAATATAAAAATGCTTTTTGGTCAACGTGCAAATCCAGCAGAAAAATAGTTTTAGCATATTGGTAGATAGATTTTTAAGGACTGATTTAACAAGGATTTAACAAATATCACTTTGAAAATGAGCCAAGACAGAGATTCTTTGTTGAACAACGGGAGTATAAACTCAATTTCTAGTAACCATTTCGATAATATTGTAAGAAAATTATTCTCCATCATCAAATGATCTGATTCACATTGTTTTATAGGAATCCCATGCTGCAGATAGTGGCAGTCAGGATACACCTTCGTATGCACCTCCAAAAATATTTAGGCAATTATTTGCTGGCTTTTCAGGTAAAAGATATAACAATTTATGGACACAACAATTTCAATGTAACTTTCATATTCAGTTAGTATTTCTATACAGTCCTATGTTAGAAGATTTGATACTGTTATGATAATAGTAATTTAAGAATAGATTCCTTTTTAGCTTGTTTATCGGCATTAAGTGCTGGTGTTGTACTAGGATGGACATCTCCAATTTTAGATTACCTCACCTCTGGAAAATATAATGATATTCCAATTGATAATAATACAATGGGATGGATAGGTATTCCTCTTAATTCTTTTTAATTGCCAGTATGTTAATTATTTTTTTGTAGGGTCCTTCGCAACATTAGGTGCTATGGCAATGTGTATTCCAGCAGGATTTATATGTGATCTCATAGGTCGTAAAAAAGCATTACTTGCTTTGATGATACCATTCTTATTGGGATGGAGTCTTATTATTTTTGCCAGAACTATTTTGGAACTATATTTTGGCAGGTATAACAATTATATCTTATTAGCTTAAGGATTTTTTTTGTTACATTTAAAGTTTAATTTGTTAGGTTAATAACTGGAATGGCTGTTGGTGCTTGTTGTGTAGCAGCTCCCCTTTATAATGGTGAAATTGCTCATCAAGATATTAGAGGAAAACTAGGTAGTTTCTTTCAATTAATGATATGCACTGGCATTTTTCTCGCTTATTTAGTTGGAAAGTTTTTATCTCCACATCAGGTATTGTCAATTGTTTTACCACTTTTAGAAATCTTATTGTACAATTTGTTCATGATAGAAAAATAATTGTGCTATATATATAATTCGATTACTATTTTTAGTTCACTCTGTTTTGTGCCAGCATGCCTTTTGTATTTTTGGTATGTTTTGTGTTCCAACCAGAATCACCAAATTATTTGATGAAGAAGTTTCAGTATGAAAATGCAAGAAAGGCACTCTTAGTATTAAGAGGGGAGAATTATAATGTTGATGAAGAATTATTACAGATAGAAGGTAAAATCGCCATTGAATTATTTAATCAAAAATTATTAAGTGATTTGAAAAATAATTATTATGTTCAACCTGATATAGTAATGAAGTAGTTTTTAAAGAACATAGTATATTAACATTTATGTTGTTTCAATCATCAATACTAAAGTTTCATTACAATATAATTTTTTAGGTCATTTAAAGGAATCCTCTCAGTCAGCTGTATCTTTAAGATCTATATTCTCAAAGAAGTCTGTGAAAGTAGCTATATTAATATCTTTTGGCTTAATGGTGTTTCAACAAATGACTGGTATAAATGCTATTATTTTGTATTCCAGCAACATGTTCAAATCAGTTGGTGTACATTTAGACCCAAATCTAGGCACTATAATGGTGAATATATTCTTTATTTTTATAGAAGTTTGAAAATTGCGTTTCTATTACTTTTAGATTGGTTTGTTCCAAATGATAGCAACATTTTTGGCTAGTTTATTAATTGAAAAACTGGGTAGAAAATTGCTTCTGTTTATTTCAATGTCCACAGTTACAGTTTGCTGTGTGGTAATTGCTATATATTTATCAGTTAAACCGCATTTGGATAATGAAGAGCTTAAGGAAATCAGCTTTTTACCAGTCACAGCTTTTTGTCTATTCGTAATAGCTTTCTCATTTGGTAATTAATATTATTTATTTGTAATACTATCTAATTAATTTTCTTATTTTACAGGAATTGGTCCAATACCTTGGATGATTTCATCCGAAATAATACCAACTGAAATAAGAAGTATGGTCAGTTCCACAGCTGGAACCCTTAACTGGTTTTTAGCTTTTATGGTGACCAAAGTGTATTTACTAGTCGCAGGTGAAGCATGTATATTTTATATTTTTACCGTTTTTACATTGTTAGGAACAATATTTGTTTTACTGGTTGTGCCTGAAACTAAAGGAAAAAGCATAACACAAATTCAAGAAGAACTAAATAATGTTTTTTAGAATATTTTGTTATACCACTTGCTTTTGTAACTTAGGTGTTCAGTTCATTTTAGTAAATGTCTATGTTTTCACCTAAGCTAGAACAAATAGATATAAAATCAATGGTAAGTATATTAAAAAAAAATGTAACTTGCCATACTTTGCAAAATGTGGCTTTTAATGGTTGATAATGTGATACTCAAATTTTTTATAAAAAAGTAAATCTGTATATATTGATTTTGTTCATTAGTCTAATATTTATATACTTCTTTAACTTTACACTTATAGAATTATCCAACAATTCAAATCTAAAACATTATTTTCTTTAGCAGGCCTCCATCAATTTTTTTTTCAAAAATACTGTGTCTCAAAAACAGTGTAGAATTAACTTAGAAATGATGGTTGATGACATCTGGGGATGACATTTATGTAAAAGTACCGTATGATCGAAAAAAAAACGGCGTCCAGTTGGCTGGGAAATGAACATCAATGACATTTCCCATATAAATTTACATATAAAATGATAGCGATCTTCATTCCATAGCCATCGCTGATGCCGTTTTTTCTCGATCATACGGTATTTACTAAATGTTATCGATCGTCATTTGCAAGCTAACTTGATAGTTTTTTTTTCGATTATACAGTATATATCCTTAACTTATATTCTGTTGATAAATTTGTATATGTATGCCCTTTCTTTAATGAATTATTAATATTCGTACTTATATATAAAACCTACTTATTACTAGTTTGAATTGTGAAATATGAAAAATTTTGGAACATAAGAAGTGGCTAAAATGTTATTAGTTTACATATATGTACCTACCTATTTATATATTTATTAATAGTGATTGAAATTTTAAAAGATTTATTTTACAATTTTATAATCTAATCAAATCTATATGTGGTGTTAAAATATATTGAACTATTAAATAATTTGTGTTTTATTATTCTAAAGTAGTCATACCCCAATACTGGCCAAAACTTTAAATAATTATACTGACAATCCAATATCTTACGTTATTTATGCTTATATCCTCTGAGGAAAAACTAGATAACAAGAAACAATCTTTTATTCTTAAATTAACAGTATATTACTAATAATTCATAATGCAGATATCTTAACAAATTCTACTTGTAATTCACTGTCTTTCCAAGAGGGCAACCAGTTAGATCTACTAGTAAAAAACATTTTTACTTGATTATTTGAAGTTGATTTCCATGGTTTTAGATAAGATTTTGATTTGTAGTTATCAGGAAAATCTCTAGGCCCACCAGCACCAACTCCTATTACAAGTCTCATCTACAAAGAGAATCGATCTTAATAATTTATTTAAACCTTACATAGATAACAGCTATCTATCAAAAACAAATAAATTCTTGTACATATTGTTATTGCAATGCATCTCATTGTTATCTAGGTAATACAAATTCTATATTAAAAAGTTTATAATACAAATTCTTACTTTTCTTGGCGAGTTAAATCCAGTTTCTTTTAATATTGTCGAACTTACTGTTCCATAGTTAATATCGTCGATGTAAAGAAGCATTTCATCTAAAATATAAACAGAGACATTATTAGTCTACAATTTTAAATATATTCTGACTAGTTGAAGCCTGGCGCATCCGCCACGACGTCAGGAAAAAAATACTATTTATTTTTTTTTTAATTAAATGAAAAACAAAAAATCCGGCGTCGACAGTTTTTAAAAGAGCCAATTAGCTATCTTTTAGTAAAAAAAGCAACTTTCTAGAGTAAGTCGTTACTTCAGTAGAGACGACACAGATAAACATTAGCATTTTATATATATATGTAGATTATATAATTATACTGTATATAAAAACAATGTAAAAATTTCGGATATATAATTATATATATTATATTATATATTATATCATTTTAGAATTTTTTTAAAAATAGTTTTTTGAAATTTTTGGAAAAAAATATCGAACTTGACAGTGAAATTATTACATAACTATAATTATTACTGTTTATACTTTAAATTGGTTATTTTATGAGATATTTACCTGAAGTCCAACGTAAACTAAATGTATGCATCTCATTTCCAATGAATTGGTTGTTTCTATAGGTTTTAAGATAGCGACTCTTTTTTGGTTCTAATGGGTCTACAACCGGTCCTCCAAATAATAACTTTCCTCCAATATCATCTCCATTATTTCCCGTTAATTCTTCGTTTCCTCTTGCATACGAGATCCATATTTTTTTCGACAGATCTTCAATATCTTCCAAGTAAATTTCTAAAAAAATGTATAATATATAAAAATGATAATAATATGTATTTTGTACTCATTTTAAATATGTTTATACCGTGTCAACATTTTATATTGTTTCATTAAAAAAAAAGATATGTATATTGCACATACTCTGGATATTTGTTAAAAGTAGGTATACGAAATTTGATTTCTTCAACAACTAAAATGTGCTATCTAATATTTGTGCTAATATACTTTTAATATACCGGTGGTGCATTGGCGTTGATAACATAGGAAATCCCATACAAATTTTGAACTGTCCAAATATTATAATATTGTATATATATTTACCTGGAAACAGCCAATCTCCCTTTGGTAGTTTTGCCCGAACTTTATACTCCCCAAATGAAAATGTTTTCTTTGTTACTAACCGAGCAGATATAACTGGATGTTGATACAGATTGATAAACACTCTTGTGCACTCGTGTTGCCTTTTTCTTGTACATCTAAATATAAAATTATGATGACTATTAAATTAATAGTACTTTATGGGGTATTTATATTTTTAAACGGGAAGAATAATCAAGTTCTGTCACACACATTTAGAAAAAAAATCTTTGTATGATAGGAATGATTATAAAAATATTAAAACGGCTGTATCTGTTATTATATTCAAATTCAGAATTTTAAAATATGGTGAATGCGCCAGGTTAGAAAGAAAAATCCATTCGTGAATATATACTCTATGATCGAAAAAAAACGGCGTCCAGTTGGCTGTGAAATGACGATCGATGACATTTCCCACATATAAATTTATGAACATATAAAAAATGACAGCGATTTTCATTTCATAGCCGTCGCTGACATCGTTTTTTTTCGATCATACGGTTATTAATATTGCAGATCATAGAAATTCATATTTGAGGCTATTAATTATTATTTATCTCTTCAAAATCATTATATGTATATGTTCAAAATCTTTAGTTCTAGACATAATTTTTCATTTTTTTTTATTCTGGGTTGTTTAGTATCTTATGCTAAACAGGGTGTTTCCATTTAAACGTCTTATATTAAATAATTTTTAACATGGTCGTGAGCTTATTTTTATTTCGCTTATTTACTATATAAACAGGGTGGTCCGAATTGTATTTGAGAAAATGCAGCAGCATATACCGGAGCCGGAGGCCGGAGGTGTCCTAAAATGCTTCGTTTCAGAGAAATTTTAATTTACACCCTGTAGCTCCAAAACGAAGCATTTTGGGACATACATGTAAACATTATTTTTTTACTTATTTTTATTTTCTGACGAAGTTTTCCGAATACCATTCAGACCACCTTGTATGAACAATATTTCTTGTTTTATGTTCTATTCATTCAGTTTTCTCTTGGACTTGATCATAATAGTGAAATTGATTAATAATCTATAAAAATAGACTGTACAACATGAATAAGGTTCTATGATGTCTTTTGATAATAACTTATTTTGTTGTTTTTTTCTTTTTATATTCTACTGTATGAAACTTACCCATCTATGTTCACGTTACTTGTCACAATATCCTCATCAACTTTAGGCTTAATGTGAAGTAAATTATTTTGGGAAGTTAGTACACTCGAATCGTTTTTGTAAATGACATACTCAAAATCCTAAGGAAAATAAATAATAAGTATATAAAATTTAAATATAAATAAATAATAAAAAACAAATATAGTAGTAAATATCGAATAACTTAATATATATAGAAATATGCATAATTAATTTTTTAAATCTTTTTAAAGTGGATGATTTAAACGTGAATTTGTAGCAACCTACCGGTTCATCAGCATAATATTGTTCAATTAACCATATATTTTCATCAATCGTGTTACTAACAAATTTGGCATCTAAAATCACTTCTCCAACGCAACTACTTTCGCCATCGACTATAGTTATACTCGGTGCACAAGTGCGCGCTTTTTCGAATTGATCTATAGACAGTAGCTCTAAAAGATGTTCCTCAAATTAATTATCAATTATCCTTAAATATTAATTTTTATAATTTTAATCCCAATTTTTTGGATTTTTTTATATATAACAGTATATAAATATTTAGTTTAATTTATTGTAAAGTCAGTTTTTTTATAAACTTTAGCATTGGGCTTTATACAGGGTTTATCGAATGCTTGTTTTTTTTGAGAACCATATATGTCTCCTCAGCATTTTGTTTTTTGTCACATGCCAACACATTAGGGTGAGCCAATTCAATTTTCAATCAAAAATCAATAAGTTTTAGTGCTTATTGATTAAACATTTTCATATTTAGTAAAAAAAAACTAAATTACTCTCAGATTTTTTAGTAAATTTTATGCTTTACAAGAATCTGCGATGTAAATTTTTTTATCGTAAACCGTTTCAAGTTATGGTAGTTTTAATGGAAAAAGATTTTTACGTGTTATTTAAATGGAAAACTTTGAATGTTCACCGACACCTTTTTAAATTGAGCTAAAAATCCGGCCTTCGGGGGATATTTTTTTCTCGGTTACTAAGGTGCGTTCACACCGGCTACGCCGCTCCGCGCCAAACAAAACTTTGTATTTTTTTAGTGCGCACAAAAGTATATGTTAAATAAATGATTTGCGCGGTGCGGCGCAGAGGGGCGCTGCGGATGTGAAGGCACCTTTAGGTTCATTTTAACTCTTTTTAACCTATAAAATCCATAGGTTAATTTTTTTGGCTCACCCTACCAACATATGCCTTGGTTAATTTTTAAGAGCGAAATGAACTTAATTGCCACCAACAATTTGCAATTTTTTCATTGCATTATCATTACTTTTTGGTGTTATTTTTCAATTTCAAAAACTAAGGTATATACCCATATAACACAACACAATCCTATAGATATCTTGAGGATATCCACCAAGGATATAGTAAATATCTTAGGGATATCCAAAAACCAGAGGAGGATATTTATGGGATATCCAAGTGGGACAAAAAAAGTCATCTTCAAGACATCCCTAGGCAAGCCTTTTACGATTATTTAGAATATTTCTAGGATAATACAAGGATGATGTTGGGAGCATTATAGAATATTTTTAGGACATTATATGAGGACTGTTATTTGACAATACTTACTTCATCCTTAGTTTATAGTAAAAACGTTCGCGATTTAGTTTTATTTAGCCACATTTTGACGTTATTCATTGGATATTTTTATTAACAGCTCTAAAATATACCTACATATTATGTCAATGAATTTTGCGTCAAAATTTAGAAGTTTATTTGTATGAGTTAAGAGCTTTCAATTTATGCTGTACCATCGAAAAAAAACGGCGTTCAATTGGCTTGAAAATTACGATCGATGACATTCCTCCTATAATTTTACGTACAAAATAACAGCAATCTTCATTTCCAAGCCACCTCTGACGCCGTTTTTTTCGATCGTATGGTATTATACCAGATTATACTACCCTTTATGGAGTTTAGCAGTTTATGTCTAGCAGCAGAGCTAGCAGCAACAGTTTACATCAAAGTTAGCACACAGGATACAGGTATAATTTCTAACACCACACATTCCAGAAACTCACAATTTAAACCCAAAAATAGGATTTCTGTTTGAATAGATCAAACACGAAAATGGGTTTAGAGATAAAGAACAAGCGATTTTCAACAAATTTTCACCTATAATTTTGTCACAAATTCTTCATTGTGAGAACCTGAGTTGTTCGTCGTTTTTTCGACATTAGTTGAGGTTAGGATAGAATTTCTGCTAGAACAAGGCTAGAACTATGAGTATAAGAAAAAAACTAAGTCAAACTCAACCAGTTTTGTTAGTTTCAGTCATTTTTAAGCCCATCCAATATCGACAAACGACCGAATTCACCTCGAATTTCACTAAATCAAAGAACTGAATAATACACGATGCAAAAACCATCAAAACTAAACAACTGTCGAGATGGACTGTGGGAAATTTTTTGCGCGGGCGTTTTAAATTCTCTGTATTACTGGGAGTGGCCAACCTCATAAATATCCAGATTATCCAGAAGATACCAACAGGATATTTTGTTGCCTTGACGTAATATATATATATATATATATATATATCTATCTGTATGGTTTATTGCATTTTATGTAATATAAAAAGTACTACATAATTGATTTTTCCTAAATATCTAGACGATATTGTTAGGATATTTTATTATCATGAGCATGTTTGGATATCTCAGCTGGATGTACATTAGATATACGACAGAGATATCCATAGGATATTCTATTCTGAGACATCTACAGGATTTCAGGATGTTTGGAGGATATCCTATAGATGTCTTTATAAGATGATCTTATAATGGGACATTCCGACATTCTATGAATATCCTGCGGATATTGTGTGTTATATGGGTATTGATATGAACTAAAAAAACAAAATGCTCGGGAAACTTTTCAACGAAAAATAATGTTTTAGGAAAATTTCCTCTCGAAATTATTGCACAGGGTGTTTTAAAGTTAGGTTAAAAAAACAACCCTTCGATTAATCCTCTATAATAAGCCAACTACTAAAATTTATAATCTTTTAAAATTTATATTTAAATCTAAGTTTACGAATTAAAGTTGATATATATATATATATATATACAGGGTGGTCCGAACTGTATTCTGGAAACTTCGGCAGCATATAAATGTATGTCCTAAAATGCTTAGTTTCGGAGATACAGGGTCTACAAGTTTCATTTTTATTTCGAAAACCATATTATTTTTTCCAAATAATTTCTGAAGTAACGTAAATATTTGGATGAAAATTGGTGTATGGGAATTTTTTGACATGAGAAATACCTACATATTTTTTAACCGGTTTGAAGAGTAATATATTTTAGTCCATACCTGTATAAAACTACTGAGTAAAAAAATATACATTTACGATGTTTTCTACGTGAAAAAGATCTCTTGGAAAAAATCGCTACGAGTAATGGTTTTCGAGATATTTGGAATCTAAATTATGAATACCTGTGATCATTGAGATAAATTAAACATGTTGACTAAATAGTTATTAGACTGAAATTATAAATTTGAAATGTTTTTGTGCTAAAAGTTCAACAGAAACTGTTTTATCATCATTTTTTACAGAAAAATTTATAATTAATTTAAAAAAATAAAAATTTCCCAAATTTATTATTTCAGTGAAATAACTATCTACTCAACGTGTTTATTTTTCGTCAATAATGACATGTATTGACTATTTCCATTCTAAGTATCGTGAGAACGGTGCGCGTAGCGATTTTTACAAAGAGATATTTTTTACGAAGAAAGTCACAGAGATGTATATTTTTTCGCTCGGTTGTTTTATACAGGTACGGACAAAAAGTTATTACGCTTCAAAACAGTCAAAACACATGTAAGTGGCGCCCTCTACTAGTAGGAGTCATATTGACATCAAAATCAAATTTCTCATGTCAAAAAACTCCCAGACACCAATTTTCATCCAAATATTGATGTTACTTCAGAAATTATTTAGAAAAAATCGAAATAAAAATGAAACTTCTACACCCTGTATCTCTGAAACTGAAAAAACGGCCCCTTGTTATGGAAAAAAAACTTGTGTGCTTATATTGTATATGACTCATTCATATTAACTTACTTGTAACTGTATATTTTTCTCCATCTTTCTTATACCCTAAATCTCCAACTTGGAGATAAACCCAATAATAAACCGTATCGCCTTCTTTCAGTTTTAAAGTGGGATTGAAATAAGTGAATTTGCCATTTTCAGGGCGAGAGATATCTTCGTTATATTCTCCCGTTTCTAACTCATGTATGTCTTTATTAATATTGAAGTGAACTCCAAACAACTTGATTTCAGGGTCAGCTAAAAATTGTTTGGGTTCATTGAACATCATTTAAAAACAAAATAATTCCAAGTAATTAATTAATTAAGTAGTGGACCAGGGGTTTTCATTTATGCATCGTTTATGTATATGCACAATCGTCTATTTTTAATCATGCAGATAAACAATATTAGTTAAAATATCAATTTTTGGAAAGTAAACACAACATCAATGTCTATTACAGGATGTCCATAATAATACAGGATGTCCATAAAAGCCAGCACAAAAATACAAGTTATTTATGTTAATTTTAAAGTCATTTTATGGTGTTTGGAATCTTAGTTTAGAATATTCTCCTAAATAACATCTATAATTTTGTGACATAAAGCAGAAATAAAATGTTTTTTGCTACTGGATGATTTTTTATGACTTATTAAAAAAACTCCCATTTTAGTGTTTTAGCCTTATTAAAAACATACAGGGTGACAATTTGAATACGAACAGTATTTAATATTACCTCTACCGATGATAGTATGAAAATTTGGCGATTTTTTTTTGTATTCCTTATAAAATTCTCAAAAAAAATAATGCAGTTTATGTAGACTATAAGACAAAAATGATAAAAGAAATAGGGGTTGATATTTATAATTTTCGGGGTAGGTGCCCTGGGGTTCAAGGGGTTGAAAGTAACACGACAACAAATGCCTCAAAAATTGTCCCCCTTGATATGTAAATTGACGTGTTTCGCCAAATTTTCATACTATCATCGGTAGAGGCAATATTAAATACTATTCGTTTTCAAATTGTCACCCTGTATAATGCGAAATGCCGCATGATAAAAAAAGTTTTTTAGTTTACTAAAAATTGACATAAAATTTGGATAAAATTGACACTATTTATAAAAAGATTAAACAAAAATAGAACGGTTCAAGACGCACAAATCTATTTCAAAAAAATATATATTTTCTGGAATTTTAAACTAATACCGTATGATCGAAAAAAAAACGGCGTCCAGTTGGCTTGGAAATGACGATCGATGACATTTCCCATATAATTTTAGATATAAAATGACAGCGATCTTCATTTCATAGCTATCGTTGACGCCGTTTTTATTCGATCATACGGTACATCATTTGAAAATAATTTTTACTCAATATAAAAATAAATTAAAACCTTCTTAAGGCCAACTGGCAGTATATATAGATAAAGAAGAGTACGGGCTAAGTAAATGACGTCTAGGTGTTGACCTCGCCAAAATTATCATGGCTTGTCATTCCCCAGCCGTGTTTGTCGCCGTTTTATTTCGAATGTATGGTATGTGATTTACGATTAAAAAAATCTGTAACGTGCTTTATCTGGAATATCGACGAAGCATATTTAAACTTACTTCATAAAAAGATGCTCAATTTTAAAATTTTCGCAAAAATTAATTTATTCCTTACTTATTAATGGACATCCAGTATATATTAATTTGAAAATGAGTGTATTTGTTTACTGATGCAATGCTGTGTATATACATGGGGGTTCCCGATTGAAAACAATTATTAACATAACATTAAATTTAATTTGTCATAAACTATTTTCTATGCCTTGTTATTTTTCTTATATGATTTATTACTATTGTTAGTAAGTATATATTAGTATTGCAAGAATTTGAAAAGCTGTTTTTTCTTATATACTATGTTGAAGTTTAGTTCAGAAAAAGTCCCCTTAATTTCAAAAAGTAGGTATTTATATGTACTTACATCAGGGTCTACCCTAAGGTTTTAAAAAACTATTATATTTTTAAAAAACTGTATGTTGTATATATTTCTATAAGATATTAGCAAAACTTTATAAAATACCTTGAATTATTTTTTTTCAAACGTCACAAAAGTGTTAATTTTTGCGACGTGATTGACAATATAAAAAAGTCATTTTAACCCCTAGGCATAAAAGTATGAGAATAATATATTATTAAACTGACATAAAGTGTCAAATTCAACGAGCGAAACCATAGTTTCTCGATAAATAATTACTTACAAGGTATTCCTTTTAACTATTTTTATATTATTTGGAACTGTTTAAAAATTATTTGTGGCGTTTGAAAAAAATAGCATGTTCTATATGTCAAACGTACAGCCTCGCCACAAAAAGTGTCATTTTTACTCCTTATAAAACAATAATATACTATTAAATACTAATAGTACTAGACATTATCATCTGTTAATTATATAGTATCTAATTTTAATAATGACTGAAATGATGCATGTTAAAAGTTTGTTCTTAAAAGATATGATTGAAAAAATTGAAAAAAATACAATATTTAATAGACTTACCTGGAACAGATATTCTCAGACCACTAGGTGTAAAAGCTTGAAGTGCTATGTTAGGTATTTCATATGCGATGTGTCCTTGTATAAGTAATATTAATAATAATAAGACGAGTTTGTTATGGTAATCCATTGAAAATACAACTGACTTGTAGACCTCGTCTTCAAAGAAAGATTTATTTATCGGGTTTTCATTTTTAAATGCAGAAACCAGGCCCGTAACAGAAATCTTAGCATTTAAATTTTAATTTTCTTTTTTGGTGTTATTAGCTATTTGGTTTAAAAAGCTTTCTTCAATTTTAATTATTATTTTATATAATGCAGAAATAAATATGTTGTCTTTTTAATGTAAGTGTATATATTTTGTGTTTTGAAGAATGTTCGTATGTTAAATTATTATACAGGGTTGTTCACCACATACGACACGGAGTATTGTAGCTAAACGATAAGATTTTTACAAATTGTAAGTTTTGGGTCCGTTGAAGGACTATTAGAGCTACAATTTAAAAATATTTTTACAAGATACAGAGTGTCCCAAATAAGTAAAAAATATTATTGTTGTATTTTTTTAAATAGAACACCCTCTATATTATTCTATTTTTAGATTATACGATTGAAATAAAGGTTAATTTGATTAAGATTTATCACACTTAAACCTTACAGTTTTTAAAACATTTTCAATTTTGTGAAATTGCAATAAAAAATTTAAGGCTTCATTTCTCCAAGGGTATTAAAGTTTTTAATACTAAATATTTACTGAAGATTATTTATTGATCAGATATTGTGTTGCAATAATTAAAATTATACTATCTTATACAGAGTGTTCAAAAATTTATATATATATATATATATATATATATATATATATATATAACACTAGCTTTAAACGGCAATAACTTGTTTAATTTAAATGGAACACTCTGTATATTTTACCTGAATTAGATTCACAATTTTAATTGTCTATCAAATTGTATTATCTCTTCAAGTTTTCGTGTAAAACGCATTTTTTTATAATTTAGACCTCATTTATCACTATACCCATGGAATATTGCATCACTATACCCGTGGATTAACCCATTTTAGATTATCTTTAAAGATGTAACAAATTTTCAAACAGTACAGCTTATTTCATTAAAAAATATAAAAAAGCTGTTTAAATATTTTTTGTTAAAGAGGACCAATTAATATGATTCTAGTATTCAAACTATATTAATAATTGACTGTTTACGTTGATTAATAATAATTGCTCCAAATACTAAAAAACTGAATTTTGTATGTGTATTAGACAATGTGGTAAAAAGTAACACCTTATAAATTTTATATTTAAATTTTTGACGAATGCTTATTTATAACAACAGAGACATTCATTTTCATCTCTTATTATTATATTGATTTCTGAGTCAAATCCACATTTATTTAGAATAATTTATTAATTAAAACCTATGTAATTAACTGATTTTTGGGCGGAAATAATAGCAGTATACTTATTGTATATTTAATTGATATACTCTTTTACAAAGATTTAAATAGTTTTCTTTTTGTAAACAAATGGACATGCAATATTATTATTTTTATCACCTGTACAGTTTGTACATATGTTGCTTTAAAAAAATCTAAAATGTCAATATTCCATGGGTATAGTGATAAATGAGGTCTAAATTATAAGAAAATATATTTTCTACGAAAACTTGAAGAGATAGGTAAAAAATGGTATAATACAATTTGATAGACAATTAAATTGTGTATCGGATTCAGGTAAAATATAGAGAGTGTGCCATTTAAATTAAATTATATAAGTTATTGCCTTTTAAAGCTAGTAATTATTTAAAATAAATTTTTGGACACTCTGTATAAGGTAGTATAATTTTTATTATTGCAACGCAATAACTAATCGATAAATAATCTTCAGTAAATATTTAGTATTGAAAACTTTGATACCCTTGGAGAAATGAAGCCTTAATTTTTTACTGCAATTCCACAAAATTGAAAATATTTCAAAAACTGTAAGGTTTAAGTGTGATAAATCTTAATCAAATTAACCTTTATTTCAATCGTAGAACCTAAAAATAGAATAATATACAGGGTGTTCCATTTAAAAAAAATACAACTATAATATTTTTTACTTATTTGGGACACTCTGTATGTTGTAAAATTGTTTTTAAATTGTAGCTCTAATAGTCCTTCAATAAAACCAAAACTTACAATTTGTAAAAATCTAATCGTTTAGCTACAATACTCCGTGTCGTATTTGGTGAACCACCCTGTATATAGACAAGGGTTAAATGTTGTTTTCTTATTCTTATTTATAATGAAACATCCCGCATCTATTTAATTGTAAGTTGTGTATATTGTATATTGTCTTCACAGTATTCTGCCTAAGTTTTGTGTTTTATATTTCGAGTAATATTTTGTCAGTAAGAGATTGTGGATAATCTTTTTTAACAAGGGTTTTATTATTTATAACTAATAAATGTTATTTTCATTAACATTTTATTATTCATATTATTTTCTTTCTTTGCATTAACATTTTATTATTTATTATTAGTAGTAGTTAATCACAATGCAGTTATTTTAACAAATTCCACTTGTAATTCCCCGTTTTTCCAAGTGGGCAGCCATTGAGACTTTTGCTTGAAAAACATTTTAACTTGCTTGTTTGAAGTAGAATTCCATAGTTTTACATACGTTTTTGGATGGTAATGATCAGGAAAATTTCTTGGACCTCCAGCTCCGACTCCTAGCACAAGCCTCATCTAAAAGAATTATATATCATTACAACCAAACTTAATCATTATACAGTGTGTTTAAGATAATGTTTAATCAAAGTTTTTCAGTAATTTTATAAGTTAAAAATAAAATGCTTACTTTTCTAGGCGTGTTAAATCCAGTTTCCTTTAATATGGTTAAACCAATTGATCCTAATTTATTACCATCCATATAAAGGTTTATTTGATCTAAAATACGAACAGAAACTATCTAACAACTTTATATATTATGATATACCGTACATAAGCTACCATATACATAGCTCTAAGGTTCTACTAATAAAATATTTCATATTTTCTCATAGAGATTTCAAATCTATTATTCTTGCTAAATATACCGGGTAGTGCATCGTCGCGTCGTTAGAGACTTAGCAAATCCAATGCAAATGTTCAACTGTCTAAATTGGCTCCTCTATTAATTTTACAGCAGTAGAATAGGTTTTTTAAATGTCTGCCTATGGCTGAATACACATGCCAAATTTGAACAATTTTGGACAAGGCGATTTTCAGTAATTTAAGAAAAGCTGCATCTATTTTTCAATTAAAACATTTTTTTTTAAATTACGTAAAATCGGCTTGTCTAAAATTTTCAGTGTATTCAGCATACGCAGATCTTTTAAAAAACTATTTACAACTTTGGATATGTGATGAGATCGATGGCCAAAAAGAGCTATAGAATATGCTCCTTAAAATCGAAGAAGACGACCAGTGAAGAAGGAATTAGAAGAACAATGAGAGATAGAGACCCCGGCTAATTATTATTATGATATAAAAATACTCGTATGTCTTTGAATATGTAATTGTAAGTGCAGCATAGTAAAAAACAGGTGTGTAAGTGATTTTGAAAAAATGTGGTTTTAGGTAATTTTGAAGAAATTAGTTTTTCGAAATTTTGACAATAATCTCGAATTTGACAGTATCGAAAAAATGTTTTATAACGGATTCACCTGCTGTCCAACGTAAGGTAAATGTATGCATCTCATTCCCAATGAAATCGATGTGTTTATAGGTGCTGAGATAGCGACTTCTTCCTGGCTCAACTGGTTCTACTACAGGTCCTCCATATAATACTCTTCCTCCAATATCTTTACCGTCGTCTGTAGTTAATTCCTCGTTTCCTCTGGCATAAGCGATCCACATCCTTTTTGACAAATCATCAATGTCTTCCAAGTAAATTTCTAATAAATACGGTATTTTTTGTATTTAACAGAAATGAATCCAAGTTATACCAAAGAATTTTGAGGATTTACCTGGAAATAGCCAGTCTCCTTTTGGCAGTTTTGCTCGAACTTGGTACTCTCCAAACGAGAACGTTTTCTTTGTTACTAGCCGTGCAGATATAATTGGATGTTGATAAAAATTGAAAAAAACTCTATTGCATTCGTCTTTCGTATTTCGTGTACACCTGAATTTAAAATGAATCATTATTTAATGAATTACATATACTAAATGTTCAACAGATGGTAAAAAAAATTCTCAGTGATTTTTAGGGTTCCGTACCCAAAGGGTAAAAACGGGAACCCTACTAAGACTTCATTGTCCGTCCGTCCGTCCGTCTGTCACAAAGGTCTATCTTATGAACCGTTATAGATACAGTACGTCCGTCCTGTAGCTACGGGGTATCCGTGAGAGGGGAAACGATATTCTCTCCATGTTTTTCGTAAAAAATTTGACCACGCGTCCCATCAATAAAAATTCGACAAATTTGCAAGTAGCCAATAAAATGAGTGGGCGGAGCGATTTGCGGTGACGTACTCGTCAAGTCGACGTATAAAATATATTGTTGTTTATTTAAATGTTTTTTGTCCGCATTCCTTTCATAGACACAGATCCAGCAGACGAACTGTAGACAGTTGAAATTTTTACAGATAATGTATCCTAACAGATAATGTATACCTAACCTAACCTAACCTAACGGATCCCTTCGTCCGCGAGTCCGACACTTGACCTTTATATACCGTATGATCGAAAAAAAACGGCGTCCATTTGGCTTGGAAATGACGATCGATGACATTTCCCATATAATTTTACATTTAAAATGACAGCGATCTTCATTTCATAGCCATCGCTGACGCCGTTTATATTCGATCATACGGTATACCCAGCTGGCAAGCGAACCTTTAGGTCGGCGTTCACATGTATAGAAGTGAGTCGTTATGGCAATCTAGTAAGTCGGAGTGAGCAAAAATACTAAGTATTTATTACATAACTACTTAATCTGACGCTAGATTCCATGCGCTTGGGAAAATACTCTTCGCCTTCTGTCTTTATTCAGTACATCTTATTTTACTAAGCATGTTGACCGTACTCTTCGTACACGCATGAAAACCGACACCCAAGACCAAAAATGCCGACTCTTAGTATATATATACAGGGTGGTCCGAACTGTATTCCGGAAACTTCGGCAGCATATTCTGCAGATAAAAATAAGTAAAAAAGTTTGTATAAATGTGTGTCCTAAAATGCTTAGTTTTGAAGATACAGGCTGTAGAAATTTCATTTTTATTTCGATTTCTTCCAAATAATTTCTGAAGTAACGTTAATATTTCGATGAAAATTGGTGTCTGGAAGTTTTGTGACACAAGAAATTTGATTTTGATATCAAAATGACTTCTATTTGTAGGGGGATGTGTGTCTACATGTGTTTTAACTGTTTTGAAGAGTAATAACTTTTCCTCCGTACCGGTATAAAGCTACTGACTGAAAAAAATTACATTTCCATGACTTTTTATGTAAAAAATGTCTCTTGGTAAAAATCACTACGAGCAACCGTTCTCAAGATATTTAGAATGGAAATAGTCAATACATGTAATTATTGACAAAAAATAAGCACACGATGAGTATAGCTATTTGACTGAAATAATTAATTTTTATTTTTTTAAATTATTCATAATTTTTTCTGCGAAAAAATGATGATTAAACAACTTCTGTTGAACTTTTGGCACAAAAAGATTTCAAATTTATGATTTGAGTTTAATAACTATTTAGTCAACAAGTTTAATTATGTCAACGATGACAGATATTGATAATTTCGATTCCAAATATCTCGAGAACCATTACTCTCAGCGATTCTTACCAAGAGACCTTCTTTATGTAAAAAAAAGTCGTAAATGTATATTTTTTTACTCAGTAGTTTTTTACAGGTATGGACGAAAAGTTATTACTCTTCAAACCAGTTAAAAAATATGTAGGTGGCGCCCTCTACAAGTAGGAGTCATATTGACATGAAAATCAAATTTCTCATGTCAAAAAACTCCCAGACACCAATTTTCATCCAAATATTGACCAGGGGCGGCTCGTAGCACTGGAAGATGGTGAGGCACATTAGAAGAGAATTTTTATTAGTATGTATATAGGTGACCATTAGTACGAGGAAGTCCAATATCTTCGTAGTTGACCAATATATGAAAAAAAAGTTCTATATAAAAAAAGTGCATATCCTAAAAAAAATATTTTCTTTAAAATTGCAATCGCATTACCATTTTTCTGTACAGAATTAGGTTCAGCATAAAATTCAGCATACATCACACTATTGATTTATTTGAAGCACTATATATGCGGGATTTCCATGATAATTCATATTTGAAAAATTTCATTTTTTAAAAAGTGGTAAAAACCTGGAGTGAATTTAACTTATTGATATATTATTGCTTAAGTATGTATATAGCGAGGTATGCAGAACAAAAGAAGATATCCGAGAAAAAATTACATTATTTTATACAGGGATTTTTTTATGGCACGGCGAACATTGCAATATTATAATGCTATATCTCAATTTTTTTAAATGCAATACACACTGTATATTATTTTTAGTATTTTAGATACCTACAGACTTAAAAAGCGCACATTTTTGTATTTAAAATATTTCTAAATATTTAGCAGTTGCCTTAAGCCTTATGTAATATAATTCGCAATATTATACCGTATGATCGAATAAAAACGGCGTCAGCGATGGCTATGAAATGAAGACCGCTGTCATTTTATATGTAAAATTATATGGAAAATGTCATCGATCGTCATTTTCAAGCCAACTGGACGCCGTTTTTTTTCAATCATACGGTACCTATTACATAGGGCTATTGCAACAGTAAATTTTTATCAAAGCGGCCTCTGGATATTTTGTCTTATATTTTACTCTGTATGGTAAAATTTTGTTTTTCTGCCCATCCTATAAAATTAAATCTCTGTAACAGGTTGCTTTACTTTTTGACTATACGAGTACACAATTTATCTAGAAATGATTCGAATTCGAAAAACTTTACCTGGGGAAGTCCTCTGATGATGCATGGTCCCTCTAAATCATCATATCAATCAACAAGTCACTGCCCACTTTTTAGGTATTTACTTAATACGTTGTAATCAGTAAGACGAGTAATTAAACATGCAATTCACATTAAAAAACGTATATATTAATTAATTAGAGACCAAACAGTGCAATAACCGGCAGAGTTAATTCAAACTGTGATTCAAACTAATCTGTGAAACTAATACAAATTCCCAAATAATGCAATTCTGCATTTTCAGCCTGTCGCCTAAAATCTCTCGGACTGATCGGGAAGTGATACATATTTTTAACGAACGGCTTTTAAGGTTTAAATTTACATTTGAGGCTCGCCTCAATACGGTTTTTTTACGCGTTACTACTCCATACATTTTATCTCTCTTCAACTAAAGGTTTTGCCTATGCTTTTTCTTTTCATTCTATAGATTTAAGATTCCAGTGAACGCTGTCGCTCCGTCAATGCGATATACCACAATACGTTAGACAAGGAAAGGCGAGAGGCAAACCTCTGCACATATACTTCTTAAAGAACAAATGAGATGGATATATATATATATATATCGTGGAGTTTGTCGCATATGGGAAAGGAAGCGCGTTTAAAGGAATGCCATCGACGTAATTTATTGTAGAATGACGGACAAGAAAAATACAATTATTATTGATGCAAATAGGGAAAAAAATATAAAATTGTGATTAAAGATGTATCGATTAATACGTGTAATTCTTCAAATGTATTGGTGAGGCACTGCCTCATCTGCCTCATAGGACAAGCCGCCCCTGATATTGACGTTATTTCAGAAATTATCTGGAAAAAATCAAAATAAAAATGAAATTTCTACACCCTGTATCTCCGAAACTAATCATTTTAGGACATACATTTATACGAACTTTTTTTACTTATTTTTATCTTCAGAATATGCTGCCGAAGTTTAAGGAATACAGTTCGGACCACCCTGTATATCATAAAACTAGTCAGGAGTATGTCTTTATTTCAACACTGTAATATTTGTTTATAATTTGTTTGGACTTACCCATCTATGTTTACGTCACTTGTTACAATATTCTCATCGACTTGTGGTATAATATGAAGTAAATTATTTTGGGATGATAGTACACTGGGGTAGTTTTTGTAAATGACATATTCATAGTCCTGAGGAAAATATAAAAAAAAATTAAAATTTAAACTGGCCATAAAATTAAATAAAATTTATAAATCACTATAGACATGTATACTTTAAAAAATATGTTTTTCTTCGTGCTTTTGTGTATTTTTAGCAACTTACCGGCTCAGCAGCATAATATTGTTCAATTAACCAAATGTTTTCATCAATCGAGTTGCTGCTAAACTTTGCATCTAAAATAACATCTTTATTGCTCGTTTTATTGACAATACTTGGTTCTCTTATATTGCTGACAGTATTAGATTCTTCACTTGGCTTCTTTGGACTTACTATTTTGGAATCGTGTATTAAAAGCAATTCTAAAAATTTCTTTTGTATAAACTATCAACATTTTTGAAATTCACACCCAAAATACACTAATTTTAGAATTTGCGGTGTTTTTTAGGTCTATTAGGTGTTTTTATTTCTATTAATTTGAAATTTATTAAAAAATTGAAGACTAAACATAAACACTAAGGTAAAAATATTGCAAGATTATTAATTCAAGTATAAAGGGTCTTCAATGTTTCAAAGTTTTTTTACTTTCAACTTCATAAATACTATAAGAATAGAACATCTGAAACTTTTTTATCGTTTTTCAAAAATGGTTGCAAATATATTTACTGACTTATATGCCCATCAGGAACGTCTTCATTTTGAACTTGAACTTGGGCCCAATAATATACTATATCGCCATCTTTGAGTTTTAAAGTTGGATTGTAATAAATTAATTTGCCATTTTCACTTAGAGAAATATCAGCGTGATAATCTCCTTTATCTAACAGCGGTATCTCTTTGTTTATATTAAAGTGGACACCAAACAACTTAAAGCCAGGGTCGGCTAAAATAAGATAAATATCTCTTTTTATAGGTCCTACAACATCGGCCTGATATAAACACTGACTTGAGGAATTTGAAATTCAGTTTTTCTTGTATACCGGGTGCGTCTCAAAAGTGGCTCATCTCTATAACTTTTTTATTTTTTCAGTTAAAAAAACGAGATTTGGTATGTTAGTATATGACATAAATTAAGATTGATTGACGCATTCAATTGTTTTCGGTCACTTCCTGTTTCACCGGAAATGACTACAACTTTTGAATTTTAAATGGCACCCTCGGTATTTTTTTACTTTATTCGATAGAAAATGACACTCTAAATAGAATGACATATCATATGTCAATTTTTGACATTTTCGAATATGGTTTTTTTGAAATTGTAACATGTGGTTCATAACGACAATTTGAGTCGAAATACCAAGTGTATGGTATCAAATCATTCGTAAAAAAATGCTTTCTTCAAATATGCTAATGAGCCACACTCGTTCCATTTGAAAAAATTGAGATATGATTAAAAATACGATTTGGGCATCTTTTAACCGGCCAGAACAAGACACGAAAAACATTAGACGATCAAATATATTTTTCCAAGGCTCCTTGATTAAAAATTAATGTTTTTAACATAGTCATAGCAGTCTAGATTGAAATTTAAAATACGATTTGTTTTTAAGCGAAAAAACGTCATACGTCATTATATTCAGAGTGCCATTTTCTATCGTATAAAGTAAAAATATACCGAGGGTACCATTTAAGAATCAAAAGTTGTAGTCATTTCCGGTGAAACAGGAAGTGACCAAAAACAATTGAATACGTCAATCAATCCTAATTTATGTCATATAGTAAAATACGAAATCTCGTTTTTTTTATCTGAAAAAATAAAGAAGTTATATGGGTGAGCCATTTTTGAGACGCACCCGGTAGGTAAAAAAGCAATTAATATAAAGCAAAAATAAATTTAAAAAATCTAAGGGACATTAATTTTCAAGTAGCTGTTTATATTAACAAAAATTAGTCTAAGAAAAAAATGATTGAAGTTTCCTAGTCTCTGGGACAAAAAAGATATAATGCTTATTTAATTATTGAGTAGATTTTAGGGATTAAGAAAATTAGATTGTTAGTAAGGAAAAAATAGGAAATAAGGCTATATTTTTTGAGAAGAAACACCATAAATATGTTAACAGACTCACCTGGAATAGATATTCTTAGCCCGCTGGGTATAAAAGATTCAATAGTTAAAGGAGGCGTTTTAAATGCCTTTTGTCTTCGTATAAATAATATTAATAATAAAAAGACGAGTTTGTTATAATAATCCATTGAAAATTCAACTGATTGTTAAAGCTTGTCTTTAAAGAAGGACTCATTTATCGGAGTTATATTTTTAAACTAATTACATTATATACAGGCCCGTATATATAAATTATCTCATTCTATATTTATATTCTGAACTACTTAATATAATTCAGTCGTATAATTAAGTTTTCGTTGTCATACAGTGAACGATTGTAGATTCATTCTTCAGGGCTATCAGTGATTAGAACAATATGTTATTAGCCAATGACATCGAAATAAATATTATTAAATATTTAGAGGTCATTGTTATTAGCTAATATTATATGGTTCGCTAATATCATTTTGTCTCTTTTTTTTGCATATTTCAGTATTTCTTTTTTTCAGTTATATCAATATTTGCTGCTGTCTTAGAATTCTTTTTCCTAATATTTCCCAGAGAACTTCTCCACAAATTCATCCAGAAAATTTCAGAACTATGAAGGTTTCCTTGTTTACAATTTTGAACTTAGTAATTTTCTATCCTCCAATCTGTTACAGCTTGTCAAATATATGATTACATTTAGAGTTTCCATACGTCCGGATTTATCCGGACATTATTACTCCGGATTTTTAAAGTGTCCGGGACAGATTTGGAAAAGCGTTCGGGAAACCTGACTGTGTATTTTTTAGATTCAAGAATGGATTGGTTATAAGTTAGATCCTAACGAAATCCCTTTTATGGAAGAAACATCAAAAAGGCAATCTGACACCTATTCAATCAACGGAAGATGTGACGCCTCCTGACCTACTAAAATTAATTTTTTGCAATTGCAAAGAGAGTCAGTGCTCTAAAAATTGCTCATGTAGAAAACTGGGTCTTAAATGTTCTTCAAAGTGTGGTCAGTGCTACGGACTCAGTTGCACAAACTTTTGTATTTTAGTTGAGGACGAAAATGACGCTCAGGATGACGTCATAGCAGATTTTATTTAATAACTTTAATTTAATAATAATTTTTTTAATAATAATTTTATTTAATATAAACATTTAAACGTTATTTTTAATTGTTTTAATGCTGAAATTTATACTTGGTTTATCTATATTAACACTATACTGTTAATGCAAAAATTATAGCTGATTGTTTTAAAAAAACTAGAAAAATTAAAAAAAATGTATAGTAAATAATTTGCTCTATCTCTATTACTATTTATTTTAGAAAAAAAAATGATTGAAGGTAAAATATTATTCTAAATTTAATTCTCTACAAAAACATATCAATAGTTTTTTCGACTTCCCCCACTGGGACCGAATGGGACTTTTGAGGGGTTAAATAGGAGATCATTATCTATATATTCTCGTTGAGATTGGTTGGTTACTAATTTTTTCCACCTTTACATATAATACTCGGCTACGTTTACTGGCCTATTTGGTGCGCTCCTGGAAGGTGAATGTTTTTTTTAGTTTATATTTTGTTGGTTCTTGGCTTTTCTGATTTGCGTCCTATAAAAGTTATACACAGGTTCGCTGTTATGTATGGAAATGGTCGATTATTAGGTAAAATATAGGAGGTACCGCAAAAAGTTAAATATAAAAGTCATAGGGTTTATAAATATCTATTACCGGGTAATACATTTAAGTATACAGGGTCGGTCATAAAGTCGTTGCACATCAAATTATCCTTTTTTTTAAATGGAACCCCGTATATTATTGCATATTTCGGTTCTTCCTTCAATTCTAAGTAAAAATCGAAATACACACAATATACCTCAAACCAACCTTAAACAATTTGGTTTAATTAATTTCGATATGTTCAGTTTCATTTAACGATGCCATTCTGCCGAAACTGCGATACTGAATAATATTTGACATTAGTTCTCAAGTTAGCATTCATAGATGTATAAAATGAGAGTATATCAAGCCTGGAAATTACAAAAATTTTGTTTAACCTTTCAATTCTTCAATTTATGTACATTGTGTATTACGATTATTGCTTAAAATTGAAGGAAAAATTGAAATTTGTAATAATATACAGGGGGTAAGGGTAAAAAAAATAAAGTTTGATGTGACACAACTTTATGACCGACCCTGTATACTTAAATTTACTAGTAGCTAATAGGAATTTAAAAACCCATTACAACACAGTTTCGGCAGAATGGTATCATTAAATCAAACCTGACAAATCGAAATTAATCAAACTGAATTTTTTAAGTGATATTTTCAAAAGTCAGTAACTCGGAAACGGTTGGTTTGAAGTATATTGTGTGTATTTCGATTTTTGATTAGAATTGAAGCAAGAATTGAAATATATAATAATATACAGGGGGTTCTATTTAAAAAAAATAAACCTTGATGTGCCACGACTTTATGAACGACCCTGTATACTTAAATTTATTACTCGTTAATAGATATTTAAAAATCGTATAACTTTTGTATTTAATTTTTTGCGGTACCTCCTATATTTTACCTAATAATCGACCGTTTCCATACATAAAAGCGACCCTGTATATTATAACTTAAATTAACTTTACTCAAAATAAATTTTTAGTTTCTTTATTGCGACGCGCGACGTCCGGATTTCAGAGTTGATTTGTCCGGATTTTGTCTGGATTTCTGAGTTTACTTGTCCGGAATTTCCAAAAGCCTTTATGGAAACCCTAATGACATTTGAATATTTCGATGCAGTGTTCCTCCCTTGTTGCACAGTAGAATAGTGTCGATAAATTAAAATCGATAGAGATTTAAATGTCGAAATGCATTTGTTACTCGGATTATCATACTGTTCTAAAGGTGTATTTAAGCGACTGTCGAACGCGCGTATTGCCTACTTCATACCTCATGCTATCTCGGTTCAATCGGTAGTGAACCGAGATAGCCTGATATCATCCTAAATTTTATAAGTTATTGAATTTAATGATTGTCAACTCGCCCAATTTATTTTATCGTTGTTGCATAAAAATTTAATTGCCTTTTCAATAGGTCTTCCAAATGACGAATTGTTTTAGAGCGAAATAAATTTCAGAATGTAATGTTATTTAGCTAAATGTTCCTGTATTAATTTATTTTTAATTAAAGCACTGCGAAATAATGATATATCGACAGCAGCTGCATTGAAAAACTTAATCTATTCTGCAACAACATTTTTATTATCGAAAATGACTGCTCTTTTGAAAAATGGTGTTGTTTATATATGTTACTGTAAATGTCCGAAATGCGGTAAAACCTAGGATAACCGCGCTAAACCTAGGATTTACCAAAAGCATGGGGTAAAAGCCCGAAAACTATTTATTTTGCTTCCATTTCGGACTTTTACCAGACCCAAACAGTAAATCTTAGGATTTACCACACCGCATTGGTAAAAGTACGAATAAGTAAGTGGTAGTGAAAACCATCCATACCCACCAAATAACCACCAAACCAATGCATTAACACCCCCCAAATAACCAGACTAACCAATGCATTAACACCCTCCAACACTTAACCAAGCTAACCAATGCATTAACACCCTCTAAATAACCACCTAACCAATGCATTAACACCCCCCAAATAACCAGTCTAACCAATGCATTAACACCCTCCAAATAACCAGGCTAACCAATGCATTAACACCCTCCAAATAACCAGGCTAACCTAATTAGTTAATGTTTTTGGTAAATCCTAGGTTTAGCGCGCTTATCCTAGGTTTTACCGCATTTCAGACATTTACATTAACAAATATAAGACTGATACGTTATAAAAATCGATATTGTTAAACGATAATCGGTAAAATTTCAATGCCTAAGTAAAGAAAAACAGAGATGTCTTTGTATATCGACATTCTTAATTTGTCGATATTGTTGCTATAAGAAAAATAATTCGTACTTATACCAATGCGGTGTGGTAAATACTAAGATTTACTGTTTGTGTCCGGTAAAAGTCCGAAATGGAAGCAAAATAAAGAAGTTTTCGAGCTTTTACCACTTGGTTTTGGTAAATCCTAGGTTTAGCGCGCTTATATCCTAGGTTTTACCCATAGACTTAAAATAAAGTATAATATATTTTATTTTAAGTCTATGGTTTTACCGCATTTCGGACATTTACAGTGACATATATTTATTGTAAAGTTTATATCCCATCAAAAACATAGAATGTAAAAAAATGCAAAGTATCACAACACAATTCTTCCGTTATAAAAATTTGTCAGATCTCATATAAAATCAAGACAGTTTATTTTATTTAGTTTCTATTTAAGCACGTATTCAATAATTTTGTTATAAATTGTTTGTATCAATATTAGAATAAAAGAATAATCTACCATCTAAATAGTGCACTTAAAAATAAAGTCATTATAATTTTTGTACATATTTTTGTACCTCTCCTGTAAAAGTAGGAATAATGGAGTTAGCTGCTGAACACATTTCACCGACGATATTTACTGTTATAGAAATGCAAATAAGAAATAAGACACTGTTAAGAAATAAACGCTTTAATAAACCCATCGAAATATAAAAAAGTAATCAATGAACAGCCAACAATTTATCTTAGGTGCAGCGTTTTTAGTCAACATCAAGCTTCTTAAAATTGCCGTAATAGCCTAGAACTTCGTCATTAACTAACCTAGTAGGTCTGAGCGATTCATTTACTCTCATAGCCCCAAGTTTGTCGAACAAATCCTTATATTGTCCAAACTTTTCAATCCATCGATCTACAAAATAGAATACTGTAATGGCAACTATGATTTTACCATAGTTTAAGGAAAGTTTCCTTATACTGTGCTTTTACCCCACACTTAAATTGATATAATGTTATTTTTGTGTCTTACCTTAAGTATGAGATTAGAAAAATACTTACTGTTTAATTCATCTAAAGAGCTTTCATCTCCACCTATGTCGGAGGGTATAATTGATTTTGGAAAAATCGAGAATAAAGCCTCTGCATTCTTGTGATAGTGAAACTAAAATGATTATACGATATACATAAATACATCTTTTTTTTAGAGAAACTGAATATATCGACAGCAGCATTTATAAATCGAAACTGTAATCTGTTGTTACACGTCTTTACGAATCTTTCGTACAGGCTGAGTTTGCAAAAAAATTATTAGGTATCTCATTTGATTTGAGAGTTAGGAAAATATACAGGGTGTTTCAAAAAACATGTGCCATCTCTCGTGGGGAAATTCCTCACGTAAAAATAAAAATTATTTTTCATATCAACATAGGTAAGCAATTTAATGCTATTAAAAGTTGTCTCTTCATATTTTGTCGGTTTCTGCATCTTTGATGAGATAAACGCAATTTTATTAATTTGCCGTCATCCAAGTCTAATAAGTGTCTTGTGAAAGTTTTAAATAAGTACTCATTGATTCCTCATCTAAAAATATGAAAAAAAGTTCCTATAAACATGGGTATGGAAATGTATAGTTTTAGAGCTACAGGATGTTAAAGATTTTTAAAATTAGTTTTTTTGTCATTATCTTAAATACCTACCATTATTTTTTTTTATTTGAAATTGCTGTATGTTGGACTAATATTAATAATAACTAATAGTAATAATGTTTAATAATAAATTATGTAAAATATATAATTTATTAATTTAATTTTTATTTTAATTATCTTATTAATTGTGATTAATAAAATTGCGTTTATCTCATCAAGGAGGCCAAATTCGACAAAATATCAAGAGATTTACCCTAATTGGACCTTTAATTGGCATTAAACGGCCTTTACGATTTTAATATCAAAAGAAAAAAGTCAGTGGCGCACATGTTTTTTTTTAAATATTCCAGTAATAACCCATATGCACGTCCCTGGTGAATATATCGACACTTTTTTCGCATTAAAATATGTAGCACTAATAGTAACTTTTATCCTCAAAATTTCATTCGAATCACTTAAAGTACTTGGAAGAAAATGATAATAAATCGACGTATTATTAAGATTTTAACACCCTGTAACTACGAAACAAAGCAGAATCGGACCCATGTTGATATGAAAAATAAATATTATTTTTACGTGAAGAATCTCCCCACGAGAGATGGCACATGATTTTTAAAACACCCTGTATATTACAGGATATATCAACTGAGATATTTTTGCATATAATAATTTTCATTGTCCCTATAAAAATATCTTACCAATATTATTTTTTTAATATTTCAGTTTCAATAGTTTTAATAAAAAAAATATATAATTTGACGCAGAATCTGTAAAATGTCTTAGTTATTAATTAGCATTGCCTTAAAGTTTTATCTAATATATTTTACGTAATTCTCGATACATATATGATAATGATCTTTAGTCTATTGTTGAGTACCATCACAGAATATATAGCTACGCACGGCTATATATTCGTTGGTACCACCCTGTATATAAAAATAATATTTCCTTGTCTTACCCTTTTAGCAATCTTCGCTGGAATGATGCTTTTTATGATATTCATTGTAGTTTCTAAAGCTGGATAAAAATTAATACAATGAATCGAGGCAACTCTGTTGGTGTAAACTTTCTAAAAAAAAATACGTCCAGTTACTCTACACATACACTTCCATTCATGTAGACTTACTTCCATTATAACAGAGCTTTTCTTTAATGTCATAGGATTAACTTTAGTGACATGGCCCATTTTCACACTACCAGCATCGACTACAAAATGGGAGCCCAAAAATAAGTCTTCCCTCATAAGAACCTCGAAAGTATTTAAGATATGACAGAGATACTTTTCCATATCAAAATCTTCAGGTCCATACTGGTCTGAAAACTTGCAAAATATTATTCTTCTGTTATCAGGAGCAAGTTTGGGTAGTGGTACAATATAACTAAAATAATAAAACAGATATTTACTGCATTAGGCTATAAAGTACAAAAATAAAATTAGACTATTTAGAAGAATGTAGAATGAGTTGAAGGGGGCTCAATCACCGTGACCTTAAAGATCTATTGTGTCCCCCTTTCTTGAGTTATCATTCATCATATAGTTTTTAACCCCTCACACATGGGGACCTCCCTGTTGTAGGGGAGACAGGGTATTTCCCGAGGAGTGCACATCTACCTCCTACGATGGTATAAGCCCTTCGAAGGTTGGGGTTTGGCCCTCCGTGCCCTTCACAGTCGAGGAGCTTTTCTCCGGCTGAGGTACCCGTGAGGTGGATGCTGGAGGATCGATCTCCATTTTCTCCACCTCTTTAACTTGGTCTCTCCTTAGACCTGATACCGGTGTTGTCCCGAGTCTGTAATGGAGGATATATCTCTCTTTTTCTATTGCCTCCTTGGATTTGAGGTCATTTCCTATTGTGAGGACCTGACAATGGCCCTCTTACCTCTAGTTGATGACTCGCCTCGGTGTGAGGTTCTCGCTCGCTGTCTCTTGCCCATTGGTGGAGATGTGCCAGCTGTTTCTGGTTCCTTTAGTCTCCCCTTGGTTTTTTAGAAACTTACCTAACTTTGCTATTCTTTATCATTTCTGCTGATGCTGGATTATATTGAAACATTTCAGGTAGCTTATTTCTTATGGTATAATACATATCTAATTTCTCTTTGCATCTCTCTATGCTGAATTTATTGAAAAATAAAAATGCTCTTATTAGAGTTCTATCTGAAAATAATAGATTTTTAAATTTATTTCATTTTTAAAGCATAATTTAAAATCTAAGCTCACTTGGTTGTTCAGGCAAATGCGGTTGGGTTTTAAACCATTCTTCTAGAATATTTATACAATCTTCTATATCTGTTTGTTTCTTTCCAAACTCTGCTTCAATATGTTTGTAAATGATATTTGCATCTACTACTAATAAAGGTTTTCCCATTATGAATTTAATTCAGTACTGTAATTATTATTATTCATAATTAATATAGTGAAAAAAAACTCTTCATTCATTAAATACAGAATTATGTTACTTACCAAAAAAAATATTAAGTAATTTTTTTAAAACTGTGACTGTACAATCGTTATTAAAAATGTGTTTTCAACGGTTGCGAGCAAATGAAATAGAATTTTTATTTTTACTTTTATCTTAATTTTATCTATGAGATAAGACTCTCTATCATTTGGTGTGCAGACCAAACAAATATGAATTTAATTCGACATAAGCTGAATTAAAACAATTTAATAAAAAAAAAAATTTTATTAACCCCCAAAAGTTCTATAAAAATAAATTTTAATATAAATAATTAAAAAAAAAAATAAATTATTGGAAAAAATCAAACTTGATCAGGCACTAAAATTATAAATTTAATCTTCTGAATCACCTTGGAAATTTCATTGGCTTTAGCACATTCAAATTTGATTGACACATTGTTGGGTATGATATACAGGGTGGTCGGAATTGTATTCACGAAACTAAAAACAGGAAAAAAAAATACTCTTCAAAGTTACTCTTCAAACCAGTTAAAACATATGAAGGTGGCGCCTTTTACAAGTAGGAGTCAAATTTAAATCAAAATAAAATTTCTCATGTCAAAAAACCCCTAGATACCAATTTTTATCCAAATATCGACATTAGTTCAGAAATTATTTGGAAAACAAAATGAAACTTGTACACCCTGTATTTTCGAAACAAAGCATTTTAGGACACCAATACAATATGTCCTGTCATGTTTACCTATTTTTATCTGCAGAATATATTGCCGAAGTTTCCCGAATACAATTCGGACCACCCTGTATAATGAACAAAACAAACCATCAAAAATGCAAAGATTTTAAATCCTTTATTACTTCAATATAATTATTTTCGACGAAACCACTTTATTTTCAATTCTGACTATTGTATCAGTGCTTTTAGTTTTTAGGGCTTATTATTCTTTTGTATTGACTGTCGATTTTCAATTAATTTTTGTCTTCGTTCTATGTTTATAGATATTATACACTTTTTTCACTTTAAACTACTTTTTTCTCTACAGACGGGCGTTTTCTAACAATATCAGTATCAACAATAATAATACAGAAGGTTCGAAAAATAAAAGTAATATATTATTTATTCTAATCAGCTAATCATTAGGACTAATTACTTTAGTATAATTTGTAACAAGTGTTTTCTCGGATTTAATTAATTAAATAAATTAATATTGGAGAGATAAGCCTTATCTTTGCCAGGCAACAAAAAATATGAAACTATAAGATAAGCGATTAAAAGTAGCTAAAAAATGAAATTTCTGTATTTTTTTAATTGATTTCTAAACTTTCTCTACATTATTATATTTTTACGTTTAATCGAATTCAAGCTGTTTTGTCGAAATCTTCCCACACTCGTTGGACAGATTATACCACTGAAATAAAACACTTATGGAACTACTTTTTGTTATTATTTACTACTATTCCACTACTACTATTCTTATATATTCGCTTATATTTTTGTAATCGGTGGGAGTTGATGTATTTTTAAAGTGTTGGGTGTTTTTTGTAGGTCAGACAAATCTGACTTCAAGTTAAAATAAAAACTTACTTAAAAACATAATGTTTTCTTGAAATAAAATCTCAATCCAGTGGTTTTTAATATAAAACAGATATTTGAATTGAAGAGCAGTGTTGCTTTGGTTGATTTGCAAACAAACCAAAAAATCCAAGGCTTCAAATTGTTAAATACAACTGTGCTGGGGTCAAATTGAATTTTGTTAAAAATTAATATAATAGATTATTCGATACAGATAGAAATAAGTGCTATATATTCTATATAGATGAAAATCTATAAATCTTAAAGCCTTTTTCAAAAATATACAAAACATTACGTATTTACGGCCCTTTCTAATTTATAAAATGCAGGATGGTAGTTTCTATATTTTTATTATTTTAAACGATAAAATACCATTATTTTGTGAACGGATGAACTAATGCTCGAGGAAATTTAGTGTTAAAGTGTAAATGCGAGCTGTAAATCCTGCACATCCGCTATTTTAAAATATATAAAACGTAAAATGGGGCGCCATAAAGTTGAAAATTGATTTGCTTAATCGAAAAATAATAAAATATATACTTTAAAAAATTGCACATTTTTCTATGTTCAAAATATGCATATTTATTTAAAAGTTACTAGGATGAGATAAATTTCACAGTGGATATTTCTTGTACACAAATTTGCTTAGAATCACAATAAAAGAGTTGTTATTGAGTAAAATAAAAATAAGAAACATTGCACTAAAATATTTTAGAAGAAGTTAACTGGAGTTTTCCACTCCATATCAAGTTACAGCAATTAGGGGTCGGCTCTTAAAGGTTAGGAGAAAGTGTCAAGTTGTCGGTTTGCGTTAACTTTTGTTGTCTATGACGCTACATTATGTTAAACCTCTAATTACTAATACATTGTTTATAATAGATATATTGTTAGTATCGTAGCACAAGCTTAATCAAATTGTCATATTTACTAAATAAAAATAAAATAAATTAATAAAAAATGTGCTGGTATTTAAGCATTTAACCTCTCCTATAGGAATTCTACGAGAGGAACTCCAATATTGTTACTTGGAAAATCCTGAGAACTGTTTATTCTTAGGATTTTCCAAATAGGATATATCTAAAATATAAAAAATAATAAACCTACTTATCAAAAAGCTTACAGACAAAATATAATTTATAATTGTTGCTAAAATACTATACATTTTCTATTGGGAGGACCTGACCAACTCGATGTCCTTAAAATAGAGTTCAGGAAAAGCTGGTGATATGTCCTTACTTGTCTCCTGGTGTTAAATGTCTTTTCATCCTGGCTTTTTCTCTCCTTGCCAGTGCAGAGGTGAGAGGTTCTCGCTCCCTCTCTTGCTCTTTGGTGGAAATGCGCTAGGCTGTTTCTTGATTCGTTTACTTTCCACTTCTTCCAGGAGTGTCTTCGCTTTTACTTCCTCTGGAGCAAATCATGCCGGGTCGAGGAAACAGTAGCTTGTGTAGCCTGTTGTCTAGAGGTAGGCTCCCGACCCTTACTAGAGGAAGAGGTAGCTTCTGTGCCACTTGTGGAGGCTGGTGTCACGGAGTTACCAGCTGGTCGTGGAGTCAGCTGCCTCTCCTGTAATTCCCTTTGGGGTTGGTCCCTTGGAACTTGCACTGTTAATGTTCTCAGTGTTGCTAGGGGGTTTCCCTCCAGCTTCACCGCAAGGGTGAGTCAGGCTATTCACTTCTACAGAGGGTAAAAGAGACGAGAGAGGTAATGGAGACAGGAGACGAGAAATTAAAAAAAAATCAGCTAAAATGCTAGAGGGGATTCCCCCTAGCACCTGACTAGGAGCTTCCCCACCAACAACAAGTTCTCGCTTCTAGAGAAAGTTCCGTGTGGCTAATTTAAAGTCTTCAATGATCGTAGAGCTGGGCCCTTCCTTTTATTAGAACTGGGCTGGTTTTGTAACAATATAAACACAGAAAATGTTTAATAAACTTTTTCTACAAACTCGCATTATAATTTTGGTCTTCAAATATTTCCATTCGGGTATTTTACATCCATTGCAGACTTTGTGGGCGATTATTTATGTAGGATGCTTTTTAAACAACTAGAAGAGAAAATAATAAAATACGTACAATTTTATTATTTACGGCAATTAGGTGCATTTAGTTAGATAGTGTTCCGTTGAAAGGGAGCTCGTTTGCGGTCAAGGCAGGAAAAGTTGGCCATGGAATAATTAAAATCGCCCACTTCAAAAGCATGTTCAAACAAACTGTACTTTTGTCGTGAATATAGGATTAAATTTTGATTGAGTTTGAAATTGTTTCGTGTAAATGATGAGTCCGGCGATATTTCAATGAACGGAGTTTCGAATCAGATGAACATATATACTTAGCTAGAAAAAATCCCTGCGGATTTACGTAAGTCCTGGAAAAATGTGCCTTTTTTACCTTTGTGGGCTGTTGAAAAAGCGACGGGAATATGTGAGTGTAAATAAAAGCCGAAAAGGACTTAAATTTTCTTAGTTTTTTTCCATTTTTTCTTCAGGAAATATCTAACAATTTTAGAATTTTTTTGAAATTATGTTTAATTAGCTCTTTTTTTTTTAAATTTCGTACGACAACAGTAAAACTAACTTAATTACATTTTTTTGTTACCTTAAGGCAGCGGCAGCTAATTATTACAGCGTTTTATACAGGGTGTTTCAAAAAACATGTCCCATCTTTCATGGGGAATCCTCCTCACGTAAAAATTAGATTTTTTTTTTACCAACATGGGTCCGATTCTGCTTTGTTTCGTAGCATATAGGAGGTTAAAAATCTTATTTTTTTCGATTTATTATAATATTCTGCCAAGTTATTCGAATGAAATTTTGATGGTAAAAGTTACTAAAAGTGCTACATTTTTTTATGTTAAGAAAGTGTTGGTAGATTTACCAGGGTCGTGCATACGGGTTATCACTGGAACTTTTTTCTAAAAAAACATGTGCGCCACTGACTTTTTTTCCCTTGCTGGCAAAATTGTGTAAGCCGTTTAATGCCGATTAAAAGTTGTATTTTGATATTTTGTCGATCTCGATCTTCTTAATTAGATAAACGCGCAATTTTATTAATCACAATTAATAATATTAAAATAAAAATAAAATTAAAAATTATTTATTTATTCTAATTTATTATTAAATTTTATTAAAATTTATAAGACTGATGTTCAGTGCTCGATAGAGCAAATTAAATAAAAAAAAATAATGGTATTTAAGATAATTGAAGAGTGGATATACGAAAGGGGGTAAGTGGCCAAAATTCTTCTTTCAACATAAATGAGGAAAACACAGTAGAACTAAAAATAATAATTTTTTAAAATATCTCTTAAAATACATATAAAAAAAATAAATAGACCCTTTCGCTTGGCACTTGCATACTTTTGTTAGGACATGTAACAAGGTATTTATTACGTTCCTAATGTAATAACTTGGAATAATTGGAGTAGAAAAAATTGGTCAAGTGCGAGTCGGACTCGCGTACGATGGGTTCCGTACCATTCATTATCTATACAACATTAGACACTATATTATTATAAACTTTTTTTCCGATTTTAAAAAAAAATGAAGAAACACATTACTGAAAATTGTACTAATCAATAATAAATATG